CTCAGTATTGGTCCGTCCGCCAGAGCGGCCGTGTTGGCGGCACCATCACTGCCCAGAACCACTTCGATGCCTGGGCCAAGGCCGGCTTGGAGCTGGGTACGCACAACTACATGATCCTTGCTACCGAGGGTTACCAGAGCAGCGGGTCTGCCACCATCACTGTTGAGTAAATTGGGCCATTTGCAGTTGCCCGATACCGTGGCGAGAGACCCTGTGTAGCGTGATCCGTCGTTGATCTTTTCCCCTTTCAATCGGACTGGAATTCCCTGTTTTCGATTCTGTTGGAGATCCAACAAATAGTGTTTCTTCCTCATGTCGCCGTGTACATAGTCAGCTCATCATCCCCCTCCCCCCGGGCCTTTTCGCTAGTGAAATCCATACATTCATAGCCGAAGGGATTCTTGTGTAAAACCCCTTGCCGATTGGCGTAGGAGCTAACGCGTTAGACCCAATTCAAATGCACCCAAGGCGTGCGGAGAGCGGAGGACAAACACGTTGCACCTCCAAGCGAAGCGTTGATCATGCCGATCGACTCGATTGGCACCAACCATATGTGACCTGTCTTCCAATGGCAATGCTGTCCCACGATGTCCCAGTCACCCGAGCATGGCCCTCAGCGCCTGTTTCCGTCGTCAGGAGCGAGTGCGCAATGAGACGCAACTCATCCATGCAGCCCTGATGTCTTGCTCGACAGGCGAGGGAATGCCCAAAGCGCCTGGCGATTATAAAAGGTGTCCATGATCAGTGAGGGGGTCGAACATCGACTGAACAACCTTGTCATCGCATACCTCACGGCATGGACTTTCTCGAGCGATGGGTATACAACCGGCCAACCCCGGCAAACCGGACGCGCGACAGACCGATGAAGGTGCTTGCACTGGGCATGTCCCGGTCGGGGACGGAGTCTCTCTCGCGCGCCCTCCGCATCCTGGGGTATGATCACGTCTTCCACGGCTTCGAAATGTTCGAAAACACGCCGATGCTATGGCGGTCGTGGACGATGCTCGGCCGACGGAAATGGGGCAGCACCGGCCCTGCGGATGGAACGGCGGGCATTACGAGGGAGGACTTTGATCGCTTGCTCGGACACTGCGAAGCCATCACCGACCAGCCTGGTTCTCTCTTTGCGCCAGAGTTGATCGCCGCCTATCCCGAAGCCAAAGTGATTCTCAACCGCCGCGACGTCGACACCTGGTATCCCAGCCTCTGCACGGTGGTTCGCCCACTAACGACCGGAGTGTTTTATCACGTACTGCCCTGGTTTAATGCCGACCTCTATTGGGAGGCGCAATATGTTCAGGGCTGCTTGAAGCCGTTCTTTCACGGGTCTTGGGAACAGCACGGGAAATGGGTCTATGAGCAGCATAGTGCCACCATCAGGGGATTGGTCCCGCCAGATCGGTTTCTCGAGTGGACTGTGCAGGATGGCTGGGAGCCTTTATGCCGGTGAGTTTGCGATGTGTCGTGTTTTGCGCAAATGCGACCGTAGCTAAGTCGCTAGGTTAGGTTCCTCGAGAAGGATGTCCCCGCAGAGGAGTTCCCCAACGGCAATACCGTCGACAAGGCTCTCGGCGCCCATAACAACAATGTAGGCGAATGCATCGCCGCTGCGGTCCGTAACCTCGCTATCTCGGTGGTCTGTGTTGGGGTTGCGGTCGCATATGGATTGGGAGCTCGTCGTGTCGATTGGCGGCAATGCGCCAACTATCTCAACATCGCGAGCGTATAAACAACCCTACATAGCGTAGAAATGTGGGAGTAACAGGACACCGCAGACGCGGTAGAAAGGAGAATGGAGGTTATGAAAAGATACTTACTGTTTTCCTGCAATGATCGATGACGCCAACGAGCTCCATAATGACACCATCACTTTAGCCTCACTACAAAATACATCGTCGGGGTCCCGGCTCTCTAGTACTTTGTAGAACAAAAGAAAATCTTCCCGTAGAGTCTGGACACCATGATTGGTAGTATTTTCCATTCTACGATGTGTACAGAATTGTCTCATTCCCGTCGTACTAGGGCTCCAAGCACAACCCTACATATCACTAGATTCTATATGAGATTCTATATCGCCCGGGGGCTGGACCTGCTTCATGGCCGCAGTCTGCTAGTATTTCGAATTATTTACAGCAATAGAGGTGCGTAGGACAGACTATGCCAACACAAAGGCACACAACGCGCACCAAGGCATCATGGTATCGGCAACCTTTGCAGGTCTTCTACCGAATTTGTTCTGGAAGCCCCTCGTGGCGCACGATACATAAAGATCCAATGTATTTGCACAGATTAATAACGAGGCGCAACCTAAAACATGTTCAGAGCGGTCTCTGATTGACCTAGCAGCAAAATGGGTCTCGGCAGCTGGGAATGCCGTCAGCCACTCCCGAAGATATAGATCCTACTCGTAGACTAACTCAGCCATCCCTCCCGCAAGCGTTCCCCCAAAAGACACACCGAGCCCGACGCCTATCTCGTTACAACACACTCAGATACCAATCACGGAGTAGAAAAATAAGGTAATAGCAGATAGATCAACATGTCAACGCAACGCTGGCCAGCCCAACTCGGGATGTCCGCACGATATGGGGAATTTCTCCACATTCTCGGGGCGATGATCACCCGAACGCGACCTGGGGACTCGTCAAGTCTGAGGCAAACGGTCGAATAAGATCATCAGTGAAGCACATTCCATGTGGGGACCCCGGAGATCCCCTCGGGGTAAAAGACCACGGCCAGATAATCTGCACGGTTGCCCCCGGGGAGGCGTACGGAGTGCAAGCCTTCCGGCAGAGTATTAGATCCATGGAGCCCCGTTGGTGATGGGCCGAAGTATTGCTTGTCAAAAGTGGATGCTATTCTTACTGTAGGACTATACGGGACCTACAGACGCTGCACGTCAACGACAACATGCAGCTCTGGAAACATGATTTCAGAGGCAAGACGCTGATTATCGCCATCACCATGGCGTCCTGCCAGGCGTTCTTGCTGTTGGGTTTTGATCAAGGTGCGACTGAAACGGGGATCGAACTCGTTAAATATACGACTAATGTTCGTAGGCGTTATGGCAGGGCTCGTCGGTGCGGACAACCGATTCGGGAGAGACTTCAACAATCCCGACGCCAACATGCAGGGAAACATCACAGCCCTGTACGATATTGGCTGTGTGCTCGGATCCATTGTATCCTACTTCATCGGAGAACGAATGGGCCGTCGCATGATGCTTATGCTCGGTGGTTTTATCATGGTGATCGGTACAATCATTCTCGCCACTTCCGACACTGTTGCACAGTTGATCGTCGGCCGTATCGTCACGGGGGTGGGCAATGGCATGAACTCTTCCACTGCGCCGGTCTATCAGAGTGAATGCTCGCCTGCGTCGTATCGTGGCGCTCTGTTGACCCTGCAGGGCACAGTCACCATTCTGGGAGTGGTGATTGCTTACTGGTACGTCACCTCGTCCGACGTCCTATATCTTTCCCAGATTGAATTCGCAAGACTGACTATGGACCTATAATAGGATGGACTACGGGACCAGCTTCACTGAATCGTCCTTCCAATGGCGTTTTCCACTCTCCTTCCAAGCCATCTTCGCCATCCTCCTCATCCTCCAGGTCGTCGGATTACCCGAGACCCCCCGTTGGCTGGTCCAACACGACCGCCACGAAGAAGCCCGCGCCGTGGTGGCCGCGATCGAAGACCGTCCTCTCGATGACCCTCTCGTGACTAAGACTATTCTCGACATCCAAGTCGGCCTAGAAGAAGAACAGAAGGGCGGACCCTTCCGCTTCAAAGAGCTCTTCACCTGGGGCGAGGTACAGAATCTCCGCCGGCTGCTGATCACGATCACCATCGAACTGGGACAACAATTTACTGGCTCCAACATGATCAATTATTACGGGCCTGTCATGTTCCAAGAAACCATGGGGATGGACCGAAACCTGGCGATGATCCTAGGTGGTTGTATCCAGTGCACATATCTGGTCGGCTCGGCCATTCCGGTCTTCCTCATGGATCGCTTCGGACGCCGCACGCTGTTGATCATCTGCTCCGCCGGTCTTTGTCTGTGCTTTGTGATGGTGTCGATTCTCCTCTCGCTGAACCGAATGGACTGTGCGTACGGCGCGACGGCCTTTATCTTTATTTTCCAGATCTTCTACGGCGTGGGCTGGCTCCCGGTACCGTGGTTCTATCCGGCCGAGATTAACACTACGCGTGTGAGAACGAGGATGCAGGCCATTGCATCAGGGTGGAATTGGATGGCTGTGTTTGCGGTCGTCAAGATCACTCCAATTGCCTTCGGTAGGTCATAGCCCAGCCCACCTTCTCTAAACAATAACAATAACAACCCCTGTGTTCGGAATGCAAGCTGACGAGAGTAGACAACATCAAATGGAAAACATTTGTGATCTTCGCCGTGTTGAACGCGGCGTTCATCCCCATGGTATACTTCTTCTATCCCGAGACGAAGGGACTGGAGCTGGAAGACATTCCCTTGCTATTCACCAAGGGTGGCATTACCGGTGGGGTGTACAGTTCTAAAGGTGGACGCACCGTCATGCCTGGCCAGCATGCGCAGGAGAGACGAGTGGATGAGAAGGTGGAAGGGGTGGTGCAGCAGGTGGAAGACGTGAGCTAGACAACGGATGTTATATACCCTCGGATATTATCTGTATACTACTTGGATAGAAGGTAGTCACTGCGTATTTGATACGACTTTACGTTTAAATATATAAAGCTAGTGTTATGAAGACTATATAAATCAACGAGCACATAGAAATAAAGCTCCCTTGAGGTAAAAGCTGCCTTTAATCGACAGAATACAACTATGTATTATGATTTTATACTAAGTGGATTACCAAACATAGCGATCGTGAAAGTACAAGCACATGCATCTGATCGTGACAATCTCCCTCAACAATTACCATGGATTCGTAATCGACATCATTCCTCCCAATTCCATACCGCTGGTGCCCCCGGCCTCATAGATGCAGACCAGATCACATCTCATCGATCTTCGGATCCATCTTATCTGGCTGCAGCATCCTCTCCAACTCCTCTCGCGAAGTAAGCTGTTGCATCTTCACTTCACCGCGGTCGGCTTTGACCTATCACGGATGGTCAGCTCTATCTTCGGCCTACAGACCTTGGGAGATATACCGCCGCTTCACTCAGGGTAGCATGAAGCTCATCCCACGCTGGGGTCGCGACGCCGCGCTTTTCCGTCAACGTAGGGGATTCGAAGTCATCTGGGAAGGAGGCGGCGATGAAAACTGGTCTGGTTTTAGCTACCGAGTCTTCTTCGGTCGTAGGGGGACTTGGGTGGCGTGGCTAGAACTGACATTCTTGGTTTTTGGAGCTGTATGCCTCCGGGTGAGGTTGGATTTGATATGCTCTTGTCAAGGTGGGAACCCGAAGGAGAGGACGAGTGCGGACGATGGAGGTGCGTAGCATACTGAAGGACATGATGATTGCTGATACTTGTGATGGGTCGTTGGAGGATGGATAATGAAGGAACATTGAATAGAAAGAGTCATCCGGCGTTTATAAAGGTGCGCATTGTGATGATGTCAGTGGCTAGAGGGTTACCGGATTGGGTCCTGGTAGCTCGAACCCTACTTTACGGATGTCGGAACCATATGGTTGAGGGGTTGAGCATCTACCATGGATCAGAGGTCTTTGACAATCGATGACAGGTGCCAGAACGAAGTCTGGACGCGTTCTATGTGTACGGATCACGCCACGCGGACGTTTCGGAGACGCTTTTGTATAATCAACAATCTTTGCATTCAACCGGAAAAGCCGGAGTAACTAAACTGTACATGTGTCGTGTGACAGACATTTTGTTCTCGGTCATAAATCTATACATTAATCGTACAATGATAACGGTGCCGACCGTCCATATTGAGATAGGGCATGCTTAGTTCAATCCCATGCAGCTGGCATAGTAAGTGACCGTCGCGGGCCAGTCGGAGAAGATCCCACGCACGCCGACCTTCTGCGCCAGCGCATCGACAATGCGGTACATGTCGCCATCCTTGCTAATCGCGGAGGTAAACGATTGCACATAGTAGTCGCCTTCCGCAGCAGCTTGCGCCAGGGGAGCGAACCGCTCGAGGGACCAGGTGATGATGTCGAAACCGGCTTCCTTAGCGGCCACGGCATACTCGGAGGGCACGAGCTCGCCGTCCTCGGTCGCGTTCAGCAGTGCATAGATAGCGGGAGCCATGATCTTGACGCCCTTCTCGGCCAGCTCGGGGAGGCTGGCAACAGCAGCTTTGTAACCCTCAGGGGTGTCGGTGCGTTCATCGAGATAAATGGCCTGCTTGCCGAACGCGGGTTCATGCTGGAGCCAGTAGAAGATGTCCTTATCCAGGAAGGACTGAGGCCACACCCGCGAGGGGTTGATGTGGTAGCGCTTATAATCGTTGATGAGCTGCTGAGCGTACATCTCCTGGGTGTAGTTACCCTGGAAGGGCATGGGAACCTGGGGAGTCTTCAATTCAGGCGAGAACTGCAGGCCCAGGGACTCGATCAGCTCAATGTACTCATGATGGGCCACGGGGGTGCCGCAGGTGTCATAGAGCTCCGTGCGCCAGGCCGGACCACCATACTGGTACTCCTCGGGGGTGGTGGCCGACGAGTTGCTGGAATCCATCTTGGCGCAGAGCGATTTGAACTCCGCCAAGGTGATGTCGGATGTGCAGCACTGGGCTTTGGCTGGGGTGCTATCCGTCGCCGGCTGGAAGGGAACGGTGCACTTGGCGGCCAGCTCCGGGATGGTCAGGATGTTGGTGGTAGTATGGAGATCACACTGGGAGTGACGGCAAACGAGCTCTCGGTCCTGGGTGAACGCGACGTCGCACTCAACGATGCCTGCGCCCATGCGAGCCGCGGCCATCATGCCTTGACGGCTGTGCTCGGGGATTTGCAGCGGCCCACCGCGATGGGCGATGGAGAATTGGGGAGCATGACGAATGGGCTTCTCGGCGCAGGACTCCAGCTTGCTTTTCAAGGGGCCCTCGTCCATGTCATCCACGAGGAAATACGGCCGGGGGCCGACCTGGATGTTGGTGACATTGGGCTTGTGAGAGGGAGCACCGCGACGACTGAACGATGGTGCGGCAGCCACCACGCCCGCCGTAACGATCAAGGAAGTAAGATGCATGATGTTCGTCCAGCAAGCGTAACGGAGTAGTAGAGACCAGCTGCCTGAGCAAGAAGAGCACAACGAGAACGACGATCATTCTCTGCCAGGAACCATGCTCCTATTTATCCTCGGACTGGGGGCCTCTGTCGGCCCGGTTCCTCGAGGTTGGAGCATATCACAATTCCGTCCCCCTGCTTCGCATATCAGATAAAGGCCCCACCAGGATTCTCCGCGTGCCGTGACGACGATCTCTCACACGTTCGGACGATACTTAGGATTCCCTTGGCAACTTGGCATCGTCTTGGCTACAGGAACAGGAAAACACGTGGTTGGCCGTTCTGCAGCACATGTCGCGTGCGCGAGACCTGATTTGAAGCTTCCTACTGATGACTCTCAGTGCATTTTCAGGCCTGGTATGACCTTTCATTTGGCATACTGGGGGAGGCACTGGCCGTGGCAGCAGGTTCCACGAAATCATCGACGGTCCAATAGCATCTTGGCCCCACCAAAGGATCTTTTCACGAGCTTTTCTTTCATGTAAAACAAACCCAAAATCCTACGAGAAGGAAACAATCCCGCGTCCGGAGAATATTGGGCAATGACGATGGCTGCATGCGATGTGGATACCCCCCGACATTTGCTAACAGAAACTGCGGGGAGTCTCAAAGGAAGACGCTTTCCACGGGGGAAATTGAAGAAGAAGAAAAAAAACCGGAACAAGGAGCTCTTTCGGGTGATTGTTCAGGGTCAAAGATAAGGAACCAAGCGGTTGCTTACAAGCTGTGATAAATTAAGACTACTATGGAAAATACAGAGCAGAGTGAATTCCTGTGACGGCAATTGCTGCGTCCAATCCCCTAAGCTTTTGTAGTTTGGATGCTAGTCACCACTTCATCACCGCGGGTCATAGTCCGGCCGTTCATCCTCCAGTGGGTGCTGAATAAGGCGAGTTGGATGCCTCCGTCATTGCACATGCATAATCATGTAGCGACAGTTTCTGCGTCGCTTCGTCGGTCAATGTCCGGGGAAACAACGACCAACGGAACCGCATCGGCATTGGATCAGATAGAAGCATTGTGGGCATATCTCCACTGCCCGATGCGGAGTTGCTAACACCATGACCCAAATACTGAGTTTGGAAGGTCACCGGCAAGTCCAGTGGACCGTCTAGTGAATACCAAGCTCTGCGAGTGAATAAGAGCCATTGTATGTTTAACCCGACGGTGGGGTGGCGGCGTTTGAGGTCGGCCTAGGGAATCCTCCTCATGCCCATGGGCATGGTCCGAGATCCCTGGTTCGGTAGGGCTTGCTCCCATTGTTCCTGAACCAAGAACGCCATTGAATCAACCCGCCCTACCCAGGGGCATTCTGCAAAAGCATTGCCGTGCCTACATTCTTCATGGAGGCCATAGACGGACATCCGCAATTGACTGAATCGTCGGTTGGTAAAGAGAGGCAGGGCCGAACAAAAGGTTCGGCCTTGACTTCGCAGCCTATCTTGCATTGGTGGACCCTCATCGCGGACCGAATCAACCAGCATGCCGATCTTACCTGCTGCTGAAAAAGATTTTAATCCCGCATTTTCTCATAGTGGGGATTAAGCGCGCTGGTCGATGTAACCTGAATGAAAAACGAAGCCGAGGTGCTTTGCGTTTATCTAATACAGCCCCACCATCATTCGCGCCAACCCGATCCTAATCCTGTCGTTTGTTGCCTAGAGGAAGGAAGTTGATGTCGTCGATGTCGCCGTTGAGGAGACTCGGTCTGAAGGAACACATACGATCAGGTCTATCCAGAGGGGAAGGCGGTCGTTCCGACTCTGCCACCCAACTACCCCAACGCTGCGGGCGGTAAAGGAATTCTTCCCTCGTTAGTGTTCATCTAATACCTCCATCGTCTACGGTGGACTGGCTGCAACTCTTCGTGACAGCCATATGTCTAGACAACAGGCCATCCCGTGAATTTATCCTCCATGTTAAGGCGCTTTCAGCACACCATTATGCGGATTTATCTGTCTATGCACTATACTCGTTCGTAAATCAAAACACCAACGTGTTTCCGATATCTTTTGTCAAGGAGGGTTTCCTGAAAGCTTAATATTTGGTCAGTTCGGGTGCATTATCAATGTTTACCAGGAATCACAACAAGCGCGTAGTAATGTGGTAGCTGTGAATTCATTCGGTAGCTACACAAATCATTCGATTCATTCCCCATTGAGGCGGAATTCTTAAGGCCACATAAAGTTAAATAGACTGTCAAAGTGCAGCACATGCAAGCTCGCCGCTGAATATTCAGATTATGTTTCATGGCGCGCATTGCCCTCATACGTAGACTGTATACCCTCTTCCAGGTCCGAAACACTGTCCTAGATCTGTTCGAGAAGGCTAGGATAGATGCAAAGTCAACTTGTGCACTCCATGCTATGACCTGTTCATTCAGGAACTACAGGAACGCCCAATAATACCAGGAGCGGCAAACGTGGCAAAGAAGGGAAACGGCATGTATGGCCTGTGTCATAGTGGAGAACCAGGGCCGAAGCTCAAGAGGTTCTTGTAAGTGAAGTCGATGAACCATATGAATAAAATCTATGCCGAGAAAGATAAGGCCTTGTATAACGCATAATATAGTAGTCTAAAGGTATCATTTACTAGGGACCATGCTCTATATAGTAATCTATTTAAACGTAAATGAGTCATTATATGCCCTGTCAGTATATAAGGTATTCCACAGATTGAAGAACACAGCCACAGGCACGACCTTGTCATGAATCATGAGAAAGGGAATAAAGAGCTTGTATTATGTCCTGGCCAGCTGCCAGATCCTGGGCATAAAATATGCCAGAGCAATGGCGTTTCCAACTTCGGGATAGTGTTCCTCGTATCCAACCTCGCTTCGTTCAACATGAGTGATCGGGTTTCAGCCACGCGACGCTAAGTCGGTCCTGTCACTTCGACGTGGCCGTGCCCCGGCCAGCTGAAGGACGCCGTTGCAAATGCGATCTATCGAGGATGCGGGCTTTGCACATTATGCTGGAATCTTTCGCGACTGGTATCCCCTCTATGATGCAGTAGCGTATTGGTGTTATCGCTTTCCTCACTACAACACTCAACCGATGGTTTCACCGGAATGTATACATAATATGACCTCTCCAGGCGCCCTCAGAGGTGCACGAATAATTCTTTGCGCATGTCAACAGGAATAGGGGTTATAGGAGGCCACCCGTTCCCAACAACCTCTCATCAACCCAACATGGCAGGATGGATCTGGCCAACCAGTGGTACAAATCACAGTCCGGTCTTGTTAACATCGATCGAATAGGAATTTACACACAAACATCTCAATATATGGCTGAGCGGGCGCTGACTATTATTAACCATATCCAGCGTTACTGCAGAGCTCTTGCAGTCTATAATACAGTCGCAATAAGCCTAACGTCGGGTATTATCACTGATGGCTTGCTGGTAATTCTACAGGCCTTCGTAAATTTATCGGCTTGCCATCAGCTTCATACCGTTGTTCCTTTGGCCGTGTCTCATGAGCTAGTAACTCTGCAGGGGGGAATCCAGGGGTGGGATTCTGTCGCCGGCGATGCCGTTTGAGTAGGTATGCGGCCCCTCCCAGTACGATTGCGACCAGAACTACGACACCGACCACGATACCAGCAATAGCGCCACCGGATAAAGATGCGGAGGGGGAATTGGGACTTGACGAGGGGGTAGTCACGGCAGTGGTTGTGCTGGGAGGAGATGTCGAGGTGGAGGGTGTGGAGGTAGCAGGAAGCAATGACTGTGGATCAAAAGCCCAGGTGGTCGCGGATGGGGCTTCAGCGCTCAATGAAGAGTATGTGTCTTCCAGTAACTGGCTGCTGATGTTGCCGAGCGGGCTGCGTTCGTTGTTCCAACAGATATTAACCTGGTTGCCCGCCTCGGTACAGGACTCTCTGTATCGTCTGTCAGCATGCGTGCCGTCAAGAGCGGCGCCGAGGTGGAAGATGGGAAAGATAGACAAACGTTTCATAAAGACAACACCATGTGCGATCCCCATTGCGACAGAAACGGGTGCTGTTATTATTGGCACACTCGGAAGTTATTGACCAGCATACATTACCAAGACTATCATTATAGTCGCAACAGTATAGTTTCCCTGTCGTCGGCTCACGAGCACATGCATTGGGGGGTTGACATTGCAAGTTGTTGAATGTAGGGCAGGTATACCTGGTCAGATTCGAGGTGAAGTAATAGTCACTGTAATGCGTCATTTTGGTGGTGAACAAAAATCTCGGACGAGGAACAGTTAGCCAAAAAAAAAAATACGAATTGACGATTAAACAGGGAAAGTAAGGGTTTAATCTGAAGAGAGCTGCAACACAGCCTCTGCGCCAGGTTTGCAGATCTTTTGGGGGCCAGGTCGACTCCTGATGAGAAGAGCTATGCCTTAAACACAGACTCTTACCAGCCTATCAAGGCTGATCTTAGTATTCCTGCTCGGAGCAACATGTGCATGACAGCCTCTTAACCATTGGGCCGAGCATCAAGGATGGCATGAAAGCAGTATAGTACCTCCCCTGCCACTGCACTAAGAACGCTATGGGCCTCTTGGCTTTAGCCTTCGAGGTTTAGCGCCGCAGTTAGTCCTCCAGCGCCGGAAATATGGTATTGACTTGGCGCGCTATCTTTCCCAGGAGGAGGGGGCCGAGGCCGGGGCCTGGCTTATGGGGATAGCGGTGGTGGAAGTTGGCAGTAATCTAGCAGGTATGCTCTAGGTATCCGGTGGGCTCTTCTATAGACTCGTCATAGCCAAGTTATTGAACTATATGCTTCAGAGAGGGGCCGACCAGGCCATTACAGCCTTCAGCTTCGTCATATTACTAAACGGAATCGGGTGTCAACCTATTAAATGTTGGTATAGTCTTCCAGAGAGTATAGTGGAGTCGAGCCAGCGAGTGAGATTGTGGCGGCACATAGCTGCAAGGCAATTGAAAGCAATAGGCACTGGAACATTCGCTGAAGTACCTTCCTGTCTATGTATTTAGTTGAAATCGCTACTAATACGGGACGAGTTTCCCAATCACTATATCGACTCCCGGTCGATGCTGGTTTCAGCAGAGTAACAATCCAGACTCTCCAGGTACTTGGCCGCATGTAGAAAGCCTGTTCCCGTTGGATTGATTTTCCTTATGGCAAGAATGTGTCGGGCTGGCTGAGGTTGGCATGTCCAATGCAAGGGTCAATATACGGGTATGTCATATGTCGACTCTCCACAAAGTGCCGATAATGTCCTTCAGCCCTCGCAATATCCTTGCCCTTGAATTCACTCGTTGAATCTAGCCAGCGAATGAAATATATTTCCCTTGTAGATATATTAACAATAAACGAACTACTTTACGTAGTGAATCATGTAGTTAGTTATCTTTTCTAAAGACGATTATATAATACACACGCTGGTAGTAACCTGCATGCGGTTTATGTTGTATGAAAATCACGGAATAGTCGCGATAGGACCGTGTGTTGGACGTCATATCTGAGATCTGCACTTTAAACATCTGCAACCGGGAGGCGCTGGCTGTACAAACACGGCAACATGTCCAAGCCTTGCAGCTGTATCCGGTGGTTTGGATTCCTTGAGTAGTGGTTGAATCTGTATAAGTCCGAGGAATGTAACCCAACAGTACTACTCTCTCATCATAAAACCACAGAACCGCTTGAAGATATTGATCTATCCCAGTCACGTAGTATAAATATCTTATTATAACAGGCTTGGGTTCGATTAACCCCATCTTGACCTGACCACACTCACTCATCTACTGCGGTGAAAATGGTTGTCAAGTTGGCGTTTCTCCTTTCGTCTCTTTTATCTGTGCCTAGCTGGGCTCAACAGACCCCAACCTGTCTGTCCCCGGCCAACAATGGGGGCCTGAGCAATCAGGCCGTGTGCTGCTCTGGAGCTGGCCGTGACGAAGAAATGGTCGATGGCACGATCTATAGATATGCCTGTAGCCACTATGCTTCCAGCGTCTACAGCCAGCCCTACGCCGTTGCCAACTTATATGAATGTGCCAAGAGATGCTCGGAGCAGGCCGCCTGCTATGCAGCATCATGGAAACCGCACTCTGATCATCCAACCGGTGGAATCTGTTACCTATCGCGAGCCGGATTTTCGGAAAACTTCGACACAAGCGGGAGCTGGCTGCTGCTTGCTCGAACCGACCCGACGGGTCCTGTCGTGGGTCCGGATTGTACAACGGAGGTGGAGAAAGCCCAAGAAGAGTGCAAGAAGGAATCTGAAGCCAGCTGCACTCTTGCAAAGCAGGCTCTGCAAATCCAGAGTCAGCAGAACCTGGCCGAACAAGTGGAAAAAACCGAGCAATGTGAGCAAAGGCTTCACCAGTGTCTCCACCCTCCGGTCGAGCCTTGGAGGCAACAGGCGGCGGCGTTGCAGTGTAAACAGGACGATCATACTGTGGTCAGCACGGGAACGAAACGCTTTAAACTTCGGTGCTATGCGTTTAAACCTGCTAATACCGCAAGGGATATCGGGAAGAAGCTCACATATGCCGATTGCATGGTCTCTTGTCAAGATGACAACTCCTGTCGTGGATTTCAGTGGTCCCCTACTACTCAAGGATGTAAACTTTTCTCTTTTATCAGAGACAATGAGCTCATCTTCAATGGCAATGCATCACCTTATTGGTGGGCTGGAGTTACTGCCTAGCGAACTAGAGAGATGATAGCCCCAGCCATGCGATAGTAGTTAGGTTGAAAGCCGGATGCATCCCCTGTGAGCTTACATTTGTTCCAGAGTAAGATATACGGTGGTATGCCTTTGTCTCTCCTCGTGATATTCTCCTTAGTTGATAACTGCCTTGGAAAGTCTGTGTTGCTTCTGGCATGGCTCGCGATGAATTGTCCTTCTACTGTCTCTGGAGATAGAGATTCATAGTCCAGTATATTACTAGTATTCCAACATATCTACTTCGACTACATTCGTGGCAATCAGCCCGTCTCCTAGTGGTGTCCCTACCACCACCTCTTAGAACCAATTTGGTCATGAAATGAAGGGTGGTATTGCTCTCGAAAATGTCAAAGCCAGGGACAAGAGGACTCTTTATACCACGCAGAGCAAAAGGCTCATGCACTAGACCTACCTAGGAAAGGAGCGTGCGGGGTTTTCTAACAAACTCTTGTAAAAAGCAGGTTCACTTTCAACTGCGATCCTGTCACCTACTTTGGATAATGCAGAAGGTTTACCTACCCACTTCCGAACCAACAAAATGGATAGCAATCTTCCAGTCAAGAACCTCGCACTTAATCCGCCTCCCCTCTCCGAGTTGGGTCAAGTCATTGGTGAGCGATTGAGCCGGCATTTTGGTCATGTCGTGGCCAATGTTGTTCCCTGTCCCGATCTGCGCCAGCCGCCCTTCCATCTAGCTGGGGAAGGCCTTTGCGGCAACGAACGTATTGCAGATATCGGTGGGCCTCCGCATCTACGGCCGTCTCCACGCCTGGACAAGAAGTACTCACTGCCGAACATAATGGGAGTAATCGAAACGGGCCAGCAAAGCTTTGTTTTGGGTGCAGCCGCTGGCCCATTCCACATAATCGGACAGAACTCCGAACTCATGCCGAATCTGGCACGCGGACCTGATGGTGAGTGGCAGAACGAGACGCACTACGCAAAGGTCAACGAAGAGGGGCAATGTCAACTGGCCAAGGTGCCCGACGACTCCAAAGACTTTGGCTTGATGGCCAACCTGTTCGCTTCCGACGGCCTACCAGGAGAAGTCATTCATGTTCGGGCGAAGCGCCGGACAGGCGACCTGAACTTCACGGAAGCGATTCAAGATGCACTGAAAACAGAATATGGCGGGCGGCCCATCAGCATCGGCGGCGTCTTCCTCGTTCGTAGTGGGAGGACCAAACTCCATGTCATGACTGACTTTAGTCCCGATCCTTGTCCCGGGCCCGATCACGAATGGTTCAAGTATTATGACTCGTCAGCGCCGTTGATCTGTCTCACCGTATTCCACTCGGCGGACTCAGAGGGCTGGGATTTGCGCATGGAGCACGCGCATTGCTTCTCGACCCATGGGATGGGTGGACATTACCACTACGATACGACGGCAGAAGAAGTCGAATATGAAGCCTGGCTGAATACCGCTAAGCTGCTTTATCGGATTGACCAGCCCGGGCAGTGACCTCAAATTTGGGGTATGTATATAGCGTGCTTTGTACCACCGAAATAGACCATCTGCTTCAACATATGATATGCTTCCAATGGTCAAACAGATAGACAGCCTGCATAGTGACTTATAAAAAGACAGTAGATTCCACATGCTCATTATAAATTAGGCGAAGGTACTCGGATTTAGGGCTGCAGAGAGCTTATCTCCGGCCATCGCTATGGATTTAAGACTATCTTACCTCCGACACATGCCTTACGCTTGGCTTCTTCATCGCCTCTTCGTCATCACTCATTTTTTATATACATAAGCCTTGCTGCCAAGCTTTGTCCCACTTTAAACGTTTCAGTCTCTCTCATTTATTCTCCACCATGCCTGAAAACCGAAGCGTCAAGGCCGCCCTCGCACTAATCGACCGGGACCCTACGAAGATTCTTGGCCTGGCAGTAGGGCCTCACGCCAATGTGAAAGCAGGCCAATACATCCCTAAAGCTGGTATAATCACTCGGTCATCCAGACAATCCATAGGGCCAACTGACAATGCAAACCTAAGATGCCCAATCCCACCCCACACTCTCATTCGACGTCCCCTCCACGTCAGCAACTTACATGGTCGTTAGTCTTGACATCGATGCCCCGTTCCCCTCCTTCGGCGTACTAGGACCTATCCTCCACTGGATCCAACCGGGACTTCAAGCAGGAATGGCCAGCTGGAAGTGACCAAGCCGTTTGTCGCGAACTACATCGGGCCCGCGCCACCACCGGGTAGCTCGCCGCATCGGTATGTCTTCTTTCTGTATGAGCAGCCCGAGGAGTTTGACGGCAAGAAATATGCACCGCCGGATGGCCAGAACTTGGGTAATTGGCATCGCATGCGGTATGATCTTGATGCGTGGGAGAAGGAGATTGGTCTCGGACCGGTGTTAGCGGTTAATTATTTCACCAGTAATTAGTGGAGGTTCTGCATTTGGATTCGACTACTTTGTGTACATGGCTCAGCATTAATTAGTGTTCGTTGTCCTAACCATAAAACCTTGGAAGTTGAGAGGACAAGTATTAGCGCGTTTCCATAAAGCTTAACACGTTGCCAGTGCCATCCGTGACCGGAATAATGATAAAAGCAAGAATGGCGGTAGACTGAGAATCCTTTCCAGAAGGCCTGATATTACCATGTCTGTTATCCATGTCCTGGCGGGGAAACAATAGACGATGAATATACGTCCTAGGCACGATTCACCGGGTTCTACCTTTGTAGAACATGGGTAACTCAGGCTAGGCTGGGAAGAGTCCCGTAGTTTCGACCGAAGCTGCCCGCGAGGTTTCATTTTCAAAGACTGGCTAGCCAATAAGGAGACATCGGATGATCAACTCAATGCTAGTTGGACGATTGTGGTTGGACTTTAGAGCCACAGAAGGGAGACCCATGCCCTTCACTCTGGACAGATTCCATATACCACTTAATCGATCCAATGAGTTTTATAACGGATTGCCTAGCGTGGTAGGTACCACTAACTTTCATTCAACCACTGAGAGAAGTATGGAGTGTATGAATCACTGGTCGAGCGACGCCACTGCATTGGGGGACGAAAGCAACACACATAAGCAAGTGGCACGCTTGGAGAGGCTACGCAGCCTGGGAAACTCAGATGTAGTTTAACGCAGCCTATTGTCACTTGTATTCAAGAACAAATCATAGCAAAGGTTTAACATCGAATTGCTGATGCACTATCCGTCTAGAGTCCGAAGAACGATTGGTTTCCGTCGGGCACGTCATCGAGCCACCCGAGGTCAAATAGATCACGCAGGATTCCAAGCTCATCGATTAAGAAGCTCTTCCCATCCGCTAGAGGCGGGTTCATGGCAGACCCCTCTTGAACCGAATACGCTCTGTCTTGATTTGGTCTCTGCGCGAATCCCGTCGGATCATTACCAGTCCAGGCAGTACCATCGAGTGGCCGAGGCTCAGCCGGAGCGCCAGCCATAGCATCGTATGCCTCACTAGTAAACCTAATCAGCTTCGCTAACTTCTGACCTGCCTCTTGCGCCACCGTCCACGTCTGTCCCAGGAATGAGAGTAGCTGGAGCGCCAATTCCGCTCGCTTCAGACAAACATCCATAGGTGTCGCGCCGCGGACCACCGGATATGTCCAGACGCAATAGAGTACTGTAATCGAGGCCACGAATATAGAATGCGCTGATAGCCATGAGCATTCCATGTTCGAAAAGCGATGCAGGTCTGCATAGATCGCGATAATCTCCATGGCGCTAGTGAAACACTCTTGAACGGCATCTAGATCGGGCCGGGGCATCTGCGGACTTGGACGATAGAGGAGCATAATGCATTGGTGGTATTTGAGTTCGAGTCGTTGAACGGCAACCCCGGAGAGTGGACTGGAGCCACTCTGCAGACGGCCCGGTTGGTGATCTTGCACCTCTTGGATAAGAGCAACACAAGCTCTTTGCGCTTCCTGTTGCCATGCACTTACGTCTGTCGGCCAAGGGAAGCGACTCGGTGATCTGGAAACTCGATACAGCATTAGTTTAATCTCTGCAACGATCCGGTCAAAACGCAGAGAGTAGATGCAGGCAGTGTACGAGGTCGGGGCCCGTCCTGAGATCGATGCTGCGTCTTGAGAGTCAGGGTTCCGGTCCCAGCATGTGGCCGCCTCTTCAACTTCATCATTGCTGTTGAATCCGGGGAATTCCCTATCGATCGCTTCATCTCGCAATGTAAGCGGGCGACCAAGTATCGTAGTCAGGGTGCGATCCAAGGAGTACGCTGACCAAAAGATCGCACTTCGTAGATGCCGTATGTTTCGCTGATATGAAGATTCATTCTCCTTACTACCTATGGTTACATAGATTAGTCATTGTTTATGTCGAATCCTGAATACACGGCATAGCTTGGTCCAGGTGAAACAATCGGAAACGAGTAACCCACTATTATCACGGCGCTGCAGCCCAAGGTCAAGACAGCTTGCGAGTATAGTATGCAATAGATACCACGCATTAAGCCCCTCCGGGCTATAAAAGCTATGTTGCACCAAGAGCAAGAGAATCTGGACTCCTTCAACGCTATCATGAAGTTTGATCTGCGTGCCATAAGACATGCCCGTCGCAAACAGCTCCCGAGAGCCAAAGGTTCCAGATAGTTTGATTTCAAGAGACCTTGCACCGAGAGAAAGGACCAGGAACACCTGTGCCAGTGCTAGTTTCACGGGGAGTCGACTCTCCCAGGTCGATGTCTTGCTGAGGCGAAACACCTCCCCTAGAAGGGTATAGAAGACATCCTGAGATATGAAAGGGTAAAATGTCGACGCAGCAAAATACATCTCAGCATACTGTTGACATTCTGCCATGGAAGGCAGGTCGACCTGCAACGCTTCACACAGTACAGGACCTTGACTGGGGTCGTTTAGCCCTTGATCTTGATCATTCTGTCGCGAGTACGCCAATGGCAGTCCTTGCGACTGGGGCACGCTTTCATAAATTAGACGGGCGAAAGTAACTCCAGATGATGGACCCAAATACTTGGGATCGCTGGCGTTGGTCAAAGAGAGTAAGCCCACTTCATGGGCTAGTGGCTGGTCCCGAGTGATTCGGCTCGACGACGAGACCGTCGGGGAGGCGCCAGGCGTATCATCTGTTTGTGCCGTCCGACTTAGAGGTGAATGGGCATCAGCTAGATGACTAGCCCTGGCAGGGCCCAGGTGGCGGACATCTTGCTGGGGCACTTGTGTTGCAGAGCCATGGCTGTGGTGGTCTTCTTGGCGCCATGGGGTCGGCTGCGTTCGGATATTTACCGAGGGGTCGATCTCTTCGCGGGCCTCCAGTTCTCGCACGCGATTCTCTAGGTACTGCAGTCGACTAGAAAGATTAAGCACACTCGAACAATGCAGACAAGGGGAGTCTTACCTCTTGGAAACCGCGGATCCCGGAGTTCCTTCAAAACATTCCACTCCAGCTCGGGCACAATTCGAGCAAGCGGGTGTCCCGCCGTCGCACCGGACTTTCCGCCGTCGACATCGCACACACGCCAATGGACGACGTCTAAGAGGCGAATTGAGTAAGGCAGACATGCGGAGCTAATAAGCACTCTCACTACAGCATCAGTATCAAAATCTGTCGGACGATAGATTCGATGGAGGCCATGGTGAGAGTCAACTGGAGTTATCGGTTGCAGCTCCGATAATATCGGACCGCGTAAATCACGTCTCCGGCGCCAGGAATTCGGCTAAATCCCGTGCGCGTTCTCTTCAACATACCCTACGTCCATTACTGCCAACTTCTCATATTTTATGGAGCTATTCGCTTTTAGGGCGATGCTATTATGATATGATGGCAAACATCGAGACAAGAAGGCTGGTTTGTCATTGGTCAAACATTCCCCGTCTCAGGAGGATACGACTACAAACTATATTTAATCAACTCTCCAATGGTTTCATTGATGACCCCTGTGGGCAGTTCAAACTATATATTATCATTCACTGTGCATAATAGCTCATGTCCAAGTACAGCCCCATAAGTCATAGCTAATAGCGTTCGGATGATCCCAAAACATCCATCATTCTTTCAATGGATTTAGCGTAGATTTCGACTGCTTGGACTTTAAGGACCGTCAACTCTAGTGAACCAGCTTTCTCAGCTACAAAGTCCGTGTAGTCATCGCGCACGGTGCGGTTCAGATTAATCTTGCGTACGCCATATGTAATTGCGCGTTGGAAAAGCTCGTCAGACACCGGGTGTGTCCCATGAAGGGCTAGTGGCGTAGTTCCTGAAGCCAGTTTCCCAATGGCCGAAAGACTGGAATTCCACCAGGGGTAGGATTAGCCAATGCGTATTGATGTGCGGATATATGAGAAGGGATAGCCCGCAAAAGCTCTTCCGAGAAACAGAAAGGGCTGTGGACATACCGCTCAAGATCCCATGCTTTCTCTGCCCCGCCAGCCGGATAACCACCATGAATATTCCCAAAGGAAGGGGCCAGAAAATGCACACCAGTCCGACGCACGAACGTCTCGGCGTCTGCAGGGCGGGTCATAACTGCGTCCAAGTCCACCGTTGGCAAGCCATCCTCGCCGCCTTCAATACGGCCCATTTCCGCTTCGATGGAGATGTTCAGAGCTCTTGCCCGGTCTACAATTTCTTTGCAATAGCGGATGTTGGTCTCTTCGTCTAGCGTAGAGGCGTCCACCATAATAGAATCAAAAGGTAGGGAGAGAGCAATTTCCACATCCTCTGGCTTGATGCAGTGGTCCAGGTGGACTGCGATCGGCACAGAGGCGGCATGTGCAGCTCTTACAACGTAACGAATGAACTCGGGTCCTTGAAAGTGCATTGTCCAAGGAAACAGTTGGATGATGGCGGGTGAACGCTTGCGCTCGGCAGCCCGAATCACGGCCATGATCCCGTCATTGTTATAGCTGGGTGTGTGTTAGGCGTTGTATTGTAGCTATGCGCGGATGGCATCACTTACCAATTATATGCACCAACGGCGTAGTTGTTCTGATTGGCATGGTTGAGGATCCGCCAGGTCAGGTTGCTGGCGGGGTATGTGTCGTTATCACTACTCATGTTGGAATATTAGATGAGTGACTGCACTATGAGTACCGGAAAGATATTACAGGGTGGTAGTATTACGGAATCGTGAACTAATAATCAACAGACTGTACCTATATCACATATTAGCCTACAGCCAACTGTACGTCTCGGCCGCGGCATATTTCCCTCACGTGTGGGTCAATTATCGCCTTTTGCCCGTCGCTTTCGGTCCGGATTCCTGGGCCCGGTATTCAGCCGGCCTTGACCCACTGTGAGAAACAACAGTGGGACCAAATGAATCATTGTGATGCTGTAATATGGGTGAGTAATAACTCGCATATTGTAGCATATTTTGGGACCTCTTAGTACGTCAATAGGGCATGTTCATTGGCAAGAAAGGTATCCTCCAATCACATGCGCTTGAAACTCGCTGGAATTGCATATAATCTGTATGAGATAAATAAATGAAGACATGATTTGGTATTGTATTTTTGATTTATAGTGACATCAATTTATAGATGTGATAGAGGGCAATTTCCTCGAACTTAATCTAGGGAGGGTATATTTGTGACGTTTTAATCTATATACATAACGAGTTCTCAGGCCAGAGAAAGGGGGCTTTCAGACAGAGGAAGCTCAGAAACACCGTATTGCTTAGCAGTCTCGAGGAACATCTGCTTTTCAGCATCCGCATATGGGATACCTTCCTTACGACGCTGTATACCGAGGCGGTGCTCTGGCTCTCCGGGGAAGAGCACTTCATTGAAACCTGGGGCAGGGGTAACGCCATGGACACGTTGCACCAGAGTGTCCATACGAGCCTTGAACTGATCCGTGGTCATAAAGATATCAGGCTTGATGGCGATGAAGCAATGTCCGACATTTTGCGGCTTGGGGTCCTTGTACTGGTCTCCGACTTCACCACCAAAAGCGGCGCCTGTCAAGACACCCGACATTACATCCATCAGGATAGCAATACCGGAGCCTTTGGGTCCACCAATCGGCGCCATGCTTCCATTCAAGGCAACATTGGCATCGGTGGTTGGATTGCCGTCCGCGTCCAAGGCCCAGCCCAGTGGAATGGACTCACCGCGACGGGCGGCGCGGCGAATTTTTCCCTTCGCCACGACAGAAGGCGCCATGTCGAGGATGTAAGGAACTTCGTTGTTGGAAGGGGCGCCTGCTGCAAAGGGCGAGATTCCCAGAAGAGTCTCCTTACCCCCAAAAGGAGGCATCTGCTTGGCAGAGTTCGTAAAGACAAGAGAGATCATGTTCTTCTCCAGGGCCTGGATCACATAGGTGGCGGCCATGCCAAAATGGTTCGAGTGATTGACTGTCACCATTCCAATACCATAAATCTCTGCACGCTTTACAGCCTCCTCCATTGCTCGGGTGGCGACAACAAAGCCAAAACCATTGTCACCGTCTAGTTGAGCCACAACAGGTGTTTTCTCGGTCAGCTTGAACTCTGGCCTGGCCTTGACGCGGCCATTGCTGACACGGTCTAGATATTGAGGCAACCGAGCCAACCCATGGGTGTCCTAAGGCATAGTAAGGCTACAGGTCACTGTGCAAACAGTCAAAAACTCAAGGTAGTGGAACTTACAACCCCCCGAACATCTGCCATAACCAAGCAGTCGGCCATTGACTTGGCATCTTCCGGAGATAGGCCAGCTTTCACCAGGAGCTCCGAGGCAAACTGACCAGCGGTTGTGGGATCAGCATAGTAGCGAGTCTTCGTAGCCAAGACGTTAGTATATCTATCGGATTATCCGAAACTCAGGACCACTTACGGAGTCCATTGTGCAGTAGTTGTTATCGATATGAATTGGTGACTGGAGGTACTTTGCACTGGCTTTCTGCACGCTACAGAGCTTACGTTGCTTGCAACGTATAAGTAGGGTTTAGTATATACTGAGGGGGAAATAAAATGTAGCAGGACTCGGATAGGAGGGGAAGACTGAAGACGGTAACGGACCGAAGCCGAATCGACTCCACATGTCTTGCCGTCGGATCTTAGCCGATGACCCGCCGATTCATTAATTTCCTGGATGGTGTCATTGTAAAGATTCAGAACTGTTTTCTAACCTTTCTTAATTTTGGACCTGTCATTTGGAGTGATTATCGGGCTACCAACTTCTAATCGAGTATGGCTGTTAAGATTGCCACACCTCTGCGGGCTTTAAACCCACAGCGCTTTGCACGGACCGTCGGCAGGCGACTGTACAGCAGCCAGGGCCTAACTGTGGCCGTCTTATTCCAAGACATTGACCCTCCAGTCATTAACAGGGTTCGTAAACCTCGTAAACCAGGTGGTGAGTGCGTGGATTGTTTATTACAATAAAGCCCTGTCACGCTTCTCCTTCCGTTTCATGTTCTTCTCTATTCTCTAGCTCTTACCCTCAGAACTAGGCAATGGCTCCATTGGCACAGTCAACACAGATCGTCATCAGCTAATTCAACTCCTACAGGCTATCAAGACTCAGGAGCAGATATTGCCTACACACTGAGGTCAAAGGGTATCAACATCACTACCCTGGACCCCTCACCACAAGTGTCCAAGCACGAAGGCTGGTGCTACCCGGATACAGAGGAAGGCATTGTCTCCGCCGTCGATAACGGCGCCACTCATTTGTGGGCCAATACAATCCTATTTGATTCGCACCCGCTACAGCGATCTGACAAACTAACGTCCTATGCCTCGGACCTATATGTCGTGGGTCAGCCGCCGGGCCTGGTAGAAAACTGCGACGATAAGGCATTCCTGAACGATAAACTTCGCTCATTAGGCGGCTACACTCTGCCACACTCATGGCTAGTGACAGATTCTGATAACCTCGACGAGTTTGTCGGCTCGATCAAAGGCTTCCCTGTCGTGGGCAAACCTGTTCGCGGACGCGGAAGCCATGGCGTAAAGCTATGCCATACCCCCGTCCAGCTTAAGCAACATATTGAGGCCCTTCTTGGAGAGTCGCCTCTCATAATGGTGGAAGAGTACCTAGCGGGCGAGGAGGCTACCATCACAGTTATGCCGCCATCGCCGGAACGGCCTGAGCACTGGAGTATGCTGCCTGTGACGAGATTTAACCATGCGGATGGCATTGCTCCATACAATGGGTCTGTCGCGGTAACGGCCAACTCCCGAGTTGTGACAAACGATGAAATGAAAGATCCAGCGTATGGAAAGGTGATGGAAGAATGTCAAGACGTCGCCAAGCTCATTGGAGCAACAGCGCCGATTCGAATTGACGTGCGACGTTTCCGGGAGGGCTCGGAGTTTGCGCTTTTTGATATTAACATGAAGCCGGTAAGATGCTTTGAAGTGATAAAACTTTTGTCTATCTATTCGCATCTAGCCGCTAATTATGATGTTTGAAATACAGAATATGACTGGCCCTGGCCGTCCCGGCCGCGAGGATCAGGCCAGCTTGACTGCTATGGCAGCGGCTGCCATCGGTTGGGACTATGGAACCCTCCTGCAGAAGATTTTGGCCAGTGCACAGCGTTTAAGTGCTTTCCGTGATTATCGTAGTCCATTCTAAATCAATTGGAGACTATGCGGAGCTGCAATCATCTTGGGGCGCCAATGAACTTCTAGCTCTATGTACTTTTCGTCCCCGAAAATAAAACTTTCAAGTGACATTTTACCATGCATGTACATTAAACGATCCAATAGCCTGCGAAGAAGTGTTTGTCTATCCAGATGAATAAGGCTTGCTAAGGAATACCTCAACACACAAAATCTAAGTCTTAACATGAACATCTAACGTATCTCACTGAGTTTCTATATGGCCGTTCACGCCGTTGGCTCCATTTATTCCCTTCACATGCAAGAAATGCCACATATATTCATCTTCTGGAGCCACTTCAAAATCGAAGCGTACTAGGTCCTCTTTATAAGGGAACATGTATGTACCGGTGACCCTATGTTCATAGACTCGAATAAGCAAATCTATTCCAAAAAGATGTTGCATCGCTATAGAAGGGTGTGACGTACCAATGGTGTTCTTTGCTGGCTTGATACTTCTCCAGCTCTGCGAGATTCTCATGAAAGCTGAGGAGCGCAATTTCGAAGCCTTTGCTTCTCTCAATCGGGTCCGTCACAGACGGCCCGCCAACTACTAGACGATGCCCTTTCACACAATCCAGCTCCTTCAACTTTTTGAGCTCTCGAACAAACGTGTCCTTGTGCTCCTGCGTCACCTCAGGGCGAAACGTGAACATCACTGATGTTGCAATGTCAGAGGCAAATCATGTGTTCAATGCAAAGGACACCAGAGTACGACTTACCCATGTGAACAATCGTCATATTGGGCTTTTCTTTTTCAGGTGAGGTAAAGATGTGCGACGCAGGACCAGAATGCGGTATTTGGGGAAGGTCGGAATACAATGTTGCCCACGGAAGATTCTAGCTTCTAGGGAGCAGTACTGGTAAGGTAAGGAAGTCAAAGGTCCAAGAGAGATAATGGTGAATCGCCGTCCAAATGTGATTATGTATGGGCTCTATCAAGTATAAGACTATACCTTCAGCACGGTATCGGCTGGCCAATGTCAGTGTCCTAGCTTGTGTCGGGCTTTAACCGCCGTGAAGGATATGGCGGTTAAGTCCCGCAATGCTTCGGTTCGTCACCGTTCCGCGAGAGCGAGATTTCTTCCCAAATAATAAATTTTTCGGCGCTGCATAAAATTTTGATTAAGTTATGCGAGTATAAACTAGTAATTAAGCTGGCTGTTAGCCCTACCGTATATGTCACAGTGTGTCAGTCGGTATACGCGCAATCCCCTCTCAAGGTGTCAATCATGCTATGTAGTTGTCCCTTTCAAAAGTCAGATATTTCTCGGTGCCATTGTTCATATGGTGCCATGGCCATGAAACAGTACAGCAGATGGATAGCGTAGTGGGATTTGTTTGATAAAATTGATCCTACTCAAAGCGTAGATTTAGGTATATACAGGCCTGTAGGGAATTACAATATTTCTAGAACAGTACGGAGGGAGGGCCAATCTTTACCATGCTCTAACAATCCCTCCACCGCTATTAGTGGATAAAGTACCAATGGGTCACAACTTACAAGGATCCCTCTAACGCCGATAGTATCTCTGTAGATTGGCCGTTAACCAAGTAGACGATCATAGACTTACAACCCTTTTTAGACTGGCCAGGTTTACGAAGCTAGGTAATGTCCGTCTCCGTGCTCTTACTTCCCCGCATTGTGCTAAGCATGGGGTACATATGGTAAAGTGGTATAAGAGTGTCTATATAAGCCTCGTAGTTTTCTGGCTTTCTTGATCATAGTCCCTACATGTGCTTGCTTAGACCCGCCTCAGATAATACCACAAACCTCTCTCTCATTGCTCGGTTTCTTTTCAAGCCATAAAATTCTATCCCATACTCATCATGCCAGACGAAGTGAAACACTCACTTCAACATGAGGAGGAAGCCGTTTCCACGGAGAAAGGGATGAGCAACCGAGTGGCTGCCGCGCAGCAAATGAGCTCAGAGGAGTTTGCTGCTGCCGAGAAGAGCTTGAAGCGTAAGCTTGATGCCCGCCTCCTGCTTTCTGTGTGGATTATGTTTGTGATGAACTACCTTGACCGAGTAAGTGTTCGCGAAATGACTAGCAATTTCACTCAACAATACACCATAACGAATCTGGGCAGATAAACATGTCTTTCCTCACTTTCTTTCTCTTTTCTCTAACTAATACTTGCAACTACGGCGTACAGAACAATATCGCTGCGGCCAAAGTTGCTGGCACCGCTCAGTCACTGCACATGACAAGCGAACAATATGCTACCGCAGTGGCTATTCTATTCGCCGGCTACGTGCTAATGCAACTACCGTCGAACGTCTTTCTAGCTCAAATGCGTCCATCTTGGTACCTCCCAGGCGTTATGATGATCTGGGGTATGCTTTCGGCCCTAGTCGGTGTGACCCACAACCATGGGGGGTTGTACGCCCTCCGTTTTCTTCTTGGCTTTGTGGAAGCTGCGTTCTACCGTAGGTGCTCCACTTCTAACGTTCCCATGTTTTGCATTATTTGTTCACTACTAACACATATCAGCCGGCGCATTATTCTTAATCTCATCATGGTACCGGCGTGACGAGATGGGTGTGCGCAGCGCATTCTTGTTCTCTGGGTCTCAGCTGGGTAGTGCGTTTTCTGGCCTCATCGCAGCGGGCATTGAGAGCGGCATGAACGGAGTACGTGGCCTCGAGTCATGGCGTTGGATTTTCATCATAGAAGGCTCAGTAACTGTGTTTATTGCCTTTTGTGCCGCATTCACTCTACCTGACTGGCCCAGTAATACACGATGGCTCAGCCCGACGGAGCGCGCAGTTGCTGAGTGGCGCCTTATTGCTGATGCCGGCCAGGTTGATGAAGACGATGGACGGTGGAGCTACGGGTTTAAACGTGCCTTGGCTGATTGGCGATTATATATCTTTGCTTTGACCTTCCTCTGCATACAAGTAGCGAGCGCCACGTCCAACTTCTTCCCGTCCGTCGTTCAGACGTTAGGCTTCAACCGCGTCGATACGCTTCTACTGACCGCCCCGCCCTACATTCTGGCGCTGCTGATTTCGATAGGCAATAACTGGTCGGCCGACCGACTCCAGAACTCTTCTTATCATATCATCTGGCCACTGGTCTTAGCCATTGTTGGATTTGTCATCGCTGCTGCTACACTCAATACAGGTGCACGATACTTTGCCATGATCGCCATGGTGGCAGGGGGGCACGGGTCAAACGCCGTGCTTCTTGCATGGGTTCAAAAGACAATGCTTCGGCCTCGCATAAAACGTGCATCAGCTGTAGCCTTTGTTAATGCAGTGGGCAATCTATCTCAAGTGAGTCTTCCATTGCACGCTACTTTCCTTGATTAATAACCCCTAACTAACCTTCTTTTACAATCACAGATCTTCTCCTCCTACCTATACCCAGACAACTCGGCGCCGTGATACGTCCTCGCTATGTCGGTGAACGCTGGATTCAGTCTGGCAGTCATTATCCTTACATTGTTTATGCGAATGATTCTGCTTCGTGCAAACAAACGCCTCGCTCGTGGAGAGACAACGGTGGAGCAAGAAATGAAGGGTGGAAGTCAAGCTGAGGTCTTAGGAGTTACCGAGGAAGAGCGCTCCATGCGTAGGGAAGAGTTCCGCTTCATTGCATAGGGGCTGATTCCCGATATTGTGAGAGCTATAATGGGTGTAGCTCTCCATTTGTTGGTATGCCTAGGAGTCGAAATGCAACGCGCTAGATTCTGGTATACATTGTCTGCTATGACCATCAACATGCTGTCATTGTGCCACTGGGGTGGATTATTCTCGGATGTGTTATCACTCAAAGTGAAGGGCTGGATGCTGCCACGTTTCATATATACTGCTACCCTTTACTATATGTTGACCTATATTTGATACTCGTTGACTGTTAATCCTTAGAGACACACGTACTTCTCCACACCAGGGTGAGCAACAAGTGTATAACTCGTTCGGGTTACATTTTCGTGCATGTAGTTCAATAAAAGAAAGCCGCAATTATATTATCTAGCCATGACTATATTCAACGACCACGAAATTCCCTAAAAGCCTCTTCCACAGATCGACCTGCCTTAATAGCCTCTGCACACTTTGCATCCGCATCAGCAATAGCCGGAATAGCATCAAGAACCTGCTCAGCCAGCTCCTGAGGAAGCCGTACGACCCCGTTAAGATCGGCGATAATATAGTCGCCGGGGTTAATCCACGCGTCTTGGTTCTCAGAATTGAGTCGAACAGGTACATTCACTTCCGAAGGGCGACATACTTCGCCGCCAGCAGTTGTACCCACCGACTTTGCGAAGAGAGGAAAGTTGAGGGCACGGTGTTCGTTCAGATCACGGACACGCCCGTCGATTACAACACCAGCTGCATTGAGGGCTTGAGCACGCAAAGTCATGAGACCGCCGTAGACAGCATTGACTTGAGGGAGGGGCTGCGAGATGAAGACCACCGCGCCTTCAGGGATTTTGTCGATCTAAGCAATGATTTAGTGTTACTCACAGACTCCGGTAGAATGTTATGTTCATACATAATTGCCCTGTACTTTCGGAGACGAAACGTCCGATTTGGGGACAAACTTGACTGTCATTGCTTGCCCGACGATCTTCGTTTCACCAGCTTGGAATTGTGGTGAGTACATGGTGAGGCCTTCGAGGAAGCCGCCATTGGGGTGCTTCAGCTTGGATAGGCCATCGGCAACCTGGTAGACATGTCAGCTATACATGATTTATCTAGAACAGCTAACTCGAAAGCATCCAAGAGAAGGTTACTCTTAGTCGCATTCTGGAAACTGTATACTCACATCACAGGCACCCCACTGCTGCAGACGCGCAATGATATCTTTCGGATCTGGTGACATTATAACGTGCTGGATTGTCGGGCAATTCGACCAATTAATATCTTCAAAACTAACTGATTTTGGTCCTCGAAAGCCGGGTTTGAGCCACAAATAATAGTCTTCGATTCCGGGTACCTTTCATGTTTGATGTCATGCGATAACGGCAATTGCTGTGCGAAAGGACAGAGTCCGACTCCGACTCTCGGCTCGGCCATTTGCCGAAGCCTTCGGATATCCCCGCCATACTGTATGGCAGCTAACTGATGTATGTACCGTATCAAAGAAATTAAGAGGGAAAATCAAGAACACGATATTAAGTAAGAGGCTTGGGTGGCCGGTGCTATGCAACTGGTGGTAAATTGAATATAATTAGTCTTCATTAACCTCCTATATCGGACTGTAAATTCACTGCCGAGCAAGGTGCTCACCAGCTTCGCTGAAGGGTATAAAGGGATCAGAATGTACGATTGCAGGACGAATATAGTTGGTCCATATTCCTTAAGCTTTCTTCCCTTGGGCACGAAGTTACGAGGGTACCATTGAGTAACTGTCCATGCAGCTAAAGCTCTCCAGCTAGCAATCAGTTTCTGCAATATATCTCAAGTCATTAAGAGCTTAAGTAACGCCATCATGGGCAGCTTAGCCACCGAAGACAACAGCAGTTTCCCAAAGAAACTGGTTCCATCAGGCGCATGGGACAGCCACCATCATATCTTCGAGCCGGATCGATTTCCGTTCGCAGAAGGTCGACACTTCACACCAGCCCGCGCCTCGCTCGAAGATTTACGGGAGTTCGAACAGTCAGTTGGAGTTGACCATGTCTGCATTGCTCACGGTCTCTCTTACGGACCTGACTGCAAGTCTCTTCTTTACTATTTGGAACAGTTCAGTGGCCAGGCACGGGGTATTTGCGTGTTAGACCTGGAAACGGTTGCAGATGAGCTTCTGGATGAGTACCACGAGGCGGGAGTACGCTCAGTTCGACTAGACTTTTTCCGCCACAAGGCCATGGACAATGTGCAGATTCAAGCGGAGTTGATCGAAGCTACAGCCAAACGACTGGCAAGATGGGGCAGGCCAGGATGGAGCATTCAGATTCAGCAACCTCATCTTGAGTTCTGGCCTCGTCTGCGAGACGTAGTGGACACGTGCCCGGTGCCAGTTGTAGTGGATCATTTTGCCTTGATTGATGGGAGTAGCTACAGGGTCAATGACTATGTCACCAATATCCAGGATGGTTCGTATCTGACCGAAGGAGAGCGCATCGGTCTCGCCGCGCTTTGCGAGACACTCCGAAATGGTAACTTATGGATAAAGCTCTCAGCTCCGTATCGTTGTTCAAATCTGGCGCCCGGCTACGATGACCTCCGGTGGCTGGTGAGGCGTTTTGTGGATGCTAACCCGAGGCGGGTGGTTTGGGGAAGCGATTGGCCCCACACACAACGGCATAAGGATCGGGTTGGCAAGAGCTCGACTAGGGAGGAAGCCTTTCTTCAGATTGACGATAAGGCCTGGATTGAGTCCTTGAGTCGTTGGATGTCGGAAGATGAGTGGCAGCTTTTGTGGGTGGAGAACCCGGCTACGTTGTATGACTACCATGAGTAATTCTACAGCCAATGGAATTATATGAATTAGTATTGAGCACGTATGCGATCAATATGGGAGACTTAAACAAACGCGGCATGAGGCCCAATGTTGTATGTCAATCTACCGTCAAGTAGCATACTCTCTAGCTTTGTTGGCACCACACACTGAGGAAGATGTAATGGAATAAATACGAGATATACCTATCATACTGACCCCTTAATCAACTCTAGCTATGAATGTCCAAAGATTGTTCTGACCTCCACTGAAATAGCATCTGCCACCTGCTCTGTCATATAGCATCCCCCTAGGTCTGGAGTTAAGACATTCCCTGCTTCTACAACTCGAGTTACAGCGTCCTGTATCGCCTCAGCTTCTCTCGCATACCCAGCATGAACCAGTAGCTCCGCCACTATATCAGGGTACAGCCGAGCACCTTCTTGAAAGGTTCGTAGGAAAGGTACGTCCGTTTCGTGGAGGACGTTTGCCTTGTGCAAGCATGAAACCTTCTTTCGACCGTGCTTCCGTGCATATTCAAAGGCATATTGAGAGACTTTCCACGGTGCACTACGGGTGACTCGTTTAATCGCCTCGGTTTGGCTTATTTGACCGTGCTATTTATAACAGATATGTGTGTTCGGTAAACGCTTATTACACGTACCTCAAGGATATTCCAACATTACCAATGGAGATTGTGATCTCAGAGAGAGCCCCGGCGTCCTACACCACTTGATCTACATACCCCGCGCGCTTGCGCGAATGTAGAGTGAAGGTGTACTAATTGAACTATAAGTAGCTAACAGTGCAGACCTCAGACCGACAGTGTTCAGTAGCCCTCGGCAATAGCATGTACCGTTATTCTTATAACATCATGACAAATAAGATATGCGGACGCCGTGCAATGCATTGAAAATATCACTATGAAGAATGTCACTATGAGCCGAAGATCACTTTTCATCAAATAAAGGTACAAACACCAGCAAATCCAAATGTCCTTCCAACAAACCATGAACTCTGGAATATTCTTCAAGAGTTGGTATGTTCCCACTTCCACACAGTATGTATGCCTAGACTCATAATATCATCCTAGATCTGTGTCAACTTCGGTACCCCTCGAAACGGAGGTGGAGACGGCCATGGCTAGATACATAATGTGACCATAAAGGATATCGCACCGAAGGTTGTAAGGCTGCCGATATACACCGACAGATGGCAAGCAACGCCCAACCAGTTGAGACATGCAAGCCAACGAAAGGTTGCTTGAGCTATTTATTCGACCAAAATGTTACCCAGTATTGCGACATTTCCACATTTCACTCGGGTGATCTACACTTCAAGAACAGAACATCAACCTCGATGTTTGAACCTCACTGCAATAAGCCCAACCCACTGCCTGTGTGACCAGCATAGATTTGGCCCACTTCCCACCTGCTATAGATGAAGCTGTCAAGCACTGTTAGGCATATATACACGTGTTCAGTCTGATATACGTCTAGAGTACGGAGTACGGTGAATCCCAGCACTACCTTGTGCATACAACACATAATCTACCGCCGAACGAAAGCACTACCAGTCAACTATTTACTGACGTGGACCACCTTATATTATGCCTTCATTGCGATAACGCATCTTCCGTTTTGCTTTAGGCCAAGTTTCCTAGCGTTTAGGAATTTACCCCGCTTTGCGCCCAGACCTCAGATACAATTTGTTCAGGATATAACGTATACCCAGCTTTCTAGAACCCTCCACTACTGGCCTTGACTTTCTGATCCTGAGATTTTCAACCGTCAGACGGCATAGCGCTGTCCTCCTATCAGACTAGGATTATGAAGGCATAGCTCTATGGAGAGGTTCCCGATTAGAGTGCGAGCAGACTGGGTCAAGTCGGAATCAAAAGGGAAAATTCGAGTCCAAGTGGAATGTAAGGCATCCAGGACTTCCATCAGCAGTCGCTAATGCAATGGCAGGTCACCTTCAGTCCAATAGACCGAACCCATGGATACAGGCTGTGGTTACGCTCCGTTCCGATGAAAAGCTTTGTCTCCACCATTTTGCAGATTGCGCGACATAGGCCGCCCAATAGGTGCATCACCTCCTCAGTGGTGTCTGTGCGCGGGGCGAATCTCCATCGATGAGCTATATCTAGTATGTCGATGGGGAAATAGATCAACGGGGCCAAGCTATTGCGTCAGGAGGGGTAGTGAGGTATGATGGAATGCTTGCGGGAGGTTTATCTTATAAATAGGGTCGGGCTATCCTCGATCTTCGGGCGTTAGATAAACGATTGTTTTTATTTTTCTAGAGTGGAGACAAACTATATCAATATGTCTGAGAGGAAGGTAGCTGATCCTTAAGAGATATGATGTCTTTATACAGTAATTGAGGCTGACCTGATCCCTTTAGCAAACTATTATTCGCTTTACCCCCGATGGTTTTGGACAGCACGATGAAGAGGTCCTCAAGTGGGTTTACCAGAGTGCTTTTCGAAGAAACCAGCTTGCTAACTATTAGTATAGGATTATCATTGAGGACACCGGCACTGATCAGTTCCCCTCGCAACCAAGTTTCCCACCCATTTATCATCCCCCGTAAGTTTCCTTCTTTTTGCTGTGAAATTGACTAATAGGGGATCTTCAATTAGGCCGCTGACTCAGGAGGCTATCAATAAGTTAAGAGCCCTCAAAGGGGTTGAGGTGATTATTCCTTAGGATGAGGACTAGGAAAGTATTATGTATAAAGCTTAGCGAAGCAAGAATACACATACAACATTCATGCTATTAGAGCACAGCTTAAGAAGTCATCAATGGCTAGGTCTCTTACTTAGGCTCTCGATCCTTTTACTACCAGTATTCTATATCCACTGAGCACGACTATTTAAGATAGAACTCCCGAGGGGAAAATAAGCCTATGATCAAGATCGTATTAACAATAGAAAGCCAAATAGTCAATAGGAATACCACTCAATTTTATATCAGGTGCTATCCAATAGATTATTGACTATATAACCCAAGGTACTCCGGCTTGCAATCCTCGTTTCACGTTCTTTGGACCTGTTCCTGCCAAATTACTCTTACATCCGGGTAAAGAAGAAGAAGATGATTCTGTGTTCCCCAAATATAATAAGAATACTTCAATAATACGAGGAACTCCCTATATTTCTATGCTGTACCTACGGAATTTCCTAGGCCTCTTATCTCATGTCATATCAGACGTCGCAGGATCCAGATATCAAAACCCTCTTCTGCTTCACCCCCTTATGGTTTTGCTTTAGGTTTGACTCCCTATCACCCTGTGTGCTATTCGTAGCAATACAACCGTTCGATCTGGCTGGGTAACAGTTGACTTTGTGTCAGAGAAGGAGAGTACAAGTTCCGACGCTCATGCCATCATGTTTCTTCCAGCACTGGCTGGATTATTGTGATCCTCTGGGATCAAATTGACCGCTGGCTTGTATGTACCAAATACGCTTTAACCAGCAGTAAACATATTGATGACAAATTTCTGAGCAGCGAGTTACTTGTGGTTATCAGGCTCATGCGGCAACGGCGGATCAGGTTGACGACTCTTGATCATGACATCGTTCCAATGAGTCGCCTTTCCCTCGTCGCTGTTACTAATGTTGCTTTTTGGCCAGCCAACCGATATCGAAAGATCCTGGTGCTTTATTTGATGGGATCCCAATATGTTAGGATCCTACAAGCTCAGTGCCACAGCTCTGCGCTCATTATGTTAAAGAGCAACCCGCTCGACTTGAGAAACCGGGATCATGAAGCCATGGATTTGTTGGGACCGTGATGTTGCGGCGATATGGTTGGAAATACTCTGGGGCACGAACTTGTTCAAACTAGAACAGTAGGAACTACCGCACTGGGGCCAGGCACGTATGAAAACCTTTCTAGGGTGTTTTCTCACGAGATCTGGGAGTAATGAGTGCGGTGGATTGTCCAACGGGTACTTATGGGCCATATAGTAAGGTAAGCCTTTCCAAGGTCCATTTATATGCGATACATCAATAAATAACTAATGTCGTTTGCAAACAGAAGAGAGGCGCCAAAGTATAGAACTACCCACTTTCAAAATCCGAACATGGCTCTTGGTGCATTAAATCGATCTCAAGAAATTAAGTTGGCAATTATAAGTTTCGCCTTTGCATCATTCTAGAAGATAGCACCCTGTCCTACGTTAATAATAATGAAATCCTCGCAAGTACAGACCCCTGCCCATGAAGTCATACCCTTCTTCAATGTCCGTTGCTAATTTTAACCCCAGGATTGATATTCCGCCTCCTAGCTTGGCATGACATAGCACTAACCGATATCACTGGCTCTGAGCACCTTCCGAGTCAGAGCCCTTGTCAATTCTGCAGATGGAAAGCAAGGAGCCAATGATTGTTCCTACTCTTGTGGAAGACCAACAGGGTTATGAGCCAGCTCGTATTGAGGTGGCAACGGCCAAGCACCGCACCAAGGATGCACCCACCTTGCCCCGGCAACCTAATCGGGTTGATACGCGACTTTCAGTGTAATGTATGAGTACCCAAGATCTCAACCAACGGGCTAGTAGGACTTGTAACCAAGGTCGAAGCTCTCAGGGGACTCAACGGTAGTGGTCTCTTGTGAGAGGACCCAGAAAGGAATCCGGTGGTAAAAAACTGTCACAATGATGCAGTGTTGTTCGTATTCGCTAGTCATCTGCAATCCTTTGGCCAATCACTGTCAAGCAGACTGAAACATGGATCGTGGGAGGGATATTTGTTATAGGTATAAGAGGAGCCTGTCGTCGCGAGGGATTCAGCGTCCAAGACATACTACCAGAATCGAACCAACGTAATCGATACAATGTATATCCCCGGAAAATTCTCTCTCCTTGCTATCACCCTCGCTCTAGGGGGCTTAGCAGCTGCTGGTGGTTGTGGCGACGCTGATGCCTGCGTTGGAACTGAGTTTTGCACAACTGCCACCTTCACCACTCCAACCGCGACAACTATAACAACTTGTGTTCCCACTCCTACCTGCTTAGGCGTCTATTGTGAGTAGCGTTATCTATTGAATATGGACCTGTTAGATTGACGATGTCCAGCGAACTGTGTGTCTGGCGGCGGAGGTCCATCGTGCTGCTCCACCTATTGCGCAGCTACGAAGTGCCGTCCGACTGATCCGAAATGGCCCGGCTGCTCGGAGGATCTGGGTGTTTGCTTAGCTGACGAGAACTGCTGCTATAAGAACAAGTGTATCGATGGCCTTTGCCGCAGAGTTCAAAGAATAGATAAGAGGGCAGTAGTGTTTTGAAGCAATCCTAGTCAGGGTCAAAGGAGGAGGATGGCTTGTCATGCGGTGACCGAGTTACATGATCTATTCTGTCGATATTTAGGAGCTTGTCTCTATGGAAGGCCCTGGTGGTTTACGTTCTAAATTGTTTGATGTTAGAGACAAGTGATCAGGTGAACAGCATTGTTTCTCTCTTAGCCAACTGCAATACTACCATCAAGAATATTTTATTTCACTGCTGAGCTTTTCAATACATCTTGTAAGAAGTACCCTTCATGTTTGTATACCATATTTCTAACCACTATGTGTGTCTAACAGTTGAGGTTGACAGCTATTGTCATGAGTTAGTATGGAGATTTACTCAAAAGCGGAATAAACAGAATACGCACCGTTGGCGAATAGGGCATAGGTGTCTGCATTCAACAGAGCCTGGCTGGCACTCAAGGCGGTGGCAGCGTTGTATCCATAGCCAAGGTCATCCGTTCCAGGGCTGTACACGCCCGGGGCATGAGTAAACTCATGGAGGGTGGTAGTGGCCTGGTCCTGAGCGTGGCAAGTGCTAGTCAGTGCCGGGAGGTAGGAATAGTAGATGTCACAGTTGGCGATGATGTTATAGGCCGGAAGGGTATATGCAAGCACGTTGGAGCTGCAGTATCCATACGTGTCGCTACAGTAGTACGTGGTACTTCCGGAGGAGGTCGACGCCGCTTCGTTAGCGACGGCGTTCAGGCGAGCAGCAACCGTGCTGCGGGTGGAGCTGGAGGTCGTCTTGAAGTACTCCTGGAAACGGGAGGAGGATCCTGACTGCGCAGCAGTGGCAGCTGCCCGTGCCAGGGAGACTGTATTTCTCAGCGCAGTCTGTAGAGCCGACAATCTGCTGCCAGAACAGGAGGCGATCCTGGTACGACGCTCCAAGATCTTGACCGCCTGGGTAACAGTCGCGGCCTCAGCTGCATCGACATCGATGGAAAGCTCGTTCGAGTTGAATGGAATGTACCCCGTGACCTTGTTCTCACTGGTAATAGGCACCAGACCGTTGCTGTTGATGGTGATAGTACCACCCTCGGACAGATCGCTGGTGCTTGCAATATCGAACTCGTCCTCGATAGTGGCACCAGGGGCAAGGGTTGTCAAGGCATCATCAGACAAGCCTTCACTGACAAGACGTTGCTTGATACCCTGGAACTGAATCTCGGTTGCTAGGTGATGTCAGTGTATGCTTGCTAGATGGAGGTTCGGAAGCATACCATTGCGGAACAGCGACACCTTCTGCACCGGAGCGGCATCCTTGAAGAAGTTGAGGTGCACAAAGGTGACATCCTCGCTGCCAGTGTTCTTGACCACGGCCTTGATCCGAGTGTTGCCCACCTGGCTCAGAGTCACGTCAAGTCCTGGGGCGCTACCGGCAACCTCCACAGGAACGGCATTGAGAGTAGGTGCCAGGGCCAGAAGAAGAGATGAGGCAGAAATGAAACGCATCTTGAGGGTTTTAAGGACTAGAGGTACTGGAGAGGACTGTTGAGCTCGAATGGCCTGTTTGTGATGGAGTAACCGCCGGTCGTCACAAACCCTTTTATAGATGGGTGTTACGCTTCGTGCGACCTTGAATTGGCTTTCTATCACCCCTCAACCTTTCGTCCTGATGCTGCAGTAGCATGGGCTACGGAGATAGGTACTCTGTCCCTGGCACTTTTGGCATCTTCGAGGGGCATGGCTTCAATGTCGGCACGCACGGGAAATTGAAGCAAGAATCGATTGATGTTCTCCATTGGCTATGATCGAAGACGTTGTGATAGAGCGAGCTATTCAGCAGTGGTCTATAGTAGAAAGGTTCCTTGGCCCGGCGGAGAACCGCTGCAAGCTATATAGATTTAGGAAGGTCCGTCTCGGAGTTTACCATACCTGGTGCAATCGCAGAGCGAAGCCAAGACGTGGCTTGATGGTGTTTCACCAAGCAATTGATAAGAAGGCCTTAATCCCGTCGTATCCCCCGGCTTCCGTTCTTGGCAGCAGTCCAAGGCTTTCTTGGCGCATCAGGAAGTCACGGCAGTCTTCAGGCTTCTTCATCGGATAGAAGTGGTGGTGTATAAGGTGGGCTTTCACAAGCTGTAGTCTTGATTGGACTTGAAAGTTTATAGTTCTGACATACATAGAACAGTTGGTGTATATCCCCAACACTAATAAACGTGAGAGATTATTTTTATCCGAAATGAAAAGCATTTTCATTCATCTTCGAAGAGTCAGCAGGTTGCAGGATGGTGTCATATCAACTAGTGCTCGGGCCCGGCACTATAATGCTTAGTCGCCATCCAGAAAATGCCGGGTGGGTTTAGGTCAATCTAAAACCCTTGAAGAATGTAACCCAAGACATGAAAGTCCTCGGCATTCTAAGAGTATTGGTATTTTCCGTCAATCAAAGCGTTGATTTCCGCACATAAGTGGACAGTGGGGAACCCATTCCCTGTTCACCAGTATCACACGATGCAGGGTTGTCCTTATTATTGGCCTGCTGCGATAGTGAATGCCGAATATTAGAAAGCCGTAGTTCATCGGCGCATTCCGGATTGTCCCTTATCAGACACCTGAGAATCTAGAACCGGGGTTGAGTCGTTGCATACCCTTCCAACTCACCACTTCCGCAATATAGTCGCTCTTCAAAACTGTCGTCAATAGTCCCCATTACACTCTTTGCGCAACAGGGCTAACAGTAGCGATGAGTACTTCCCTTTCACTGCAAGTTACCCTCACTCCACCCATTATTCCAGCCTTCTCCGAGCCACCGACAGTGCCTATACAAGTATCTGTGCATAATCCCTCCGACACGCCGATCACATTGCTCAACTGGGGTACCCCGCTGGACCCTAGCGCTAATGTCCTGAGTATCTTCGAGCTCCGTGATACAACCGAAAATCAGCCGGTGGTCCTGCCAACTGTCAAAATATCCCGTCGGCTGCCACCTTCAACCGAGGATCTAGTAGAGATCCCTGCGGGTAGTTCTGTTGAGAAGGAGGTTACACTGCCTCACGTTCCACTCATTATGGGACACGAATATTCCGTCCGGGTGAAGGGAAACTGGCATTCGGTGTGGAAGAGTCCTCGTGAAGACGTTACTGCGGAAAGGCTGGAACAGCTCGGAGATGCCCAACGGGGCGAGTTCTCATCTGACGTTGTTCCCCTACGCATTGAATAAGAGGGGCAATACTGTCGCTTGTTGATTTCTTCCGACGTTAGAGTCGGTTTTTATGTTGCTTTCGTTTGCTATTCGGACATATGCGTACTGAGATGCGACCAATAAAACTTTGGCATCACGAAACACCGTGCACTTCTGGAGACAACAGTAGACCTATTAGGGGTTCGGCCTAGTGGTATACTTCCGCCTGTAGATCGAAACGAAATCCATGGAGCAGGTCTGACGTTCGATGAGATAATAAGGCTTGTGTGTTTTTCACCGGTGTTTTATGAAACGAAGCCACTTCTTTTGACAATCCCCACGCGGTTGTTGTCTGTGATAAACGAAGTGAACGTAAGTCAAAGTCACCGTCTTTTGGCAGACAGTTGAAGATACCTACATGTTCGTGACATGAGGTGGTATCAAAGGCCAGTGTCATATCGCAGGGATGGGTAATATCCAGACTGGAAGACGGTCCAAGGGAACCAGCTCACATATACATTTCAAATATCTCAGTCCCATATGCCGCAGTACCAAACGGAGCGTCAAAAGCGAAGTGTTGTCTTGAGGTTTTGAAGCGAACTTATGGATGATTGAAGTGAATGCAAGGCCCTCGACCAACAATGCAATCAGTCATCGACTGTCGGTTGTTATGTTTTCCTGCATTTTCTACCTCTCTTGAAAGACGCAGCGAACGTCTCAGCTTTCCATCAGCTCTACGTCTGTGACATTGTGGTCTGGCGAAAGAAGCGAGACTTTCCAGACATCCAAGTTTAGTCGAGTCTTACTTTTCCGAAAGCTAATACAGCAAGGAAAGAGACTCCCTGTCCTGCCAGTGTTATTTCCTCAAGACATGCCTTCCTTCATGTACAAGAAAAAGAGTAGCGGAGGTTTCCCGAGCTGCCGCATATGCCGCATGGGTTTCCAGATGGGCCCAGGCGACCTAGACAGTCTAGGCGGTACAAATGGGCTGCATGGGCGCCTGCGCCGCCATCGGGGACTATACCATCTACACCAGTTACGAAAGAAGTCTTTCATTACGCACTTGGACTGGTCCCGCTTCTACCGCGTGTGTGAGTCGTAACGTCTGCGCCTGAAACACTTGGACTTCACTTCAGCTGACCGCAATGATAGACCTCCATGATACTCGTAATGACAATTATCGGATCTTGGGGGTGAGCATTCACATAGCGGTCGAGGTGCTGGAAGCAGTGCCACGTGATACGGCGATGGGGGTTATTGGATACCCTGAAAAGGACAGAGATCGTCTGATACAGGCAACAAGAGTTGGTCAGGATAATGACACGAGTTCTAATGGTCTTGTTGGCTACTATGTCCACGACAGTTGTTGGGAGTTACTTACCCACCATGCCGTTGGGGAAATTGCAAGGCGCTACTTGGCCTTGGTTGTCAAGAATCTACTCTCACTGCTCAAGGAGAAACCCCTACTAGCCCTAAAGGGTTGGAGAGAAGCTGTTCGTGGCAACCTCGTTTTGGATGGTATGTATTGCCTGAGCCTACAGTTCGACTAATCCAGACAGCACTGACACCAAGTTCATTATCCAACCAGATCCCGCACCTATCAAGATCATTCAACATCTGATCAAGCAAACTCGAACTCGGCCTCACGCGCGGTTTTACATACAAGGGCCGGTCAACAGCCGTTTGTGCTACCTTCCAGTGGAGATACTGTATGAGATCATGGATTACGTTTCCCCCAACGACGTCAAAAACGTGCAGATCGCCATAGAGTACTCCCTTGGAGATGGGTACTGGCGCACACGTGTGCGAACAAAGCTAGTTTACGAAGTAAAAAGTGTCCGGGATGAAACTTCGGACTGGCAAGCACTTTGCTTACAACTCAAAGGGTGTTCGGAGAAGGGAGAACTAATATTGCACCGATACATTGTGGACCGATTGGACAAGAATCAGTTTCCTTTACCAAGGAGGCAAGGAAGGGCGATTAGAACGCGGCAGAGGTGGCAGTGTGGACACGATGGGAAAGGTTGTGACGCGTATGTATTTAAGACGAAAGGAAGAGTCAAATAACAAGTTATGACGTGTTCTCACGACCACTATTGCTCAAGCCAAAAGTATGGATGAAACGGTAAAAAGAATCAGCAAAAATAAAAGGCAAAAAGATATCGTCAGCGACAGGATTTGAACCTGTGCGGGCGAACCCAATAGATTTCTAGTCTATCGCCTTAACCACTCGGCCACACTGACTACTTGATGTCTTGATTCTTTCTTTTTAATATTATGTTCAAGGCCAGATATTGCTCCTCTATGTGACCAATACCAACCTTGGCAGTTGTGTGAATTTTGGGGTAATAAAAGTTATATACGAAATCACCTTTCCCTCACATTCATCTCTGGCTTATGTTTATATCAAAAATGTTCTACCTATGTATTGTATCTTTTCGTAGGGCGGCCTTTACAGCCTATCGTCAGTTCAAATGCATGTGTATCAAAAATATATATCTACGGCCTATTAGACAATATCTGGGAACGGGTACCGCATACACTCATTGGAGCTATTAATTGAAAATTGCCCTGAATCTCTTCGTAACGGACGATACCTCCGAGAACTGCTGTTGCATAGATCATCATAAACATACGTGATGTTTAGCAGGATATAACGCACTATGTAATCATCAGGGGTATCTGGACTCCACATCGCACCACATTACTTTTAATTGTACCAATGGATCGATTGAATATGACGGGGTCAATCTGTTCTCTACAAACGGCCATGACGGCGGTGTCTCAACGCGGTGACATCAGAAGGATATGAAGATAATGCTCATTGCCACTCGCAGTATGGTAAAAAGTGCTAGAGTAAACCAAACCCTACAATATGGGAAGGAACTATCAAACAAAATCTTCAGAATTCAAAGCTTGTCGTCACCTTCAATTAGATGAATCACACAAACGAGTCGTACTCACCCTTTTCTTCGAGTGACATGATCGGTGGTGCCGATAGCCCCATCCACGCAGCCCATGATACAGCATGCGACACATACGATGCCGATGCAACGACCAATTATGGCGTCCGAGGGGCTAAACGCCTCAGTATCAAAAAGGAGACGACAACCGACGTGAGTATCCACGAATGCGAAGCCCCTAGTGGCGACCGAATTAAGAGAACCAACTTCGAGAATGGCCATGGCTGCACGATTTATAACACCAACACCGGAGCATACGATGAGACATTAGATTGTGGCACGGACGATGGGGACCATCACCATCGCGAGAAGCTTACCGCCGACAGTGTTTATCAGCTGCAAGATGTTGATTTGCATAAAGATGGAACGAGGTATGTTTATCGCGAGTACGGCAATCCGATTACTGGGATCACGACTTGCGTACGGGGAACTATGGGCGACCGTGCTTTTGAGGCGGACTTTTAGTGCGTACTGGTTTTTATACTTTCTGTATCTCTGTGTAGTAGTTAGATGCCAATGTTAGAGACTTAGTAACTCACGTCTTATATTCGTTACGTCGGTGAAAGCAATTGAGGTTAAACACTGAGACGTGTGGCTGAGCCATGTAATCTCTGCGATATTGCCTGCTTGCTCTGACAACGCAACGCTGGTTCCATCCAAGTACTATGCAACTCATGAGCAATTATTCGTATAGGCGTACTATATCATACATTGCCAGACATCCCGGCCCTACATACACGCAACGCAGAAAATGAAACACGCAAGAGCCAAAGTCGCACCAAGGTAATAATTTCACATCCGTGGCTATCTAGTTATACCATCAACATGGCCATGGAAGAAGTGGGAAAGCGAGGGAAAGGTGAAGAAAAGCCCCAGTATTCTAGTCTATGACGGCCGAGCTACGCGATGAGCAACATGTGGTTGAGAGAATAGTTAACCCAATCTGAAGAAAGAAGGATTAGGATCAGGAATCAGAATGTCGGCCTCTGCTATATTTGAAAAAGGGTAGAAACATTCCTGGAGTAGCTTCCGGAATGTATATGAAATGAAGTATGTGTTCAGAACCCCTTGTAGATCAATCTCTCTCTATTGTCGGTTTTGCCAGCATATCCCTATCGTTGGATCGAGAACCTGAAATACTCTGCTTTATATAATTCCAAGAATATCTATAGAGTGTGTGGATAGCCCATTACACAACACCACGGCTTACATCTAGCGTGTAAGAAGTCTCCCGCCATTCTGGGCGTATGAGCCCGGCGATCTGTAAATAGACCAATATGACTCTTATGGCTTATCCATGGCATGGAAAGGGAGGATATTGTGGTGGAAGCTGACTGTGTCGATAAAAATCTATGCGTACGATCGACATGAGTATAGTTCAGAGTTGGAAGAGGCGGACAGACACCATAAGATTGTGAGATATGAATGTCGATTAGGATTGATAAGAAGCGCAATGCTTGTATTAGATGTCTGTTGTACATGAAATAACACTTCAGATGCCGCTTTGTTGTTCGAGTTCTTCCTTCCCTGTTTGCTTGACGTGCTTAATGCCCTCCGAATGGGCCACGCGATTCGCACCAAACACTGTCGATGACGGGAATACTTATCGGGGATTCGTGTTCGCCAGGGCTGAGAAGGACCTGTCTCTCGGTACAATCGCGACCGCTGAAGATTGATCAGCATAAATTGCTTGTAGGTCGCCTTGACGGTCGGGCACTTACAGGAAGACTCGGCAATATTGGGAAACGTAGATGGCTGTAACGTCTCTATAGGATTGTTACCTTCGGCGTCCTTAGCTACCATAATCACTCGTACTTACTCTGCGTGGACATCAAAACACTTCTTTAATGGAATGTGGTCGACGTGAAAGCTGGACTCAGCCGTCTGAAAGCCGACCTGCACAACAGAGAAATTAGTAAAGATCTCTGTGTACTGAGAGGGATCGCATACGCTAGCTGTCTCTGCTATAGTGCCTGTGGCCATGGCTAAGGCCAAACCCAGGAAAGAGAGACGCTTGAGTCCGTACATTGTGGGTGGATGAGAACTGGGTAGAAGTCGTCCGAGTTAGGTGTCAGTGTCAAGTGTCTCTCGATGAGTGACAGGAGGTTTTAACTCGTCGCGTCTTAACGGTGGTATCCCTTGCTAGGAATGGCCAGTTGTTGTTTTGGATGTTAGGGCATCCCTTGCGTGATTGAAGGGAACACCAACCACATTCCAGTACGCCACTTGTTCGGCGTCTAACCGTCCCTTTCCTATAGTTCATCGAAAAAATGCTTCATTTTCTTCCGCATAGGATGGAAATAGAAGACAATACATGTATGTTGAATGTTTCGGTGTGGGTATCTGCTGTTGTAACCAGATGCGGGTTTGCATGGAGTAGCTTTCACGAATGCCCCATTGCCATTAGAGATTGAAGTAGGGTCAGTGCCTCCCCCTTTGAAGCTTATTCATACGTATCTGGGCGAAAACGGACACAGTAGAAGGGGCATGTTACGATCACAAATGAAAAGCATTTCGTTATTATTCATCCCTTTTGGAATTGCCCCCGTTTCCATATCAAGGGGGAAAAGGAGGCCCAGATGTTGCTCAATCCCCAAAATGAGATCATGCATGTGCCTCTACTGCTTTGAACCTTTATCCTCTATAATGCTATTTGATGATATCTATCTATATGAGAGCCGTTGAGCCGTGTAAATGTACCCTCGGCTCTGGTAGGGTCTAAAGATCGTACAACAGTAAACCTTTGTAGACCTGAGTCTAGTGTGCTCTGTTTCATTTTATGCACACCATACCTTATGGCTATCTGCTGTGAATCTATTGGCACGTACACCTTTCTTGTATCAGTCGATCCGGGGCTGTTTAATGTCCGGAGGAGAAATCTGATAAGGGTAGGCCGGTGGGCTTGCTCAACTACCGGTAAACCGTCCAGTACAACCAGATTACCGGGTTCTGGGCTGGCCTTCGTGAGCGGTCATCAGGGCCTGTGCGGAGAGATTACTTGACAGTAAGTCGTGGAGAAGTGCATCCCATATTCCAAGGCAGCCTGTGAACGTACTGTCGCTAACGTTATTGGCCCTTAGAGGTGGGGTATTGGTAGCGCCACTGATTACTACGTATATACATAGGAGTTTAGCCTTGATTACAGTTTATAGATAGATGCAGGCAGATAGGCAAAGGTGCATTGTGGGTGGGGATACCCATACCAAAAAAGAAAAGTTTAACAGAATGCTTGAAGGTCTAGAATCTGTCTGTACAGTATCGACCGTAGGATACTCTACTATTCTCCGTTCCTAACCACTCTGATACGCCCTAGGCAGAAGTATAGTCAGGCTTCGTAAACATGCCCAACTCCATCTAGTTAATACAGGCGACCGTGGTGTCTCCCGTTACAGTGATCGGAGCCGTCAAAAGGTCCAGAGCTCTACGACTCTACCAAACCTGTTAGTAAAAGTTGGATCGAACTAATAGAAGAGTTTCACGGTGCTAACAGGGCACATGACTCATAATCTACTCCGTAAGCGAAGGACAGCCAGGCTATCGTATGGGTCATTTGCGCCAAGGACACAGTCTAGGCCAGTAGCGTTCGTCGGCAATTAAAAAGGAATGGAATATACCGGCTGTTTAATTAATGAGTCTTGTCCCTCGGAATCTATTGTGCTGCAGCCTTTTGGCCCCCTTTCCTTTCTCCTATGTATCCTCTCTTCTGCCCTCTGTATGTTGCTCTACAAGCTATTGAAACTCGACACGGTACCCCCGTGCTATCCGTTCCACACGATTGAGCTCATGATGCTTTCAACGCAAGAAATAAACTTCCCGTTTTTGGCTTTCTGGGCAGTGAAATAAGCAACACTAAGCAATCCACAGGAAAAATTGCGTAGAATAATGCGTCTATCAGAGGCGCGGCATTGGCGCTCGGCAAGTCTTAGCGTCAAAAGCACATCGGCCTCGGTGCAAACCAGCTCACATCGGTATATTATCACGCCGAACGTAGTTGGTGGGAGAATCCATATCTTATTAATCCAGACGGAGATCCCCGCATCTCAGGAGTTGCGTTCTAGCCGGCAATGGTCCTTTTTCCCAACTACCGTGGGGCCGTGATCTCCACCGCATGGGCGACATCGAATGGCTCGTTGATACGGCGCTATCCTGAAGTACGTCCACTCGGGAAATGAGCACGGGGACCCCGCGTTTTCCCCGTATGGATCGACCTGTCTGTCTGTCGCAGGAAGAGTAGGATGGGTCCGCGTCATCGCGTTAGGGCCCACACCTTGGAATCCTCTATAGCTGGATCGATGCCCGTCTGACTGCCCCTTTCCTGTACTCTAGTTGCTTTTGTGAGAGAACACAATTTGCACAGCGATCATGTCGTCAACGGAGTATACCACATCCCAGGGGCACACGCCTGGGAAGGCAGAGTCAGAATTCCTCGAGAAGTCGGAAGCCGGCATCCAAAGTGTCGATGCGACCAGTCTGCTCTCCGATCAGCACCGTGATTACCTGCTTCAACGACATGGCACCTTAGATCTGGATCCAATCCCCAGTATGGATCCGGCTGATCCATACAACTGGGCTTTATGGAAGGTGTGTTGCTCCTTTTTCGTCCCCGTCTCCGGTTGCTGTTATTTCCTGCATGTTCTCATCACGACTGCCAGTGCTAACCGACATGGCTGAATAGAAAGTTACAAATCTCAGCTTGGTAGCCTTTCATGCCTGCATGGGAACCTTTACGGCCGCCGCTATTATTCCCGCCTATGAAGAAATCTCCGAGGATGTCGGCGTCTCTCTACAGCGAGTCAGTTATCTGACATCGCTTCAGATCGCCATTCTAGGAGGTGCCCCATTATTCTGGAAGCCGCTTTCGCAGCGCTTCGGACGGCGCCCGATTTTCCTCTTGTCCCTCATCCTTAGCTGTGTTTGTAACATTGGCTGCGCAAAGAGCCCCGATTACGCTTCCATGGCGGCATGCCGCGCTCTGGTATCCTTCTTCATCTGTCCAGCGATGGCCATCGGAAGCGCTGTTGTCGCAGAGACCTTCTTCCGACGGGAGCGCGCACGCTACATGGGAATTTGGACGGTGATGGTGACATTGGGCGTACCTGTCGGCCCCTTGATTTTCGGATTTGTCGCTCAGCGTGTGGGATATCGATGGATTTACTGGATTTTGGCCATCGTGAGTCACAAGCATCCCTCCAACGCTTCCTATCACTAATGCAGACTATCACATCAGACCAATGCCTGCGAGTTCATCCTGTACATCTTCTTCGGTCCGGAAACCCGGTACATCGGCGCCGAAGTGCACTCTGGAGGCTCACCTTTCAAGCGAGAGTATGTCTCCGTCGGACGAATCGATCCCACGCCATTCCGCCTGTCCGAATTCTTCCATCCCCTCAGCCTATTCACCAACATCCCTGTGCTCCTCGCAACGATAGCCTACTCCATGGTCTTCCTCTTCGCCTCCGTCCTCAACTCGGTGGAAGTACCCCAGCTCTTACAGAGTAAATTCGGACTCAACGCAGAGCAACTGGGCCTCCAATTCCTCGGCCTGATCATCGGCTCCCTACTCGGCGAACAACTCGGCGGTTTCATGTCTGACATGTGGATGAACGCCCGCGCCCGTCGCATCGGACACAAGCCGGCACCCGAATACCGTCTCTGGCTGAGCTACATCGGCTACCTGCTCGCGATCGCAGGAAGCGTGGTGTTCCTGGTCTGCACCGAGCAGGCCACCGAGGGTAAATGGACCGTGGCTCCCGTGGTGGGAACGGGTATCGCGGCGTTTGGCAACCAGGTTATTACGACCGTGCTCACGACGTACGCCGTGGATACGTATCCTCAGGATGCGGGAAGCGTGGGTGTATTCATCAACTTTGTCCGGTCGACCTGGGGATTCATTGGACCTTTCTGGTATGTGCATGCTCCCTGCATGGTGTATGTTCTTGACTAATAATGTTAGGTTTCCCGATATGTTTAACACGGTGGGGATTGCTAAGAGCTCGGGCGTGGTTACGGCTTTAACTATGGGTGCCAGCTTCCTTCCGACTGTGTACCTGCAGTGGCAGGGAAAGAGGTGGCATGCTGATGGGGTGGTTGACAAGTGAGGTCCGTACCTCCGAGGACAATGAGTCGATGTATATAATTAGCTTAAGAGCACCTTGAACCCAAGTCGAATTTACATAAGTTTAGAAGTCTCACCAAAGTCCCTACAAAAATAACCGCATCAGACATTGACAAAATAGGTTGAATTCAGTCGCCTGATCTGGAACTCTAATCTATACAAGCGAGACAGGCTGAAACAACCGACCATCACAGATCGCTTCTCCGTCCATAATCCCATGGACGTATGTCTCGCCAATCAAACTTCGCCTCTCAGGATCCGAAGAGTCATCGAGTACCGACTTCCTCAGAACAAACGGTGTTCGTGCCCCGGCAATCACCCATACCTCATCCCCAGCCTGTACCGACCATGGACCAAGCCCGATGTACCCCCGTTTAGTTCGATAAAGCAACCGTCCACGATAGAAATGGACAAATGTTTGATCAAAGTCACGGTCGTCAATCCTCACCATTCCTCGAGGCTTTCCCACTTCGTCCTTTGCCCCGTATTGCTGTATTTCCTCCCAAGCCGGTAGCGTGTTACTCTCGTCGGCTTCGCGGATGGCATTGAGGTTCGTGATGGTATCTTGATCCGCTTCATGCGTGAGGCTCCACAGAGCCTTTTGCATAAAAAAGCGAAACGAGGACCGGGCACTGTGGACCGGGTCGTCTGAGGTTGACAGCTTGTTGGTCATTAGGGTCCGCCAAAGTGCTTCAACACGATTCTGTCCCGTGGGGATGTAGGTCTCGTCCATAGATGAGATTAGCTCTAGCCAGTTTGGTGGGCGAAATGATGTAGCTGTCACTGGGCCAATTTGCGGTTCCACACTAACTATTTCATCGTGGAAGGCACCATTCAGCCGCAGGGTCTGAGGGTCGTCGTCGGGAAGGATTACAGCTGGATTACCGGAGTAAACACCTGCACTGAAGCGTGATGACCACAGCCGGGTGGTTGTAAGCGGAGCAGTGAAGTTGGGGACCCACGATGGCAATTCCTGACCATCGAACCTGCGAGAGATATCCAGACTCTCCTGTACAAAGGACAACCCTTCAAGACATTCGAAAACCTCACACTCCCCTGTGTGCCACGTCTGGAGTGGCTCATCCGAAGCTCCCTGCATGAATATCTTGGCAAACTGGATGAACACTTCGGATGTGGACGTGGAGTAATCGGCGACTATCCTCTTTCGAGGGTCATCAGAGAGCCGGGATATACCAATTAAAGCAAAGACCTTGTCCCTCGGGTCAGTCGCTCGAAACGACCAAACCATGCTCGCCAATAGCGAGAGACTCAGTTTGTGCTCCCATGTGGGAACGAGCGAGATACCATTCTTTTTCACATACGTATCCATCACCGTTCGTTCGAAGGCGTGTTTTGACGTCCGGAGTCGAATATCAGTCAAGGTACTCAACTCACTCCCTGCAATTCCCTTCCACCGGGCCAACTCCAGGGCTTGGGCTAGAGACCGGCTGTTCACACGAGAAGTGAAATTGGGATTGTGAAACAGAGTGAATAGCTTGTGGTATTCGAACTGGACGCCACCGCAGAAGATCCGAATCTGCTTGGCCAACGCGATCTCTTGAATGATCCACACGCGCTGAAACCACGTTCGTCGAAACAGATTCACGACCGCCTGGTATTTCAAAGAGGCCTCGTTTGACCCCTGCTTTGCGACACGTGTTTCTGGGTCCTCCATGACATGGTTTTGCAACACATCGTTGTACCACATGTCCATACCTTCTTGGGATGGAAGATGCGTGGCCTCAAAGGCACGCGTCGTGCTCTCATCATCCACACCCAGCCAGACGAACACCCCCGAGGATTTCGTATAGATCATAGACATAATGGCAACTTGCGCGTTACGCTCCGCGATATCATCCTGATTGATGCAGATTGCATCGATCCAGAACTGCTGATTGTCTATTGGAGCGAGTGGTCGAGGTTTACTTCCGACTATGTGGTGGATATCGGGCCGCTCCAGGTACTCGATGATCTCCGTGTATCTGCGGCGTTTCCGCATCTTAGCACAATCGAGAGGGGTCCGCCCTGAGGAGTCCCGTCGGTGCAGATCCGAACCAGCCTCTACCAGTATCTTGACGACGTCGAAATAGCCATTCTCTGCGGCGTAATGCAGTGCTGTCTCTCCAAACCTGTCTTGCGCCGCCAGGTCTGCGCCCCGGGCCATCCAAAAGTAGACATCATTGACACTGCCAGCCTCAGCTGCCTCAATCAAACGAGTTTTGTTATATGGTTTAGTGCGCCGATCTATGTATAGTTCCTGAGTCTTCAGACGCTGCAGGAATTCGAAGAGATTCCTAGTCAAGAAGAAGATCTGTCCATTGATCGCGACGGGGAATTTGTTCTTCGGACCATAGTCCTTGGACCGGTCCAGGTCTGGTGGAAAAGGTGATCCCCAGGTATATGACAAAGCCTGGAAGCGCGGGTTGTCGTTGAGGTCGACGACTTCTATCGACAATGGGATCAGGGGGACTCCAAACACGGTGATATCGGACTCGCCGTGGAGGAGCGTGACCACCCGAATGGACGTCGGAGTATGAAGCGGCTCATATTCAAACGTTCGGGCCTTCATGTTGTCTCTGTTGGGGTCTGGGATGTTCGAAGTTGGTGCAGGAGATGTGTGAAGCAGAACTACTATTTTGGCTTGATGGCCTTATCCAGCCGCTAAGCTTTATATAGTATGGTCTAACGCACAGCCTACTTTACAGCCACGGCGTAGTCTAAGATGACATTGTCAGACGTTTTACCCTCATCGTGTGGCCGTTACGAGCCAAGCGGGATTGCTACTTCCAATAAGATACGAAGAACGAGACACTGGATCCACTACTTATGATAGAGGACCCGCATGGGGGCCAAATATTTACGATATTGTATTCCATATCAACACTTACATCTATTCTATATATATCTAGCGGATGCCCTAGCACAAATAGGATTTACTCACGTTTGGCGGGAAATTCTACTCCATAAGCCTCAGCGCGACTATCGTTACTACTATTCGGATATGCACTATCAACTACATCATTGCCCATGTCCGGGCACTATGAAACAGGACAGCAGCAGGTTTTGACAACCTAGCACAGCCAATACAGGATGTATGGAACTGAATGGTAATGGACAAGAGGATGACGAAAAGACAGCTTAATGGAGTGTTCATTATGGAGTCAATCACTAGAGGGCTGCAAATGAATCCCTGCTACCTTGTGAACGGTGATTATAGCCCCTTTAACGAGACAATGTGTGGAATGGTAATTATCCCAACGAGAGGCAGGTCGTGATGTTCAGTGGTTGCAGCAGAACTTTCAAAATCTGACTGATCAAAGGATTGTCAGATTTTATTGGCCCCATCAATGAATACATGCTCGTGAGGGCCATGGTTTGATGATCGATTGCTGACATGGAATGCTCGGCATATCCAATAGTACTATATACCCCCCTGCATCTCATAGAGGCTGGTACACAGGGCTTACGCGATTTGAAAATGTCAAAGGAAACACACTACTCATATGTGCTCATCACCCATACCAAAAGATTCATGCAGTGTTCGTCAAATATACATGAGAGTATGTACTTTTCGTTGTCAAGATGACTTTCTTGACTAAGCTTTGAAGGCTCACAGAAGTCTCCTGAAGCGTAGAGCTATATATACGATGTACGATGATCTTCACTACGAACATTCGCTGATGTAAATGAAGTACCACCGATGAGCATCAATGCTAGTTCCGTCGGTTCCATCGTTGCCGCCCGTTGCATCAATTCCCGTCACTTCAGTCACATCAGCAGTGGTTACCGTTGCCTCATCGGCGCTGCTGATAAAATACTCGGGGCTGAAGTGATGATACCCGAGTAGCGTAGGTGGCAGCTTAGGCACAATATCATTCGTGTGCGTGACGCGATAGTTGCCGCCCTTGTTTTGGTCTGTGATATATGTGGCTAATGCCTCGTTTCCAAGGCGAGGTTGCCCGTAATTGTACTATTTGGTCAGCACGTCTGTACACTGTCGGTCATCATATCAAGATACACGTACCAGCTCAACAGTATGTCCCGCGTTCCGCAGAGCAGTCGCTCCGAGTGCTGCGAGCGCAGCACCGTAACTATGGCCCGTCAAGACCAAGGTATAGCCAGAATGATCCGCTAAGGCGGATTCCACCTTGGAAGTGATGGTATCGGCGATTTCGCTCCAGGCTTTCCAGAAACCGCTGTGCACTTCACATCCCGAACACAAATCGCTGGCATCCTCGAGGCCAAAATTCAGGTTGGCTACCCAGTTGGCTAAGTCTGAGCTACCCCGGAATGACAGGACTATCAGTTTGTTAGTCTCATCGGCCGCGAGGTAACCGGCAGGGTTGCCGTAAGAGGACGATCTGAATTGTCAGCGTTTGCCTGTGAGTTAGGAGGGTAGCTTTGAGTGTCTTACTCGTTGAATTCATCGAGCGTTTGGGTCGATGCCGCTTCTACCAAAGGACAATTGCCCGTAGAGCATGTCAATTTAGTCCCGGTGGAGTTCAGGTTCTCAGAACAGTATGCAGCAGCACTATACTGTGCAAAGAGGTCCAGGTTGCTGAGGAGAGAGGAGCTGACATCTGCACCCGTCAGTTTGAGTCAAGGGAGTGTTTGTTAAAAGTTAAGAAAAAGCAAGCATACCTCTGCGCAGCGGAGCCGGAGCTGCTTGAGCCAGCAAGAATAGACCTGCAACGGTCCCGAATCGCGCGAGACTAAACATTTTACCTGCCGTGCAAGACGAGATGCATATCGCGAATATCCCTTGCGAAGTCAGCCCATTTTATACTCCTGTTGTAGCCCCCTCTTTCCGCCGTTTTGCTAAGTATGCCTACCAGATGGATGATACTTTGATTGAACCCCGCCCTTAGCTTGGCCGTTATCCCGACAGGCATTCCATCCGAGCACGCGATGATATTCAGGGATTGTATGGCTGGATGGTTGCTCCTGGACGAAACGTACTATTGCTTTTGCAGTATAGCGCTTCGTCAGCAGGAACCGTGTGCATAACTAGTGCGTCGGATGGTTACCTTCATGCCCTATCACTGATAAGGGACCCCAACGTGTTTGTGTCTTGGTTGTGTGATAGGTGTGCCTGCGGGTCGCTTGCTGAGGCATATGCAGAGTGTATTCTAACGCACTTTGACCACAACATTACTCTCAGCATGTGGATTTGATCATCTTGCTTATTATGATCAATGTTTAACGTTAGAACGATGTAGGTCATGGGATATGCCCATGAAGAAACTCCGTCGGATCGCCGATCACGGAAAATCCTCTCGTAATAATCGTTCCAGCGACATTTCCCCTTTAGGGCGTGTTTCGGACGATCTTCCGTACTACGGATGGAACTATTGGATACGGAGTACAAATGACAGCCTGACAGCCTGATAGATACCTCCGGTTATTCCGTTAGAGGCAAGTGGCTGTATGAAACTGCTTTATATCCAGGCTCTTGCAACTATGTACCAGGGGTTGGTTGGATTCCCCTACCAACCGCTTCGTTATCTCCTATCTATAGAAGGGTTTCACAGTAATATAACCATTCAGCTCAAATGAATCAATAGGACACCCATCGTATGAGCTTGAAGATGCTAAATGGTATGAGGGGTGGCTAATGACATGAACGGAGAAAAGGTTCCATACTACCATCTTTTGCCTGATACTCTCTTACCCCACCTAGTAGGGCTTCTCCCCTCACCAAGACAGAGCTTGGCGATATGCCTTGGCTGAGTTGGCATTGGTGACTTGAGCAATAACTGGAGGAGAATCACGTACCTGTAAGGCCCGTCCGCCAATGGAAGTCCGAGTTCCTTGCTTTAACGTAAAATTTCTCACTTAAACTTCAAGTTTTCTGAGAAGGTTCGGAAATGTCCCCAGAGTAGATAACACCTCCGCTTGCGAAATATTAAGAGTCACTTTCACTAATTAGGCTGCAGGTTTTCTTGAGCTACCGACCTAGCTCTTTACCGTTGGTTCTTCCTTTTAGGGTGACCACAAGGTGATTCCATATGGTTGTTATTCCAAGCCGACTATTTGCTGGATATTATTGTCCTATTTCTTAACGACTGGGAAACTCTTTTGATTGCACTATCGGAAGGCGTTAGAAGCTTAGATAAGATATACTATCCGAAGTAGAGAACTTGTAGATACTAGGCCTCATTTAAAAAAAATTATTGAACCGGAATACCCTGAATTCTTTTTATACTACGCATAAATATTCATGACATCTATTCATAAGGTATGTACTCTTCCACAGATCAAATAAAGCATTTCACAGCTGCTGGATGCTGATATTTTTTTCTTTTTTTTCTTCTTTTTCTTCTTTTTTGGATGGCAAGTAAAGGAGACATTCCCTAAATGCTGTAGTCAGGACCGTCATAGCCGCTATTTATCGTGTAGTATTTAGCTCGAATCATCCATGTTGGGCGGGCAAAGGCTGGAGTGGAGTGCCGACAGAGCCCTACCGTCTAAGCTACACTTCATGCGTAACCTTGCTGAAACCTTTGACCACAGACCTTTTCTATGCCTCGAGCATGGATGCGATGCCCGAGACACGGTTTAGGGTAACGTGAGTTCGGTCATCGGGGTTGCAGATCAGGCTACGGTACACAGCCTTCTGTGACCAGATACGTGCTTATCGGACTATGTGTAATTTAACAAAACTAGGGCCAATCGTATCACCTCCATATCCCAGACTTATTGATAGATCAAACTAGGGCCACCCTGGTATCACCGCCTCATGGGCTGCCTGTTAGCAGTGATGGTACGGTGAAAATTGCTGCATCGTACGATGGAAAGCTATCAAATTATCCAACTGCTCCTCTCTGGGTGGGTTAGTAGTCGTTGGAGAGTACGAGTCTGCTTTCCCCAGTTTATACCTGAGATATCCAGTATCCAGTTTGGCTCAACCTTCCGGTTTACACTCTTCAAGACCCCAATGAGTGCGTGCTGCAGAAGGCTGAATAGTCTGACCATCTAAGTAGCTCGAACTTACGAGGCAGAACTCTACCGTTGAATCATTATCCTCTTTCCAGAAGTACTGGGACGAGCAGGTTAAAAAGCCCAATTGGGATGTCAGGAATGGAGCCGTGGAGCCTCCTGTCGACTGGGACTAACGGGGGTGTAAGGTCTGGGAGGTTTTGGAACAGACGCATATGTTTGATTGAAAATATTCTGGGTCTGAATGGAGCTGGAAAGAGCTGTCGTGACTGCTAGTTTCAGTGGCCCCGTGGACCTGCATGGGACAAGACACTATTGCTCAAAAAATAGGGATAGAAGAAGAGCAATCATGTACATATATTCTCTAGTACCATGCCTAAAAGCAATCATACATAGCCTGCGGCGTTCGAGGGTCGCCAAGGTTGGGATACATGATAAAACGGGGAGAACGGGAAAACCGGCCAGAGGCAACAGGAGGAATATAGATACCAGCCAAATCTATAATAATGTATCTTTTGGAGGCTACGGAGCTATTGGCTCTGCCGCCGATGCGGCCAGTTAATGCATGCTCACAAAACGAAAAGCGATGTCAACACTCAGAGCCAATCAACAACACCTCAATCCTGCTGATACCAGTAAAGGTACGATTGGCTGCGAGAACAATTCCATTGCTTTGGGGTAGGGTTCAGCGTGACCCATGGATCGCATTGCAAGTGACAGGCTGACAGCCCATACAGACAAAGATCGAGACCGAGAAATGACGTCATGCATGCGATTCTCGCCTGAGGCACCAGTATCCATGTCTTGTGGTTGGCGACATCCAGCGTAATGACACTCATGCTCGTCATGGATTCCATTGAGTTTAACTCCCATATATGGATGGAATCCCTCGGAGGCTCCAAGTCACCTTGTTGCACTGCACATACCTATCGCGCTACAACGCGTCCGATCGGTTAGCGCATTGAACCTGAGAATACAAAGTACTAGTACAAATACAACTGTCTACATGCAAAGGGACACAATGTTCGCCAGACGACACAGTTGCCAGACAGCTCTCAGAGCAGGGCGTTCATTACTGCCTCAGTATCATCCCATGACCCAGCCGGTTCTGCCAGCTTCACTGCGGACGATGCAAACCGTGATCAACCTGCAATCGAAAGAAAACAAAGAACAGGCCATCGATTTCGAACGCCAAATACTGAACCCCGAGCGAACAGAAACATGTAAGACAGGCACTGACGATGAAGTCGGTCACCACAAATGCTCTTATGACCCGTCCACAACGACGCCGGAAAGTGAATACCTGGCCGACGAGGCAGAGTCCCTCCTTGAAGGCAAAGGTCATCATCCGCTCTTCGTCAGCCCGGCGAATGTAGAAGTCAGTCATTATATTGATCCCATGTCGGAAGGGGCGGTACAAGGTGCTGCCCGGCTGGGTCCTAGCGCACAGGGCTGGACTCGGAAACACAGGGAGGTGCATATTAAAGATGTTCCCGGGAGTCAATATGAGCGTTACGAGAAGCTTTTGAAAGAACTGAGAAAGCCAAAACAAAGGTTTGTTACCACCTAGTGTTTCTCATTGCTTAGTGCGCACCTTGTGAGACGTGAGTGACTGTATCTTAGTGAGTCCCGCTAATCGAGGTCGTTATTTCGGACTGTCCGCTGGCGCGGCCGGCCACGATGGGTTGTCGAATAACCGCTGCTTAATACGGAGAATCTTGTATGTGGAGGTTAGGAGGCGGAGTCTGGGCTTGTCATGCTTTACGGATAGGCAGAAATACTGGATGGGAATGTTACTAGACTTGCTCTTCCTACCTCAGGATGCTAGACGTGACCATGTTCACGTTGTATGACTTGAGGAGATGGGATTCATACGTGAGCAATATTCTACCTTTCGTTGACACCACTGCCTGAACGCTGAGCAAATATGTCCCAGATGTGATGGCTACAAAAAGAAAACTATTCCGTAGTATATTTTAACTGATATGAAATACAATATGAATAACATTGGCAGAGTTAGATTGTTTCAGCTCCTTATTGCCACTTCATTAGCACCGTGTTGAGTTACAGCAATCCCCTGCTCATGGCATGTAACCTTCCAACTCCAACCACTCAACAATAAAGGCAACCAGCAAAACACCCCAGTCCTCCATAACATCAAGATCCAAATTCTCCCCCGTATCATCCAGAGTATGCCACACCTTTGGAAACTCCCCAGTATCAGGATTCGCATCAATCCAATGCAGCACATCCACACCGCGTTCCTCGAACGGCACCTGATCATCATAGATAGGAAACCTGTTCATCCCGATTTCATCTCTATCAGCATCAATTAACCAAGGTCTGACGCCCCCCGACTTGAACTGATTCAGCCCTCTTAACCGCTTCTCCAGCATGGCAGCTCGCCGATACACATCATGTGTCGTGTTGAAATACGACGCAATTGCCGGCTCGCTCGACCCAAGAAGATCCAACAAGACGAATAGCGAGATGGCCTTGATCCGACTCGAATATCGAGACGATGGCGGATACGGAGTATTCTCCCACTCTGCCGCTAATGCTCGCGCCCCGAATAACATCTCGGGAGGATCGAGTGCCTCCTCGCCATCCGTGAAGATAACCTGTATACCTTCCGCAGTCTGTTGCGTAGATGATTTACCCCATTTACGACTCAGTGCTGCGTCGATACTTCTCACGGCGTGCATGATAATGGCACAGGGAGCTGCACTGTCGATTGCCCCAATGAACCCCTCTGGGGAGTTTTTGCTATCGTAATGGGCTACCAGGGTGAGTCTGCTGATGTTACCTGCCGGGATACCGGGGGGATCACGAGTGGCGATGACGTTGACGATGGGTATATCCTGGGCGTTAGATTTGACTGTAGAGTTTTGGAACTCAACCTGCCAGTGTGGGAGTGTTCTGGCGAAGAAGTGCGTGAAGTGGGATCTGGTTGCTTCGGAGCCTGGGCTTCCTGGAACGCGGGTTCGGAGGATCGGGGAGAGGAGTGTGCCATTATGGATGTTGAAGTCTGTCTTTGGTCGGGGGAGGTGAGTCAGAGTGTTATTAGATACGAATTGGTACGTGAGTGTCGGAGTCACGGCAAGAATAAGAGTGAGGACTGCTTGTAGGAGGATGCTGAACGGGGAGAACTTGGGATGCATTGTGAATGCTAGTTTGCCGCTATAAAAACTAGAGAGTGGTTTTTGGGAATAGATTGGTGTCCTAGTTATCCTCCTCTCAACGAGATACAAAGTTAGGGAGAAGTCATGGAATGGTAATATTCGATCATTCATGTGAGTTGGGATAGTAGGACAGGTCTCAAGTGGTACATTCCGAGACCAGCGTGAATGTCCGTAGTGTATGTCACGCCACCATTCCTCAGGATAGAGACTGGTTCTAGCCAAGTGAAGTAGTCATGGAGTCCGACACTTTAAGGCCAATCTATCCGTAAAGTGAATGGTTGCCGAATTAAAGGCGTTTCCAGTTGACATTTCTGAACTATTGCTTTCCTTCCCTGCCAAATACCATGCGTCCCTGCCATTGCCTTAATCGTTTGCCATACACCTGCAAGAACACCATAAAAAACACCGACGCGAAGGTGATAGCCGCCTGAATCCCCAGAGCCTTGGCAGGTCCAATCCGTGTCACCCAGTCGATCTGAATATAAGTAGCCATGAAGCCCGCCCAGTTGCGACTGGCTGTTACCCACGCTCCCACGATGCCTGAACCCTCCGGATAAGAGTCCAAGAGATAGGCATTGATAGCCGTCGTAACGATCATGACACCTACACATTGAGTAGCCGCAAATACGGCGATGACCATATAGTGCCAGTGATATTGGAATGCCAGACCCAAGATGATCAAACTGACGCAGCAAATCATTGTAGCTGGGTAGGTGATAATTAACCGAGCCTCGGGGTCTAGTCGTCCGCCGTGGCGTTTGATGTAGTACTGCCCGACAGCGTCGTGAAGGAAGTGTCCGGCAAACCAGCCAACCAGGACACCGACAATTCCAAAGAAGTAGAAGTACCCTGGATGCGATTAGTTTGCTATAGAACAGTCCGGTATAATTAGGAGCTTAGCTACCTATGCCTCTAGTCGAGAAGCCATATATGTTGGTCAGCCAAATGCCAATGGTTGTGTTGACGCCGATGACCCAGGCGAAATTAAGAAAGTAGTATACGAGGATAGTAAGCACCGGTATCTTAGTTATGGCTATCACAGGCAGTGCCAAACATTGACTGAGGCTCTTATGTTCCCAGTCTTTCGCCTGATGCACGCCAGTTAGACGGCTGATATAGGATCCTCGGGACGACGGTGGGTTCTTGCGGTCAAACAGAGATTCATCAAGGAAGAGAATCAAAACAAGCCCCACTCCAGACATTATTGTGCAGAGCCAGAATGCCCAGCGCCAGCTGACCCCGGACACAATGAACGAGGTGATCAAAGGGCCAAGGTACGGGCTCATGATAATGGAGAACTCCACATAATTGATCACCTTGGGGTGCTCGTGGAAGAAGAACAGGTCTTTGATCCACATTAGGGCCCCTCCTTGGCCAACACTACAGAAGAAGCCGTTGATAATGCGCGCGGCTAAATAAGAGGGAAAGCTGGTGGCCGCGGCTGACCATGCGCAAGTGCCAACCATCACGCATTGGAAGAAAAGGGTAACCGGCAAGCGCCCGAAGTAATGTGCTAAAGGCACCACAACGAGGCCACATGCACCTATAGTGAAGAGATTACCGACCACGGCTCTCTGGACCGTAGCCTGAGCTAGCTCCCACTGCCTGAACCACTGTATCAGCTATACATGGTCCATAAATCGTAAGTGGGCGCCTTACATGGACTGTGGGATAATAGTCACGATAGCCGTCCCTCCAGTGTAATCAGCCAACAGCGCAATGTAAGCAACTATTGCTACGAGAAACCATTTTTTCCGGGGTGACCAATTCAACGGATCATTGGGTGTATTGAGAGGTTGTGGAATTAGAACGAAGCGACCGTCTGGGCTCGTTTTCAGGCGTGCGGCATTATCGGGATATTGGCTAGGGTCCACGACATAGCCTTCAAGAGCTTCCACCTCTTCATCAATTTCAGCATCTTGGACATGAGGTGGCGGCTTCTCGTCCGAATTCCGGTGTAGCATGGTGTTACCAGGAACAAGGTATTGAAACTATTCGGGATCAGCCCGGAAATCGAGGAACAAGAGGAATGACTAGAGCGAAGAATTTCACTGAAAAGTGTCCTTTAACAGAAAACGCTAGAAAGGGCAACGTACGCAAATTTGCAAAGGCAGCGTTGCGTCGCCTAGCCATACGCTGCACAAGATGATCTCTGGGCCGAAGTAACCCAATCCAAGGAATCCCAGTATAATTTTTGCGACATTAAGCGGAAAATACCATTCTGTGGGTAACACGAGTCAGTGTCGGCGAGTTTCAATTTAAATAATCGAGTCGTACTGCGGCGTTCACTAAGCAGGGATGGAAATCGACGGTGCCAGACGTGGCCATGCAACCGTGGCCTTTTACAGGCGGAAGAGGTGACAAGCAGGGTCACAGGAAGGGAGGCATGCCATCCTCCTTTTTCCGTCTTTTGCTGCTCTCTTTGTATCCATCTGTTTCACATGTGGTATTAATCAATGTGGCATATTATACTGGCCGGGATGGCGCACCAATGCAGGTGCTAAGCATGGGTCCGAGCCGAACCCTAGCCGAATAAAGAAACATTAGCAGCAGGCCCTAATGCATAGGTCAAAGTCGGGTGGGGAAATTACTATCGTATTCATTTATTTTTGAATGAACCTAGTACTTATTAGGGATCTAATATTGATGCCTCCGGTCGAGACCGAGAGGGAAACAACAATGCCCTATGATCCTTGTTCAGGAACACACATAGCAAATCAGACACTATGATCGAGTGAAAGGGTTGGAAGCAGTACGTACCGAGTCTCTTAGGTAAACATATCTTCCCTACGGAGCGACGAATCTCTGCTTAAAGGTGGCGCATGGCACATTGACACATGTAGTTCTTCCTGTCGTGGTGAAAGTACTAGCAGCATCTTTCAATGACAGGGCCACCGGATCCAGCGCATGGAGGAAAAGGGTCACTGGTGCTTGGAGTCACCTGGGCTGAGGCAGGTCTGGCATTGATCTTACTCGCATTGCGAGCGAAGACCGCCTCCCTCTGTCCGCCTGGGCAACCAGAATTCGGTATTTTTGGTTTACGATGGGATTTCATTTGGGTTGTTATCGCACTGGTATGATCCCATGTAAGCTCGAGCCGCAAGGATGCTAACCGCCTGAAGGCTTTCGCCTTGTGTGCGCAAAGCTTCATGACTGTGAGTGTTAGGTATGGCCTTGGAGACCATCAAAGCTTGTTGTCAGCGCACGATATTGTTCACACAAATCTGTGGAGTTGGATGGCACAGATCGTGGCCATCCTCTGCCTCGTCATATCGCGAATTGCTGTCATCGCATTCCTCTTATCCCTTCAGGGGCGCACAAGTAGCATCGGACGGATAGTGCTCTATACAGTTGGAGCGGTACAAGGTCTGATCAACGTGATCGAGGTCGCCCTGATCCTAAGGCAATGTGATCCGACAGAGAAGCTATGGAACCCAGCTGTCGCGGGGACCTGTGATCGAGTCTTCATATGTTCTCAGGTTGGGTTTCTACAAGGAAGTATGTGCATGAAAAGTAAATTGTTCACGAATATCATACTAAGTATTGTCTAGGCATTGGAGCGGCAGCAGACCTCTTTCTTGCTTTTTATCCGGTGCACATCATCGGCCGACTGCAACAAATGAAACTCGCTACAAAGATTGGATTATGTTTGATTATGAGTGGAGGACTTGTGTATGATACAATCTCAAGATTCTCCGTTTTTCCTCTCCCTACTAACTAGTATCCAGAGCAGGTATCGCCGGCATCAATAAAACAATCGCAATTGCATCCATTACCCACGATGACCTGACATACGAAATCTACAAACTCAACACATGGGTGCTCACGGAAATGTGGTTCATTATTATTTTTGGATCGATCCCAGTCCTTCGCCCGTTCTTCGTGCGCTTCACCCAGGATATCAAAAGTGCCGCTGGCTATGGTCATTCTCCAAGTCGTAGCAATCCTTCCGGTTACCCGAGTAGTGGCCGCAACAACCGTGAATCGTGGATGCAGCTCGATGATCAGTCGCATAGCACTTACGTGACACATGTTTCTACCTCCGCGAAAAACGACTCTGGTCTGCAATATGGAGAAAATGGGGATCATGCCCCTGGGCTGCAACAGTCAGAAAGACAAATCTTTGTAACAAGGCATACAAGCGTGGAGTCAGAAAGATGTTGATATTCACTGTCTTAACTATATCTGCTTAGACGTATATATAAATTATCAAGAATGATCATCTGCAGCATATTAGAGCTTAAACACAAGACCGTGTGAATTGTGCCATGATATGTGTCTAGCGCACGTTCCATAATTACATATTGCATGATGTCTCAATTGCTTAAATTGGGAGTTTTCCTAAACCTACTCAGGTCCCGTCACACTTGGTCTATTCATAAACAGTCTCTAGCATTATTGAAGTTTAGGCGCGCGGCGTAGCAACATGACCGGCTCAGCTCCACGAACGGAATACTTCAGTAAGGCTTCCGGATGCACTCTCCTTCCCGCTGTGCAGGGATATGCAAAAAAAAAATTGAAAATTGAAAATAATACTGCGCAGACTGAATCACACAGCGAAGATCTCAGCACGTTTCAATGCATCCTGTGGCTACTACCTTCTGGATGGTAGCATTTGAACAAGGGTCTGATATTCCAGCCCCACCAAGGATATATGAATTGGTCGTGCCGCTTATCCACCACCGTGCAGTAGTCTTAGTTCCCAATGGAACCTTGCCCATCCCGTTTCTAGCCAATATAAATAAATGAGACAACATGAGCAAGCTAGAGAATTGGCTTTCGCTTTATATTAGACCGGAACTCCCCCATTTAAAGCTGGAGCCCGAAACCGGGGCTGAGGCAAAACGACATAAGACCGGAATTGGTTGGGATTACTTCGCTTACACGTCATTCTGTCATTGCAGATCGTGCGAAGGGAATTAAATTGACGTATTGAAGGCCAACGGGTAATATAAGCTTGACCTATAGTCCGCACTACAATTCACCTGGCTTCTAACTGCGCCGCACCTCCCCTCCTTCCTAATTCTTTACTGTAGACCTCGATTAACAGAAGGAAACCCCACAATGGCAGTATCTAGGGAACTCGCGGAAGTTCAGAGGCTTGTAGCAGCTGAGGCAGCTGGCGACAAAAATGCACATGGCGAACTTTTGGGAGCAATTCGCGCGTTGCAGCTAGCAGTGGAAACACCAGTAGAGACGACCTCACGGTTCAACTTCCAGGTACGTGGGGTGCAAGTTAAATTGCGACGATTTTCACTTACGTTGTCCAGATTATGCAGAACATATCAATACGCGTCGCCATCGAGAAACAATTTCTTCATCTTCTCGCAGCCCGAGATGGCGCGCCTATCACAGCGTCCGAGATCGCAAGCAAGACTGGAGAGAACCTTTTGCTTATAGGTAAGATCAGAAGCTGGGTATAGCTTTCGGCGATAAGACTAATTAGACGTATAATTGTACAGTGCGTGTCATGCGTGTTCTGACAGCTGTTGGTCTATGTGATGAGGTGCGTAACGAGACCTACGCTGCCAATGAAAAAACACACTTCAAGGTTTTGCCCGGATCTATAGCTGCCGAAAAGCATCAGTATGTGAGCCTAGACCTCCAGATACTAACCAGTGAACTATCAGACTGACTCTTTCCAGTTTTGATTTGGACTTCGGAATGGTATGTACTTCGCCGACTCTCTGTATGACATGAACGAGCTAACTGGGCCGTGGTAGGGTGGGAGGCTTGTCGAGTACATGCGAGGCCCGGGCATCCAGCAATTTGCCGACGAGCCGGGGGCAACTACCTTATTCAAATATGCCCATGGTACCGATGTCATCTTCGGGCTATTGGAGAAGAACCCGGAGCAGAAGCAGGCATTCGATGACTACATGGCATCGCGTCGAGTGGCCAATTTGCCCCAATGGTTCGAAATCTATCCCGCTGCGGAGAAGTTCGCCGATGCCCGCCATGACCCCAATGCGAGCTTGATGGTTGATGTTGGTGGAGGGCCCGGTCAGGAGTTGATCCGATTCAAGGAGAGATGTCCGGACATTCCAGGTCGCTTAGTGCTTCAGGACCTGCCCTTGACGCTTCGACGCATTGATAAGTTGCCTGCGGGCATTGAAGCGATGGAATACGACTTCTTCACACCACAGCCGGTGAAAGGTATGTATAAATGTTCACTGCTATGACGGCCCCGTAGCTGAAGTACGGTTCATAGGAGCTCGTGCATACTTCCTTCGCGATGTGCTGCACAACTGGTCTGATGCCAAGAGCGCCCAAATTCTCTCACGAATTGTTGAAGCCATGGATCCTGAGTATTCTACCTTGTTGATCGATGATTACGTCCTGCCCGACACTGGGGCGGAGCTCAGGGCTGCAGAAATGGACATCCTCATGTGGCTCCACACTGCCGGGTTGGAACGTACGGTGTCTCAGTGGAAGAACCTTTTCGGTATCGTTGGCCTTGAATTAGTGAAAATCTGGCACTCTGCCAGGGGAAATGAGTCGGTCTTGGAGACACGGGTCCAGCGGAACTAACTAGTGTACTTCTTTGCCATGAAAGCCTAACTAAGTGAACGCTTGACATGACGAATGCTGTATATTATAGTTAGACAAGTTAAACTCATTCAATGCACTCTACACCTCTTCCCATGTTACTGATAATCCTCTATATGGCAAACTGGAAATCAATCAAATTACAATAACGGTCGGGTCCTCTCCAGTCTGCCACCAGCGAGGGCCATAAATGCATGCGATATAATCGGCGGCTCTTCCCACAGGCGATAAAAGACAAAGCTCGCCTGGCAAGCTCCTAGCGGTCTTTGGCTTGGCCTTGAACCCGCAGCATGGCTTGTTCATAAACATTGTCTAGTACTTTGGACCTCTTGTCGTTATCCGCTGCCTGGATCATAGTTTTCCACTCCTGATGTGCCACTTTTATTGCCTTGGGTGTGGTCTCAGCGGTCAGGAAGGCAACACAAGGACGCGCGAGAAGAAACCTGGTCAGTATTAATATGGCTTATTCATCTCCTGTTCTCTGGAAGCTATACATACATTCCATCAACTGCTTGCATGATCTTCTTGGCTATTGTTTCCTTGAGGATATCGTTGGTTGAAATCAAGGATGGGCAGGTCTGCAATTGGTGATGAAGGTACATTTGCACATCTACATCAGTGGCGCGAATTTCAAGCCTGATAGCTTTCTCAAACTTTCTCTCAACTTCCCAGATAAACCGAGAGGTTGCAAAAAGGCTCACCTTGGCCTTTTCTTGAAGATTGAGGATCTCTTATAGGAACAGGCCCCGATCATCATAAGCCACTCTCATTCATCCAGCGCGTCGATCATAATAAAAGTTCTTGTATAGTACTTGCTCTCATCTGGACTGCAATCATTATATATCCTTCAAGAGTTTCCACATCTTCATCAATTTCAGCATCTTGGACATGAGGTGGCGGCTTCTCATCCGAATTCTGGCCTAGCATGGTGTTACCAGAAACAAGGTATTGAAACTATTCGGGATCGAGCCGGGAATCGAGGAACAAGAGGAATGACTAGAGGGAGCCAATTCACTGGCAAGTTCCAAAGGATTGGAAGCAGTACGTACCGAGTCTCTTAAGTAAACATATGTTCCCTGGGGAGCATAGACTACGACTTGTATGCCATATATCAATAAATGAACATACGGGGTTTCCGCTGTTTACCCCCTTCTGTCGAGGCCACGTGAACCTCCGCCTACGACATCATCCTTACATTTGAACATTCGAAATCCTGTACCCATTACTCTCCGGCCATCCCTTCTCGATAATTGAATTCTACGATCGCAGCATTATGAATCTCCCTGTAAGTTAACATTCAAGGTACTTCTGAAGGCTATGAACAAAGAAGCAAAAAGTTTTTAATATCGTCGCTCCAGCTAGAGAGTATCCCGGACGAGTGGACCACCGATCCCGCCGAAATCCAGTTCGACCTGCTATGGAAAGACCATAGAAGTCAAGGCCAGGATATGGGGAGAAGGTTTGGGTTGTCAGGGCCACAGGTTATTATGACCGCCGAGCGTGACACGGGGAATGCCCAGTGTATGTTCCAATCGGGTGAGCGATGCTATATCTGGAATGTGTTGAACGACACGGTCTGGGAAATTATCAAACCCACAGGGTTGCTGGATATACTCCAAACTACGACTACCAAGGGAGAAAGAGCGCTGAAAGTGAAGGAAATCGAGCCTCTCGAAGTTGACGAGGATAAGGAGCACAACGAGTAAATGGTCGTTCCTTTCATCGGGTGACACATGGTATTCCTGGCGATAGCAAACACTACCACCTTACTTTGAGGCATTCCAGTCTTGAGTTCTGTTGTGGCTATAGAGCAGGTAAGAGGCAGGCGGGATCTTAGCTTCATATTTTAAATAGAGCTCGTTTTAACCTGAGCGCTTGTGAGCCGTTGAGGCTTGCTGGATGGAGTCAGCGAGTTTCTCCGAGTCTTCAGAATAAGCATGTCTTAGAAGGTGCACAGTTCGGCCGGTGCGCCGAGACTTGCCTGTTTCGCTTTCTGTTAAGGTCTGTATAAGTATCCTTTGAGCTAGATGTAAGGCTACTAATTCGATATAGGGGACATGAGGCGCCACAGAATATCTACGGACTAGCGTTGAGTAGGGATATTTAAGTGCACCACAGTATGATGATACGTTCTCAGGCCCTATATGGCAAAGTTTGTGGGGTCCCTGTTTGAATTGTAGAGCCCTTCATGAAATATGGAAAGGGGATGTAACTCACTTTCACAAATGGTATGGGTCCGAAGGTGCGCCCCCGTGATGTGGTTTTAGGCAAGCAGTCGATGAATACGGAAAGAGAGTTATTCCATAATGACAGACAAAGATTGGCAGTATTGGGACAGCCCACCCATTCGCTCTCCAAATAGATCCAGAGTAGCTGGATGATTAGAGGTTGTAATCAGCGTAACATTATTTATATAGTTTTAGATATGACGCGTCCATCAGAGCCCATCCCACTCAATGGAGTACAGAGAGTTTCAATCCTCATTGTCCAAGATCAGCCCAAGCAGCGTAGCTAAACCCTCAGGCTGCTGGCTCTCATCTGGACCGTAACCAATGTGGTTTGGAGGACGGGCTAGCCCTTGTGAAGGGAGTTCTGTACTGGGAATCGAATTGAATATCTCGCCCCCACACACGTGAGAACCAAGGGGCTGAGTAAGGTCTAGAGTCTAGTCATTTGTACGGATGTACGCTAGACTTACTACAATAACTAGGGAGTTGATTACAAATGATCACCTAATTGTCTTGAAGGATGTCTTCGACTGTAGGTCTTCAGTGTACTCACGGGATCGGTCTTACGGTGGACTCACTCGAGGTTTCTGGACAATGTAAAATATCACCAATTTTACCAATACCAACGCACTATTTTGCTGACCAATTGTCCATAGTATGGCTATAAGATAAAGCTCTCGATTATCGACTAGTCCGGTTGCGAGATATATCTGCCTTTTTACCGCCTTGTAAAGTCTTTAGAGACTGCTAGTACTAGATCTTTAACCCACCTGGGTCCCTAGTATAATACTAGATTACTAGTATCCCGGGAGTAGGAGTGATAAATAGATTTGGGAAGTGCGTGGTAGTCGTGGCTTTATGTAAAACGCTCGGGTTTCGGTAAGAAATGTCTACTGTCTGAAACAGCGATTTAGTCCGTAGTAAATACGGCGGACTAAATCGAGCGTAAGTTACTGAACTAACCCTTAGCGCTTATTCGCGTCAAGCCTCAGTTTGACCTCACAGCTTTCTTTCTGTGCATTCCCTGACCTTGACATTGATTTGCAGTAATTCTACCAAGATGACGTCTGAGACAAACTTCCTTCAATCCGTCCTCATCACCGGATGTAGCGCAGGTGGAATTGGCTCGGCATTGGCCGAAACATTCCACGAACGCGGAATGCATGTTTTCGCGACAGCACGCTCGATATCCAAGATGGCACACCTGGAGAAACTGCCCAACGTCAGTCTCCTGGAGCTCGACGTGACCGACTCGAAAAGCATCGAATCCGCCGTCGAGGCCGTCACCGCCAAGACAGGCGGTAAGCTGAACTATCTGATCAACAACTCGGGTCAGAGCCTGGTCTTGCCCGCTTTGGATACGAGCCTTGAAGATGCAAAAAAGCTGTTCGATGTCAATGTGTGGGGTGTAGTTGCTGTCACGCAAGCCTTTTCGCCCCTGATCCTCGCAACCAAAGGAACCATCGTCAATATTGCATCCCTCTCTGCCTTCTTCCACTCCCCCTGGCTAAGTTCGTCTCCACCTTGATGCCATTTTCGAACCTTGCCTTGCTGATGTCGCTTAGGCTTTTATAACGCCTCAAAGGCAGCTGTGGATGCTTACACCCATACCATCCGTCAGGAACTGGCCCCATTTGGTGTTAGGGTTGTCACTGTAGCTGCGGGAACGGTACAGACCCACATCTTCAGGCCTGTAGAGGAGGGTCTCCTACCTCCCGACTCCATCTACAAAGCAGCCTCAGAAGAGATTGAAGGTTTGGCAAGTGGAAAATTAGTTCATGGAGCTATGCCCCCTGCCGAGTTTGCTAGGAAGGTCGCGAATGATGTTCTTGGTGGAGCCACTGGTACGATTTTCAGAGGAACGATGTCGACCGTGGCACGGGTATTGTATACTGTTGTTCCAACTTGGCTACTGGTAAGTAGTCGCCCTTCATTCCCGGAATTGGGGTTGATTGTGCTCACGTCTGGATATTTAGGACCGCTTGACGTTCCCTGGTTCTGGTCTGAACAAGCTGAGCTGAGCGAGCTTGGTGTCATATTTCGTAGAATGTGGGCTTTGACGTTTTTCCTTTTACAAATACAGAAAGTCAAGTAGTTAGATGATACAGTCGTGTATAAATTCAAGTCGAGTCACTTATTTACAGCTGCAAGGTCATGTTCATTTAAGACGTCACACTCTGTGTGCTAGAACCGACTGTGGCTGACGCCGTATACATGAAGCTCCGTTGTGCCGGTGGTTCGGGCCGGGTTTGGTTGGGTTGAACCCTGCGGTTCAACGGTTCAACGGTTCAACCCAACCGGAAGACCGGCCAGGCATTTGTGCCAAACTTGATCAAGATTGTCCCTGCTACCCAGAGTCACATTGAACATTGTCAAAGATTCCTCACAGAACAATCATGTAGTCTGCGTAGGCTACCTTTAGTTGCATCAAACCTGTTCCCTCCTCGTAAACACCAATTCCAATGACGGCGCCACCAGCGTAAAAGTGTCCAGCTGGCCCTCCCAAAAGGCCTTCGCAGACTGCCCTGGTGCTAAAGTAACATCATAACTATGGAGTATCACGGCGATGACGCGTCGTAGTTCCATCGAGGCGAGTCGTTTCCCGACACATGCGTAGGGTCCTTCTCACACAGTAAGAGGAGAATTCTGTCAGCTGGGAAAGCACATGAGACATACCTGAGCCGAACGGAATAAAAGCAGAGCGATCCTTCACAAGCTCAGGACGACTTGTCCATCGTTCGGGAATGAATTCGTCCGGGCGCTCGAATGCGCGGCTGTCTGTGACCAGGATGGAACGAATCAGCATTGTTTGGCAGCTGTCTTTATGGAGGTATCTACTCACCTCGATACACAGTGTACGTAGGAACCTGTACAACGACATTCCCGGGTATGAACTTATCGCCGATCTTTAGCCCTTCCGCCGGCGTGACGCGCTGTAATCCAGACGGGTTGGGAGACTGAAGCCGCCATGTCTCGTTGAGGATAGCGTCAAACAAGTCAATCTGGGCCAGCCAGTGAGATTCGAGATCTGGGAGTGCGTCTAGGCGAGATTGAAGTTCTTTAACGATCGCTGGGTTACAAGCAAGATGGCAGAAAACATTGGTGAGGGAGGTAGCTACTGTGTCACTAATGTCTTTTAGTCGTGTCGCCCCCTTATCTGAGAACATTGTTGGTGTGAGTCTACGTACCTTCCGGCCACGACGATCAGATGAGCATCTCCGTGTAGATTCAGCGTATCTTGGTGCAACTGTAGCCCCTGGCGGTATTCATTAAGAATCCAGGAAAAGACGTCAGGTCGTTCATGTTCGCACTGCTTACGACAATCAGCACATCAGTAGCAAACAGAGTCTTTCCTTTGTAAGGCCTTACCTCGGCCCTCTCAGAGATTTGGTTAGCTATCCATTCCCAAAAGCGAAGGTAGTTGCTGTTCAAAAATGGCACTCTTTTGGTAAAAGGGAAAAGCCAAGGCAAGTGGCTGAAATAAGCAACCTTGGCCATGTCTGTGCGGATTGTCCGCAGAATGTAAGATTCGGTCCCATCAACCAGCATGTTGGAAGTTTTGCCAAAAGAAAGATCGACCATGACGTCGAAGGAAAAATAGGTGAACCACGGGGTGATATTTATCGGCTTCCCGGCATTTTTATGAATGACCTGGAGAAGCTGATCGGTGTATTTTGATACTCTGGGCTCGTAATCGTGGAGTGCTAGGGTGATAGTCGATGATGTCAGGTCGATTGGTTAACAGGGTTTTGATAATAGTCCATTTCGTACCTTTGGTGCTAAACCCCTGATCCCAAACCTTTCGACGGCGTGCATGCTCTTGCTTATCCCTCGCCATGAAGAGAGGCACGCGCGGTTCCAGTAGCGTATACCATGGGCCCTTGGTCACAGAAGACTGGGTACCATATATTACCTTCACTGCCTGTGGATCCGCAATGGATAGCTCGCATGGACCTGGGCTCGCAAAATTAGACAGTATGATATTGCTGTAGTTAGGTACTCACCCAGCCGGACATAGTCTCCATATTCACGATGAACCTTCTGGACTTCTCTGGGCTTCTGTAGATTCATCGACAATGTTGTCGCATAGAAATTTGTCAGACGGCCAAAGAACGGGCCAGGAAATCTCCGGAGTCTATGGAACAATAATCGATAAACGAGCATGCTAGTGTAAACACCCAAGACATGGTAACCACAGAGGCTCGAGAAGGCCACGGGTGAGAGCCCGAGCCCAGTCGATGTCAATAAATCGAGGTAAAGTGCTAGATTGCCGCCCACGAAGATGAAGGTATAGATTTGCACGAGGAGCACAGAAGTCGTGTCCCATTCCCCAAACCTGTATATGAAAGTATGAAGTGAAACACCGCTAAGTGTCGCAATCAGCGGCAGTGAGCCCTGCGTGAGCATGATTTTGACTGTTCACCAACCAGTGCTGCTGGGTCTCCGAATGGCGTTGGGGTGTCTGCGTGTGTAGAGCTGCTGAGGAATCTCGTGTGTGGGAGCCTAAACGTAAAAGGTCGACTGGCTCTGTCATTAATATGTGTGGATCGCATTTTGGCCTAGGATATCTCTACATGGAATACTTTTAATACAACGGTGCGGCTGATAGCGGGCTTGTTCAGCTTTCTCCCCACAATGCTCTACACTAGGTGGCCATTTGCAAATAACCTGGTCAGAATCGTGATCCTTCATTCCACAGCTGAGCTCAGCGTAGCTAGTGGCAACTAGTACGTAAAATAATGGCCAAACACTGCCAAATACCACCTACTGTGGGTCGCAGTTTCCTTTGATTACGCTAATTAGGATAACGCACCGAGACACTTGATCATTCACATCACATGCAGCAATCGCAGTGGGATCTCTCCCTGGATCCTTCGGTCCCACTTGTGAGCTTGGTATTCTACGGTTGACTGTTAGGGGTATTTCTGGACCACCAGCTGTCCTGGGCAAGCCTAGTACAGCATGAGTGGCAAACTCAATCTACTCCGAGTGTCAACTGTCTTCACTAGTCTTTTCTTGGCTCTGCGGTCACGATTCTGACGATCATATTCCTTCCATAGACAACAGTGCAGGCAGAGAGCCAGCTGTGGCTGAAGAGCTTTCGGGCCTTCTACTGCTGCTCATTATGCGATACTGTTCAGTACGGCTGAGCGATCGATCGTCGGTCATATTGGTTGCCTGCTAGGTCATATGGCGCTAGGGATTATCCGCGGTGTTTACCAGTGGACCTATCTACTCGTATGTGGCTTCTATTTAAAGGTGGATGTGTAGGGTCTTGCCATATCAACCTTGTTTTCAACAAAAACCTTATAAAAGTACTGCACCGAATCTTGTTTGATACAGGATTGTCGTTAGCCTCGCACGTCATATTCATCTCCCGAACAACAGCAAATATGAACCCATCATCTGCAATTAAGCGCATAATAGAACAAGGCCTGCGTGATTACACGAGAAAGAAAGCAAAGCATTCAATGCGAACGAATAGCATCCAGCTTAAGCGTCTTGGTATCCCCCTACGCGTAAGCAACAAAGAAGCCTGCGTCTACATCAATAGCAAACAATACTAATATGCTTGTATAGCTGGATATTCCGGACTTCAGAGTAACCGAGATACTGACCCCCCTAGACCAAGAAGGGCAGCCCTCGGAGAATAACACCGGTATCCTAGATGTGTTTTACTCACATCTAAAATATCGGTACTCTACGCCATCCCAGGACAATGGAGATGAATTGTCGATTCTACGTCAATGTATCAGTGAGGTTCGAACGATCGCTCTGCTCTTCCCGGATATACGGGCCACCCATATCCGGACCTGCATGGCTGCATGGCTCGGGACATTGTGTTCCACTGATGATATAATCGAAGACATGATGCCTGATGAGGCGACTGCTGTTCTCAACCATTCAATACAGGTTCTGCGAGAAGAATGTAAGTGATGCTGGGGGAACTTGCGAATGGTGTCGCTAGCGACGATACTGATAGTAGAACTGCAAGGCCATCCCTCTTCGCCTCAGCCTACTGTCGTTCGGTATTTCATCGCCTTTAAGCAGCATTGTTTAACACATCTGTCTACAGAGGCAGGCCGACGTTTCTTGGAGAGTGTCTGTACTATACTCGAGGGGCTGCTTGATGAAATCGGTTATAGTCAAGGTGCCTTGCCATATAACCTGGAGACATATATGAGCATACGTCGCCGGACGATCGGGATATCCCCCTTTTTTACGCTGGTCAGGAGCATACTCGAAACAAACGACCACCAGTGGTCGACAGAAATAACAGATATGGAGAGCGATGCTTGCGCTATACTTGGTCTCCAAAATGACCTAGTTGGTCTGGAGAAGGATATCCAAGAAGAGGAGCAAATGAATGCGGTTATTGTGAATGCTGCACAGATTGGGGGCCAAAACACATGCGCAGGGGAGGATACAACTCTTCAGGTTGCCACTAACAATATCTGTGCCTTGCACAACCACCTAATGGGGCGTGTGTTGGAAAGACACGCAAATATTCAGCAGAGGGCTATCGGGATGCCTGAGCATGCCCTCGAGTGCGGTCTTGCAGACATGCAACTTATGATTACAGAGACGCATCTGAAGTGGTGCACATCGGCAAAGAGATATACGTTGACTCCCGAGCTACACATGATTTAAGTGCAAAATGGTCTACATGGTTTACGGCAACATTTGGAATTTTCTGTCAGAACGAAGAGGCTATAGAAACTGGTCTAACCTATTTTTTTTTTTATTTTTTTTTTTTCACGAGAATACATCAAGTTACGAGATTATCTGCCCTGTCTCGTATCTATTACCCCATTATGCAACAAATGAAATGATTCAACCTCGGCAATGATAATGGTAACAGATATACCCGGACACATGGAAGGGTCGCCCTGATAAAATCCGATAAGAATTATGCTTATCGCTGATAAGGTGCGGCATCGGCATGGCCCGTGGATCGGGACTGACCGTCACCGAGAGCATCGGCGAGTATAAGTGGTGGTCCGTGTTGACATCCCAGCTTCAATCTGATGAATTTGGACTGCTTTAGGACCTATACATAATTACCATGCCAGCAACTCTGCAACCACTTCCTCCCCCGGCGGGATCCGACATTAACTTCGGCGCCGTCATTGACAACATCGATCTCGAGAATCTAACCGGTATGAACTACTCACCTTTCTACCTACATCAACGAGAAGAAACTCATGATCTACAGACGAAACCTTCTCGACAATCCATTCCGCCCTCTACAATCACCAAGTAGTAGTCTTCAAAAACCAACACCACCTCTCCCCAAGAGCCCAGTACCTCCTCACCCAACGCTTCGACCCCTCCTCCACCCAATACGGACACGGCAAAACAATTGATGCAAAGCGAAGCATCCTGCACCCAGACCTAAAGACCGTACCACATCAGCCGCAAGTCCAAATCATCGGCCATGGCTCCATCGACTCCTACGAAGGTCTATCCAACTTCCAATTGAAACACCCACATCACAAGACCTTCCACCGCGATGTGATTCCCCCGGAAGAGGATTATGATTTCACCCGGTTCTACAGATGGCATATCGATGCTGCGCTGTATGAGTATTATCCCCCGAAGGTAACGACGTTACTTGCGGTGAAGGTCCCGAAGGGTCGACGACAGACACTCCGGTATGATGACGAATCAAATGAGACGATGGATGTGCCCCTCGGAACGACAGCCTTTGTCACTGGGGAGCGGATGTTTGAGATGTTGTCCGATGAGGACAAGGAGTTTGTGTTGGGGAGCAAAGTTGAATATGCACCTCACCCGTAAGTCACTTCTCAACCTCTACACCTTCTAATAAAAGCTAACACCATCCAGATACATCTGGATGAGCCCCGCGCGCTCCCTCCCGACAGGACTCGGCCTCTACTCCGAAGGCCTCGAACTACCTGAATCCGAACTCCCGCCCATCGACCAATCAAAGATCATGATCCTGCCCATGGTCTGGAAGAACCCGGTTACAGGGAAACCCGCGCTGCAGATCCACCCCTCCGCTGTGCGGAAGATCCACCAGAAAGACGGCAGCGTGATTGATGATCTCGCCCGTGTCCGGGAAATCGTCTACCGGTTGCAGCGTCCGGGTATCAGCCCGAAACATGTGTACGCGCATGACTGGGAAGAGGGGGACCTGGTCTTGTTCCATAACCGAGGCGTGTTGCATTCCGTGGTGGGGGCATTTGGGGATGATGAGGTGAGACTGTTTCGACAGTGTAATCTGGCGGCCGGGGAGGCGCCGGTTGGGATGAGGGATTGAGTGCTATCTGTGGTATATGAAGCGATGTGTTTATGATACAGATGTGGAACTTGTAGATTTCTAACTTATATTCGAGTTCATTATATTTCATTAATCCCATATCCAGTGGAGATCGCAGAAACGCGTAATAATAAGGGTATACGATGCTAAGCACAAGCTGGTATCAAGATGGTCTATATCTATGTGCTCTTCAACCCAATGCAATTAAATCCTGAAGATGGCTCATGAGACATTAGTCAGGTCATGAGCCGTTATTTTCAACACGTATGAATGCGTAAATCAATGCGCAAGTTCCTGTTAATCGTCAATAGTCTGAACGAAAAGAAAAGAATAGAAGAACAGGGTTTGTGAAACTTACGCTGGCAAGCTTGCTCTTCGCTCGGATCTTGGGCCCATAGAAGGACAGGACCCATGGTACAAGTGTCAGGGCGGCTCCCTGGGAACATTAGTTCAACATTCGAAGTTACTACTTAGTCTAGATGGACTTACAATTCCACCCAGCAAGCTAGAAGCAGCGGGGTAACCCAGGTTTGTGAATAAAGCATGAGTCACAAGAGGAAAAACACCGCCCAAGAGATTCCGGCCTATACACAATGTTAGAGATACTCCTGTCCCAAACACTACGGGTTAACTTACAGCAAGACTGCGCGGCAATCGCTGAGCTGGCAAACCGATGATATGTATCAGCCAGATAGTTAAAGACCGCCAAATAAATCGACAAAATGCCCATGGTAGCACACCCGACCGCCATAGCCGGAGCGATCCAATGCACAGACGGATAGGAGGACCATCCGAACCAGAACAGGCCTGCGGGCATGAGCACTGCCTGCACACAGGCAAAGTAGAGACGTTTCTCTGGGGTGTTGGGAAGCTTCACGAATCGGCTGACGACTCGTTCCTGGTAGATGCTGATGAGGGTAGCAATGATCACGGCGACGCACATCGCTATGCCTGTTAGCTTGGTTGTAAGAACAAGAGACAGACTTCACCTACATGTGAACACGGCTCCCGATTGCTCAACGTTGAAACCATGGTTCGTCTGGAAAATTAACGGGACGGAGCCGAACTGGAGATACAGCACAGCCCAGCTGAAGGCTGCCCAAAGGGAGAAGAAGAAAACGACCGGCTCGGTGAAAAGCATATCTGGCAACAGTTAGTTGTAGGTATTTGTGGATCATTCCCTGGCAGAACATACGAAAAGGCCGATAGAGGGAGATGCTGATCATTTGTCCGAGGGAGGCCCGTTGCTCGTCGCTCTTGACCTTCCAACGAATCCGTCTTGTGCACTGTTTCTCTCCAGACTCGTCCGGCATGATTACACCGAAATGGCCTGCATCTTCAAGCGCTTCATAGTATTTGTTCAGTGCGTGTGCTTTGCGACTAAGAATGACGCTGCCACGGGTTTCTTTGAAGAAAAAGAAGATGATGACAACGAAGACAGCCGACACGATCGCATGCGAGTAGTAGATCCAGCGCCATGTGGTGTGATAGACAATCACGCTCGACAAGAGTGGCGCGAGGCCGGTACCGAATAGGGCAGCGCCCGAGAAGAGAGCCATGGGAGTGTTGCGATCATCCGCATGGTAGATATCACTGATGACACCACCGACCATGGTTGAGAATGTCGCTGGCCATGTATTAGCAAAATACTGAAAATGCGCGAGGTGTAAGAAGCGACATACATGCGCCAACACCTTGGAAGAATCTCGCTACAAGCAGTCCAGCAAATAAATGTGTTCCACCACAAGCGATAATACACGCTACAGAATGTAAGTCAGAATCAGTCTGAAAGTAGCTCCCTGTGGCCAACACACCTGTGAAAACGACACCACTAACAACAAAGATTGGCCGTCTCCCATTGAGCTCCGAAAACGGAGCCAAAACCATAGGCGCCAAGGCAAACCCTATACAAAAGATGGTGATACTCAGGTTGTATACCACACCACTGATCCCCCATTCCGCTGTGAGCTCCGTCGAGGCCGGATTACCTTCCCCCGCTGAATAACCGGCCAAGGCCGTGACACCGCAAGAAATCCATGTCATCATCGATTTTCGCCATTTGGGCCAGAGGAACGGGGAAATGTATTGCTTCATGTCGGGACATTCTGGCGCGGGGGACTGGTTGGGGCCGGGCGGCAATGTGATCCGCGGCGTCGGCAGCGGCGTTTCGAGCTCGAGATAAAGATATTCGATTTCCTGTGTCGGAAGGGCATCTTTGCATTCGACATCGACATCTGTAGAACAGACGGTTTCGCCGGAGCTTGAACGAGGACTGGGGCGTGACAGTCCCATGGCTACAGGTGCAGGAAATCTTGTCTCTACCAGGGCAGAATGTGTCACATTCTAGCTTGGGGCTGTCGAATTTATAATGATCTACATTTCAGGTCTAGATTTTACGCCTTCCGAGGAAAGTGCCCAATTTTGCACAAAATTGGAGAAGCTTGGACGCACACATGGTCCGGAGTCTGCCCTATCGTCCGGAGTAACTAGAGTTCAGTAGACTGGTTCTCGTCGGGGTTTGAATTATGTAGCCCTATTCATCGTTTCTACTATGTTCCTCGTGGTTGATACTCTTTTCTACACGCGTTCGAGAGCTCTAGAACACTATTTCTGTTCATCACCTGCGACGTTGCTGCTGTCGATGCTATGGAATATTGGTCTCTGCCATGGCGGCTGAAGATACTGCCCGGGATATGGAAAAAGCGATTCGGGGCGGAAACTTTCCCCCTCATCTCCAAATCGGAGAAGCCTTAATAATCCACCGCGAATCCTTTTGACTCACCAAAGCCGACGGAGGAAAAAGAAAAACTGAAGAGATTTCTCAGAAGTCTCCGAAACCACGTCATCGTCTGCTTACCTCCCCACGGTCTTTCGCAATTTCGGCTCCAAGGGGAAAATCTGTTCCTCCACCTTCACGTCCCCATATACGTTCTCCCAGCGTTCACGCAGAGGCTCCGGCGTCGCCCACGCATTCTCGGGATCGCGCAGCCAAAGTCGCAAAAGATGGCGTCTACGTTTTTGTTAGCACGACAGAGCCCTCGGGAAATATGATGAATGCACTTACTCATTGTCAGGCTCATCCCGGAATCCCTTCCGCGCATGGAAAATACTGAGGTTGTTAATGTACTGGACGTCGCCCTTTTGGAAATCCAGTGCGGCGCTGTGCTCCTCGGCTAGGAAATGAAGCGCGTCCAGCGCCTCGGCCTGTGCCTCAGAAATCGGGGGAATGTCGGTCGACCGCGGCTGGGCGAGGAATCCGGTGAAATAACGACGGGCGTATTGGATCAGAACGCGTTCGGGGGTGGTATCGGTTGCATTTTGGTGGTAGAGAAGGGGACGAGTAGTATAGGGCTTTACGGGGTCATTGAATCTGATTTTCTCTCGCATTAGCGATCGCCACTTTCCTGCGAACCTACGACGACTCACCCATCGAGCGGCCATGGCTCCGACAACGTACGGATCAAATCCGGCCTCTCCTTGGCCAGGATGTTATACACCAACCAACTGCTGGAAATCTGGCTTTCACCTCCCTCGGCGGCGGGATGGAGACAAAGGAGGGAAATGATGTCGCCCGAATCCGTGTGGAACACTTGTTTATCTGCCGTGTTGGACGGGGCGCCGATCGAATTCGCTTCACTCGTGCGCGTCAAATCCTTGATATGCGACAGGACCACCGAGCCACCATTCGACGTAAACCGTCTGTCCTCCTGGCGGCCGCGGATATTGCCGATGTGCGATGATACACCTGCATAGATGATGATATTCTCCTCCCGAGTGTAGCGATCGATATCGAGTCCGCGGAGGACGAAGAATCCGCGGCCATTATGGATTTCATTCGAGAGCGATCGCAGGGTTGGACGAAGGTTGGGCAAAGGGAAGGTGTCCTGGTTAATATTGCCCAGGCTCAAATTCTGGGCTATGGGGAATTAGCACGGGTGATTGTTCGCGCTTTCTCTGCATATGATCGGTGATGGAGCGCATGGCGAGATGGGAAAGGTAAGGTATACCCTGGAAGCTCTTCAGTGCAGCGTCAATTTCCTCCCTCTGCGCATCATTCAACTTGTAGATCCAGTCATCCCGCTTCTCGACGTCCTTTCCCTCCCACACCAAGGGCGACTCTAATTTCTGGGGAAATCCATCCGGTAGGGTCTTGGACAGCTGCTCGGTGGCCTTTCTGTGCGCCGCCCGTGCCGTATACTTTTCGTAGTCCGGATGGTATTGGATATCAGGCTGAACGAGAGTCTGCACGGCGACCGACATGGTTAGGTGTAGGAGATCTGATTCCCAGTAGACTTGCTATGGTAGACACTCAGCTAGAGGTAGATTCCTGCGTGCTTTCTCGACAAATATAAGACGGCGCATACCCCGCAGCATACAATCACATCATCAAATGGCAGCGCAGCAAATCATTGCGCCATAGGGCACCAATATTGCCATCCCGGCACCCAGACAATCACAGTCGTCGTAGGACACTTCTGAAACCACTCCGGTGGTGTTATCGCCTACATTTACCACATCGAGGAAAGGCTTGGGTCAGGGAATCGTTTCCATTGACTGCTCTGGCCAATATGAGTGGTTAGGTTTCCCTGCCACTTCGCTCTGGTTACGTTGCCTGGATTTCTAAGCAGCAATAGCATCACATACTATATGCGCCGTTCTCTCACAGTGTCTCGGATACTCGGCCAAATCTAGTCTCATAGCTTCATTCTTAGAGTCATAATGCATCACACGATCTATTCCTCAAGTCTCCTCCCGTCAATATCAATGTCAATCTTATAATACTTGAACTTCCGACTGGGGACTTTCCTCTCGAACAGAATATCCAACTCCTCGAACGTCCTCCCCTTGGTTTCCGGCATACACCAGTACACATAAATCACACAGAGAACGCTGAGCCCCGAGAAGAGGAAGCCGATCTTCCCCTTCCAGTCGGCCTCGTCTTCATTCATGGCGTACGGGATAGCGACCGCGAAGACGACCGACCACACGAAACAAGCCACCGTTGCCAAGGCGATGGTAAACCCTCGCAGAGCAGCGGAGGACACTTCGGCCAGCAGCACGTAGCAGAACGGGCCGAGGCTGAGGTCATAGACAAAGGTGCAGACCAACATCAGACCGCACTGGGCCCATACCGTGTTGGTTTGACGCGGGGCGAGATCCACGGCACCGATGATAAACAGCAGAAGGGCGAGCGAAGAGCAGCCGAAAAGGTACATGGTGCGCCGACCGACATACGATAGCAACAGCCAAGAGATACAGGTGCCCAGGAACCCAATGGCCGTGAGACCGAGGTTCATGGAAAAGGCATCGGAGGAATCCAGCCCGGCCAGCTCCATGAAGTGCACGGCATAGTTGATGAAAAACACATTGCCGGTGAACGCCTGCATGCTGTACGCCATCACGCAAATCATCAGTCGGCGGAAGTTGGGCCCGCGGAAGCATTCCATGTAGTGGGGCCGGTCGCCCTGGAACTCCTCCTCCAGGCGGAGTGTCTCGCGAATATGCGCCAGCTTTCGCGAGACGTCTATGCTGGGTGTGGCCAGGCGACGGAGCGATACGCGCGCTGCGTCGTATCGGCCCTTGCGACATAGCCAATACGGTGGATCCGGGCAGAAGAAGACCAGGAACAGCATGATACAGGGCAATGCCCACTGAGTGGCAATGGGGATTTTGTAGGACAGTTCGGTGTTCATCGATGCCGTTCCCTTCAGGATGCCGGATGCGACCAGGGAGCCGATAGAAAACGCCAGGTTGGTCATGGTGGCGGCAAACCCTCGCAGGACGAGTGGGGTCACTTCGCCGACGTACGCCGAGGCGCAAATTGGGTAGAATGCGATCACCGCGCCGTTCACCAGCTGCCCGACAAACAGCTGGGCCGGCGTGTGGCTGAAAAACTGGATGAAGATGAAGGCGATGGACAAGCACGAACACATCGCGATCATGATACGAGGCCCAAAGCGGTTGTAGGCAGCCCCAGAGCAGAGGGCGCCCACGATAGCACCGAGCAGATTGGCATAGTTGAAGGCCGACAGCCACTGCGCGGCGATCATGTAGGTTCCGTTGTGATTGTAGCCATAGGTCTCTTTGAACACGTCCAGACCGACGAGACCTTTCACTACACCCCCGTCAATCCCCTTCAGAATAGTTGCCTACAACCTTGAGCAAAGTGTTTTGAAAGGGATATTGTTCGAAAAGTTCTCACCAGATTCATGAACAAGCCCCACCCCACCGCGGGCCAGTGCAGCCGCATGGCGGTCCAAAACCCTTGGTTATGCTCATCCTTTGAAAACAGAAACGAAAGCTCTGCATCCTCGATCGCTGACGCCGGGACAGATTGAACCAGAGTGGTCTGCTTCTCTGCGGGTTTACTGGTCATAATCCTGAGTCGACGAGAGGTAGAACGTTAGGGCTTCAATTTGCCATCATTAGAAAATATATACCGGTCACGGGCTTGGCATCTCTCGGCACTCCAATCGTTGGGCTGCGATTAATCACCCTATCAGATCATATCAATCATATCCATAACCTAACTGATTGTCTCCCGGGTCCTCGTGCCAAGATTTCTGTGCGTTTACGGAGGAAACATGGTGAGGTTGTTCAGATAGTCTATATTAAGAGATGTTAGAAATTCGAAGTCTTCTGCGGGTCTTGGTCCGGAGTCATGTTAGTATATATTGCCTGGGCGTCCGTATCAAAGTCAGAGATATATAGTGAAACATAATGGCCAATGATACTCAACTAAGCTTTACACTACGATCGACAGTATTTTGTTCTAAATATTTAATTAATTTTATCTGCATCCTATATAACCAAACAATCGAAGCCAGGATACTATTGATACAGCAATTGGCCGGCATATTTTAGTCTATACCTAACCTGCGGGTTTCCACCATCCATCTACAAGCAACGGGTTCGGCTTCACATGGGTTATGGCGGGACCTAGATCTTATCAGCCCTGTAGGTTGGAATGACTTTAGGATTGAATGTTCTTCCTGATTCAAGAATGCCCTGATAGCTGCTCGTCCAGAGCAAAGGAGCGTGTTTGGCGGTAGAAGTGCCTTGTGGTTATAGATGCATGCGCAGTTCCTCACGACTCAGTACTATTCCAGGAACATGCTTTTTCTTCGGGATAAGTGGCGTACAAGGGATTTACAGCGACTGCATTAATTTATCTTCTCAATCCAAATATACAAGTTGAAGGACTTGCAAAACAGAGCTAATTTCAAGGGAAAAAGAAAAGAGACTGGAGCATCGCTTAATGTATTTTGAATCACTGGGAAGTTGTTGATGGTGGCATGATATTGAGGGCTGCTAGGAAAGTCACGACACGAGTTACCAGACAGAGAGTGCTTAAACAGACAGAACAGATAGACATTACCGCTGGATGATCACGACAGAGCTAGTTTAAGAACTATACCACTCCTCCAGACCCTCATGCAGGGCAAGGACACGATGAAAGATACAAGTATTCCATAAAATAGAAAGTGGCGAAGAATACGCCTGTCAATGATGTGAAGGGTGTTGAACGGATTGTTCCGCTGCGCTGTGCAATACATTTATGGTGAATTGCCTTCTTGATCGCAGCCATCCAAACATCAAAAGAGTGGAGGGACGGGGGAAGATGGCTTTGCTATCTACTCTTCGGCGTGACTGGACCAACCCATTCCCTACCGTAAATGATTGTCTGCCGGGTACTTGGGCCAAGATTCCTTTGCGTTTACGCAGTACCTATGGCGAAGTGATATAGAAAGACCATGGCAAGAAGTCTTCTACAGATCTTTGTCCTAGATCATGTTAATGTCCATTGCCTCAACGGATTTATCCGAATGTCAGATATGAGAGACCGTCATAGTCCCTTGCCGTATCATATATGTGATCTATACGGTGAAACATATAATGGTCAGTAACGTTCAACCAAGCTTTGCACTATAATCGAGGACACTTTATTCTCAACGTTTAGCTGGTTGTATTTGAGTCTTAGATGACTAAATGATCGGAGCCTTGCTATTCTTGATAAAGTAACTGCGCCGGCACATCACCACGCTTAATATGCTGTGGCTCACTAACCATAGATGTTGCTTGAAGGTCGACAATAAAATTGCATCTCAGGAATGGCGAATACGCCTAAGTTTGAAATGATCTCAGTACTTATGAACTATGGTGATCCATTCTCTTGTTGAACGAATATACGATATCTCCATCAGGCTGATGGATGGTTGATAAGAATTTATAGCGAGACGTGGACGCAGCGTGTCCTTTGATTGGACTCGAATTTGCCGCGTGATCTCTATACGACGGAGATTCAACCCAACTAGTGAGGTATAGACTACGCTTTGCAGACCATTGTTGAAGGTAGCGGTCAGTAATCCAGACTAAAGGATGACGAACTCCACATGGCACAGAAAGCGAGACTCCGGAGTAGATGCCAACTCTAGTTAAAGCGCCACTCTAGTAACGAGTGCAAGCGGCAGAGACCCCACACTCCACACAGTTGTCTTGCTCAACAGAAAATGCCAAGAAATATGTACAGGTTCACCACTTCAAGTCCTGCCAGAGGGGCGTGGTGTTCATGGATGCTGAAGGGAGCTCTCTCGGGACGATGACATGGTACATAGACAGTACAGTATGGGTGGAGAGTGCCTGCATTAGGGTTGCATCGCTGACCTTTGACCTTATCATGAATGCAATCTGCACTCCAAAGATGCACCCGCAGATCATTGCAGTCTACGTCGCCTGCCAAAAAGTCACTATTGAACCGTCTCGTGGAGTGCCCCACATCGACCGTCGACGCACGGTCTGCTTGGCTTTCGTGTCATCCTCAGTTGATCAATCACGGCACTTGTAGGACAAGACACCGAGGATGGTCGAACCATCGGGAGCATTTACGGGGGCATTCGACTCCATATAAAAAGAGAGGGGTCGCCCGTTGTCTCCAATTACCCCTCAACTCCCCCCCCCCCCTTGTAATCAAAATAATTGTACGAGTCTCTGCGAGAAATTAATTCACCATGACGTTGGATATCACTGTAAGGTGAACCACTGACCCAACTGTGATGCTTCTCGCTAACCCAACTATAGACCTTCTACAACGTTATTAATAACGAACTGACCACCACCGCCGAAACGCGCCATGGCATCAACCCCGCCAACCAACAACCCAACCCCGAGGTCCCAGTCTCAACCGCCGCGGATCTGGACAAGGCCGTGAACGCCGCTCGCCAGGCCTTCAAGACATGGTCGCAAACAACAGTTGAGGAGCGGCGCCAGGCCCTGAGCGCTTTTGCCGACGCCATCGAAGAGAACAAGGATACCCTGGCCAAGCTACTGACCCAGGAGCAAGGGAAGCCCTTAAACCAAGCATCCGGTGAACTTGACAACGCCGTCATCTGGGCACGAGCTATCCCTAAGCTCGAAGTCCCGGAGACGGTGATTGAGGACAACGAACAGCACAAGGTGGTCCAGAGACACATCCCCATCGGGGTTGGAGGTGCTATTGTGCCCTGGAACTTTCCCGTCATGTTGGCGGTCGGAAAGATCATCCCCGCAGTGTACACCGGGAACACCATTATTGTTAAGCCGTCGCCCTTCACTCCTTACTGCAACTTGAAATTAGGGGAGCTTGCTGCCCGCTGCTTCCCACCAGGTGTGGTGCAGGTGCTGAGCGGCGGGGATGACCTCGGCCCCATGATCACCGAGCATCCAGGTATCGACAAGATCAGCTTCACCGGTTCTAGTTTGACCGGTCGCCGAGTCATGGCCAGCTGTGCCAAGACGCTGAAGCGCGTTACGTTGGAACTGGGTGGTAACGACCCTGCTATTGTCTGCGACGATGTCGACATCGATGCCATCATTCCCAAGGTATAACAGAAAGCCCGTGACCGTCAATCAACTATGGCTAACTCAACCAGGTCGGTGTTCTGAGCTTCCTGTGCTCGAGTCAGATCTGCATGATGATCAAGCGTCTCTATGTGCACGAGAAGATCTATGACGAGTTCCGTGACAAGCTCGTCGCATTCGTGAAGAACCTGAAGCTAGGCGAAGGCACCGAACCCGATGTCTTCTTCGGTCCCCTCCAGAACAGCATGCAGTTCGGCAAGGCCCGGAACCTGATCGAACACATTGCATCCGAAGGCCTAAACTCGGTCTTGGGAGGTGACATCCCCGATTCCAAGGGCTTCTTCGTCCCGCCGACTATTGTCGACAACCCGCCGGAAAACTCGCGTGTTGTCCAAGAGGAGCCCTTCGCGCCTATTCTGCCCATCCTCAAGTGGTCCGATGAACAGGACGTGATCGCACGCGCGAACGACACCGAGTATGGACTCGGAGCGTCGGTCTGGACTAAGGATTCTGAGCGTGGCCAGCGGATTGCGCGCCAACTGGAAGCTGGTAATGTCTGGGTCAACACACACTTCATGGTGGTGCCTAATGTGCCATTTGGCGGCCACAAGTCTAGTGGAATTGGTTCGGAGTGGGGAGTGACTGGATTGACCGGCTGGTGCAACACTCAGGCTTTGTATTTCGTTAAAGACGCATGAGGAGAGATGACGTGTATATATTTCGAAGCGAACTTTAAGCGATAGCCACATAATTCAATATCAATTGCTTGGTACATGCATATCATCCAGGGTGTAGTCCTATAGAGTAGACTGCTCATTCTACCGGCCACCGAGCCTTTACTCGATCTTTCAACCCGGCTCTGGCGACGACCTCCTGACTTCTTCGCTGCGCCTCGCGCACAATCTCTTGTTCGTCCATGGTTAACAGCTCTCCACTACGCACCAGCATTTCCCCATCGACCACGACGACATCGACATCCCTACCGGTTGCTGTGTAGACCACTGCACTGGCGGGGTTGAACCAGGGCTGCAAGTGGATATGCCGAGTATCTATAGCGACAAAATCGGCCTTCTTGCCAATCTCCAAGCTACCAATCCGATCTTCCAACCCTAACGCACGGGCGCCGTTGATGGTCGCCATCTCTAGCACAGATTCGGCCGGGACCGCGGTAGGGTCATAGGACAAGCTCTTATGTATAATACCCGCTAGCTTCATCTCCTGCAGGAGGTCGCAGGTATTATTGCATGGAGCGCCATCAGTGCCGAGGCCGATATTCACACCGGCACGCTGCAAGTCCGGTACGCGACAGATCCCAGAGGCAAGCTTGGCGTTGGAGGTCGGGCAATGCGCGACGTGGGTTCCTGAACCCGCAAGTCGCTTGATATCGTCGTCATCTAGATGCACCATGTGTACTAGCACTGTCGATGGCGAGAGGAGGCCGACCGAGTCGCAGTACGTCATGGGTGTGTGTCCGACCGACGCAAAGAAGTCACGGTCGGCACGCACCTCGGCACAGTGCATAGTGATGGGGATGCCTTTTTCGCGGGATAAACTGGTCATCTCACGGTACAGGGTATCCGATACTCTATCGTCCTGTCAATGGCAGTTCCAATGTCAGTTTACACGGAAATGCTTACCCCCCAGGGGTGCGAGCGCCGAACCACACGCGAATACGATCGTTGGCTTTGCCATTCCACTTCTCCCACATGTTCAACGTGCCCAACAATGATGTCTCGCGATCTTCGACCAGTCCGGGATGCATGGCCCAGGCATCATCCTTGGCATACCGTGCGATGTCCATGACGATCTTACCCAAACAACCACGGATGCCACTTTCCTCGACTGCTCGCGCCAGGCCATCGAATCCGTAGCGGTCCGCGAACTGCCGTGATTTAGACCAACTTCCAGGCAATGACAGTCGTTACTAATACATACCATACTCTCCAAGAAGCACGTCGTGCCCGACTTCAGCATCTCCCCGATACTCAACCGCGCTGCGGCATATCCGTCCTCAGCCGTGAAATTACCCTGCAGCACCCAGATCCGCTCGCACAGCCATGAAACCAACTCGAGGTCATCGGCAGCACCCCGCAGCAGCGTCTGAGCCGTGTGCATATGAGTAGAAATGAGGCCCGGAATGACTATCCGGCCGGTGAGGTCGTACTCCTCCTCGTCGGGGTATTTAGCCTTTAGGGCTGCCGTCTTGTCGATATCCGCGATCAAGTCATTCTGCACGCGGATGGCACCGTCCTCAATGATGCGTCGGCTTGAGTCGACCGTGATGATTGTCGCGTGGGTGTAAAGCATGATGTTGAATTTTAATTTCGTTTGGCCACTCGTCTGAAGATTTGGTCAGTCTTTTGGAGGGTTGATATGCAAAATCCCGCTACGGAGCAACCGATTTCCCCACACGGAGACCTCCGATGGGCGGGGAATCGTAAGTTTCCATAATTGATAAGATTAACTTGGCAGATAGAATTCTTGTTTCATCACCAAATGAGATGATAGCGTATCTTCTGCGTGTGGCTCATTGTGGGGTGCATGAAGTATGCTTAATTCCAGCCAACGACCTTGATCCTCTTGAGCATAGAACCGAGGTTTCTCTTGCCAATAGTTTAACAACAAGCGTAGACACAGCGATAGTTGACATTTGCGCGTCGTCATTATTGGAGTCTTCACTTTGTCCTAGAAGGAAAGGCGCTTCGACTTCCTTGAAATACTCTACTAGGTCTATCATTCCTCTTTTCTTCCCTTAAATCCACCTCGCGCAAAGATACCTAAGCCCCTCAATGTCACAGCACGATGCAATAAAACCAACTCCACCTGAAACAAGAAAGAAAGCGTGTCACATTAAGTTAATTACAAGTATACATTTAGTTCACGTGGTTCTGATGCCACGTGTAATCAGGGTTCGCCAACAACCCGTGAATGGCATCACGGGGCTTTGTAGGCTCTCTGCCCAAAACCTCCCTCATCAACGGATGTGTCGTAACCAACTCACCCTTCTCAATGCCCTCATACCACGTCAAAGTCTTCTCAAAGAAGGCCTTGGGCTTTCCCCCCTTATCATTCTCACCGTAGGTCCGGATATACTCCTCGGGTGACACACGCTGGAACTTGACCTGCCGGCCCGTCGTGGCATTGATGATATCCACGATCTCCGAGGGTCGAATAGTGTCCTCGGCTGTCAACAGGACGATCTCGTTCTCATGGCCACCGGCGATTATTAACCGCGCGGTCGCTTCGCCCAGCTCGGACCGCAGGGTCAATGCCATTGGGCCGTCGGATGGCAGAGGGACGGTAGTTGAGTCGGGGTACCAGTTGAGGAGTACGGGGAAGGCTTCTGTGTAGACACCTTCTCGGATGGAGGTGTAGGTGATTCCGGATCTGGGGATTTTGTTAGCGATGACAAGGTCTGCCGGAATTGACCAAGGTCAACGTACCTCCGAAGCATCTCCTCAGTCTCTAAATGCGCCGCCTGCACTGCAGCCTTTGAATCGGACTTGAATCCTCCGAACGCGAGAGATGTATACCACACCTAGCAAATCGATTAGCCATTGCCAGAGCAATTTCAGAAAAACAAAAAATAAAAGTGAGAAAAGAAAGGGCATACATGTTGAACACCCTTCCTCTTCGCCGCATCGACGAAATTCTGATGCTGCGTTCGACGCTTCTCATTATCGAACGTGTTGGTACTAACAAAAAGCACATTCTCGACATTCTCGAACGCGGTATCTAGCGTAGCGGGATCGTCATAATTAACCTGTCGGAAAGCAATGCCACGGTCTTCGAATTGCTGTCGGTTTGACTCTCTCGACGACGCAGCTGCGAATTCATGCAGAGGTTTGTTGGCCACGAAGTAGTCCAGGACATACCGGCCCAGGCCGCCTGTCGCGCCCGTGATGAGGTATTTGAGGGTCATATTCGTTTCGGGATGACGGCAATTATCGTATTAGCCTCAGTTTACTGCAAAGGTCTTCTTGAGTAATGAAATTAAGTAGTAGTGCCTATTTCAACGCAGCGTCGACAGTATTTTTATATTGATAAACATACCCCCTGTCGATGATTGCTAATCACGCGATTGATAATCCCGCGCCGCTCTAACAATTTCTGTTACATCTGCCTTGCCTCTCTTTGTATGTATGGAGTAAGAGTTGCTTCCTAAGCATGCAGCCAAGCCGAAGGTTGGCCCAAACCACCAAGTGTGATTGGCTGCGCGGGGCTAAATTATATGAGGTTTTTGGGGCTAAAATCGCAGCAGGGGAGACTATTATTACTAATGTCTGCTGCTTATGACGTAGGGGGTTTGGTTGGGTGGTACGCTCGGCCTGGAAGTTGTCCCTATGCCGATCATATGTCGTTCGTCTCGTATTTATAATGCTCGGATTGGGTTAGCCAGTTGCAGGGGTTTTCAGGAGACATCTCCTGGCTCTGGCGGTATACGAGTAGTGAAAAGGGAAAAAATCTGTATTCTGGCCCTTTTGAGTCAAAGTTGTTGGTTGGGTGGCTATATATTCCCTCCATCCTCAGAGGCAATACCAAGAATCGATACCGGTCATGGCCAATCTAAATTGGGAGTTAAAATAACCAAAATAGGACCCAAACCTCTAAGCTCTATCTTCATACCTCTGTATGGTGCACTACACTCAACCGACATCTCTATTCAATACCATTCAACGCATAGCAGCTCCGCCATCGCTCCAAAGCCAAGACCTACTTTGCTCAATACCACCCAGACTCACTACTCCAACAGTTTCAAAAGGACTCAACCACAACCGCCCAGAACAAGGCCTGGAAGTCAGTGACTTAGACGTACGAGAAGAAATTTGCTTGGAAAAAAAGCAATGAGTATACTATTAGTTGCTGTTCGAAACCATGAATCCTCCCCCCCCCTCCGGAACCAGCGACAGTTCTAGAAGCTCATCTTGCATAAATACTCGCGTCAACTCGGCTGAAAAGAGGTGTGTCTTACTCTCTGCGGGAATTAGGTGCCCGATGTGCAGCGGAAGATACCCAATGTCCGCCTACTGTAGGTCAATTGCCAAATGGTTCGATAGGGGGTTGAGGACACCACAAGCCGCCCGACGGGCAGAACATTGCTATGGTTGGAATGGTAGAATCTCTGTTACTTCTCAAGACCTTGTTGCTGCAGGAGGCAATGACTACATGTCGCTAACTGTAGCCTGGAAGGCCAGGGGGACGGAAAAGCCAAGTCTACAATTGGAATGACCTGTGGAGAGACATTTTCGACCTCATGATACAAATGCCCCTGATTCAGGCGAATTTCAAATTAACCGAGAATGGCTCTAGAGTCTTCTAGACAAACTCAATCGAATATAAGGTAGCACAAGAGAAGTGTACGCAGACAGAAATCGGTTGGAGTGAGCATGCTGATACGAAAACCTAACTCGATTACTCCCATCTATAGAGTGTGACAAATGAAACATCCAGGCTCTGAGCAACTCTGGAGCCTTTGAGTTGGCAAAGAAAATGAAGACGTGATATGAAAACGCTCCCAATCATGATGCACCTTACGTGGACAGGGCCCCCTGGGCTGAAACCGTTGAGTCATGCTGACAGTTCTATGCAGGGGCCCGAATTCAGAACTCAAAGCAGCGCTTCATCGCTTACGATAGGCGTCACGGCACACTCTTCACCCATGCCAGGTGCATTCAAGACCAAAAGTCGGAAATATGGGTGTCACCATAAATTCCGCAGGTGCCAACGAAAACTGGAAGCTGATATACGGCAAAGCCCCGTTCTGAGACTTGTCTAGGATGTCCATTGCTTTGTGTCTTACACTAGGAGATGCCACCTGGAATACGGGCCAGGGGATATGAGATAAAATCCCACAATGTGCCCTGCAAAGGAGAACAATTTGTTAGCCACGACTTCTTGACCCAATGATTGTGCGACACTGCAGCGTCTGCCAGTTTGTACCGCCGTTGGAAGACAGCCCAATTCAGGAACATTGCCATCCATCCCAATGGGAGACCAGCAGTCCACCCAAGATCGAACCAAACTGAGAGGCCGTCTCAAGGACACTCTGAAGGCAACATTCGCCCTGAAATCCCTCCATGATTTGCACCGAAAGACGCCCTACCTCGTGGACCCGGACCACGCCATGAAAGCCGCTCTCGTGATGTCCTGGGGTAAACCGCCACAGTATATCTCAATCCCTGATCTTCCGCCGCCGTCACCTACACAGCTCCAGCTAAAGGTTCTCGCTACGAGCGTGACACGGGTTGTCCGAAGCCGAGCCGCCGGCGCGCACTCTACAACTTTCAAGGCACCGTTACCCCATGACCCCAGCGTTGACGGAGTCGGAATCGACGAGATCACAGGCGACATGTACTACATCACCCAGCTTGCGGCACCGCTCTTTGCTGAACGAGCTAATGTCAACCTACGACATGTCATAAAGCTTGACCCTGGAACCGACCCTGTCAAGGTCGCGGCACTAGCAAATCCGGTGTCGTGCAGCTGGATGACCCTGCAATGCCGTGTCATTGGTGGCTGCCAGGGACGAACGGTACTGATCATCGGCGCGACAAGTGCTAGTGGGAGGTGTGCAGCGATCGTCGCGCGCTCACTGGGCGCCGCTCGCATCATCGGCTTGTCGCGCAATGAAGACACTCTGGCCGCCGTGGAAGGGCTCGACGATCGCGTCGTGCTCCGGGAGCCCTTTGCCCTCCCTCCACGTGTGGGGCCGGTGCATATCGTGCTGGACTACATTGGCAGCGGTCCTGCTGCTTCGGGCATTCTGCAGACAGCTCAGGGCGTGCGTGGAGAAAACTTGCAGTACATCCAAGTGGGGAATGTTGCGGACCGTCCGCATATCTTTGACGTGGTGCCTAGTTACCTGATCAACCACCGACCCATTTGCATCCTGGGCACTGGAATAGGTTGCTTCACTGTGGAGGATTGGAGGAGAGAACTGCCGGAAATCATGAAGATGATTAACCAAATGCAGATCCCATTCCCGATCTTCACTGTTCCTCTGAGTGATGTTGCGTCTGCATGGGAATCTGAGGACACTTTGACCAAGAGATTGATTCTGGTGCCCGGTGCATGAGTAGCCTGCTTGTCTCTGTTCAGCTGTTTTATATTTGTGTAAACACTCGTCTGTCCTGAAGTTAGATTTCACTTTAATCCATCTTTCTGTTGTCGATTACTACCGGATAAGGGCCAGGTTAAAAATATACCAAGGGCAGCGGACCACAGAAGGCAGCTTCCGTTCGTTCTCCATGAAGATCATGGCCATTGTAGACACCACTAGCTGGGCAAGCTGATCACTACCGCCAAAGCTAGCTTCCTGTTTAGACAGATCTTTTTCACCAAGCCCATTCTATCAATGCCCAAGACCCACCTGTCAGAATGTACTCATCCCGCCAGGCACCCGTAGCCTGGCACCGAGACTAGCGCCAAGGTGCAGCGTCGGGTCCAAAAGTCGGTGTAATATTGAACGAAGACGGCATCGCGCGATATCACATCCTTGCTTTGGTCTTTTGGCCACTCAGACTTGTAACGCCATGTAATACCAAGCAAAACTTTAATTCTGTCGAATTCTATACACAGTGCCAAGAGATATGACAGAAGGAATACCCATACCCGAGATGCTGTGCTTCGATCTCTTCCATTATCTGGAGCCATTACGCAGCTACAGTTAAGCGAATGATGGAAATGGCCATACCCCTGTTTTGGCCAGGAGCAGTCGCTGAGGATATGTTGGATTGATCAAACACTTGCCTATACACACAGCTGATCCCCGGGTTATACGTTACCAGTATCCTTTTTCTGTTGACTCAGACACCAAGGTAGGACAGGAAATGATTCTAGCAGAGGAGATTTACATAGACAGGATATTACTGCTTGATCCTTGTCTTAAATAGTATTCATCTGTACTCCACAACCTCGTAATCTATAGACAAGCCGTCGCACATCAGAAGAGCCCCGGAATCAGCCTCCACGGCACAATCTCACAGTACATAGTCCATCGGTCGCCATACTTCGAGGAGCAACGGGCGTCATCTCTCAACGACCGATGGATCAGTAGACTCGCCATAAAGCAGAAATACGTCCAGGGGATGATATGTGCAAAGCCACAGCCCGCACAAGTGCAGAACGAGAAAATCAAATCGCCGATGTAGTTTGGATGGCGGACCCATCCCCACCAGCCTGTTCGAGGATTTATTAGCATTACATGGTTCACCGTGGACTGGGCGCATGGAGACATACCGGAGTAGAGAAGCATAGATGGATGTGACGAACCATCGGCGGTTTGGTAGGTTGCTTGAATGACGGAAGGCTTTCGGCCCCAGATCAAGCTGGTTCCGTTTGACTGGCGGGTGCGATACTTTTGATGATTTGCAGATCGGAATATCACATAACCTGCAATTCCAGCTGCTAAAAGTAGTGTGCATTGCAGCCCGGACAGCTGGACTGGGTGATACGCCAAGTAGTGTGCTTGCGTGGTGTAAATCACTGGCAACCACACAGCGGAACCCCATGCCAGGTTGAAGCCGAAGTGATCCAGGGCAATATCTATCGTACTTAGGTACCTGAGAGGAAATTATTAAATGGTCGACCATTCCAGGACATTTGATATTAGTCCCGAGACTCACCAGTCTTCATTAACGAAGAAGTCTACCACATACAAGGCATGCAGCAAAACCACAACTACCATCGAGTTTGTGAGGTAGCCAAATTTCTGGTACTGCAAAGCAGCAAAGGACAGATCACTGCGAGATGGTACCGTTAGGGCCTACATATGAAGTCTGAAGGGGAAAAGGCCGCTTACACAAGCACCCAGCTATTCATCCCAACGCGTCCAATCTGGAACAGCTTTAAATCCCAGTGCTTGCCCAGGCGGGGATTCAGTTCCACTCCAGATAGGAAATCGTGGATTATGGATCCTGTCAATTTTTTGTCAATACCCTTGTTCGTCGTGGAAGAAACTGTGTCTCCTCACATACCGCTAAATCGAACATCCCTCGTGTTCGGGGTGAATAAATGGGACTTTACAACCGACGCAGCCGTGATCAAAAATCCGTAGATATTCGCAATAATAATCAGTTCACCCTGGTGCACTGCGACAAATGTAGGGTCCAGCTTTCCAGCCCTAACAAGGCCAATAAATACAACTAGGGTTGCCAGCCAGGACCATAGGCCATTGACCTTGTATGGCAACGAATATCCCCCGGGAGTGGGAGGGCCGGACACAATCCTCCCCGGGAGGGCTTGGTATAGGAATGCTTGAAAGACCAGCCAGGAGATGTAAGCTTTGATACCCTGCGTGGTCACAGTTGGGCAATATCGCGTGAGAAGCGGCAGGGCGCCATGAGAATAAACGTCACCGAGCACCTTCGTAATTGAGCCATCATAGTGGGTGAGCGCTACAGAAATCAAGAGCACGAGAAGAGGCGCAGCGACCATCAACCCCATACTCGGGAGGCTGGAAACCCACGACACATTGGCTCGCCTCCCCCAGAGAGCCTTTGGAGTTATCGCGACATGGACTCTCGCTGCTTTCTGAATTTGGCCTTTTCCGGATCCCAAACTGGACAGCCCGTCAATGAGCTGCGCAGCGGCCATTTTGAACAGTCAGGAAAGGGGTGTGGAATGAAGGAGGAAAATTATTGTCAGATGGAATTAAGGAACAGCATGGAATTCTGACGCTTTATCTAAATAAGGCCTGATCAGCGCAGGTCGACATGATCTGTATCGTGGACTTGCGGCATGCGCAGGGGTTGCTAGTCCTGTAAATCTCCCCACTCAGGGCTCAGTCCGGGCATGAGATGTACCCCCAGGTACTGTACATACCAAACGAATACAGAGCTAAACACGGTAAGAATACGGTCACGTATCGTCCGGCAACTGAGGGTTCCATACGAAAACACCGCTATTTCAACGTCAGCTATCTGAACAACCAATTGAGACCAACTAATAGTAAACACGTGGGAAGATTCCCACCGCGTCTCTATTTCAGTCTTGGACAATGAGTTCTGTTTGGAGTCAATGATCATGATGCACGGACCATTTCGATGCGGTGGAGTTGGGAGAGGAAGAGGGAATCAATCAAAATAGTGCTAAATCTAGGGGGATTGCGTCCCGTGTCTTGGAAGAATGAGCGATTGAATCCATCCAACACGCGCCATGTCCAATCAAACACCTCCAGCGGGTAATACTGGCGGCTTCATATCGGGGATTCGAAGCATAGAGATGTTATCAGGGCGAGTTTTGACCCGTGGACCCAATCGGCCGGGCTCGGTGTGGGTTTCCAGGAGGTTTGACCCAAAGATCCGGTCAACTACCGAATCTACGTGTGAGATAGAGTGCGAAAAGATCGGGCTGATCCCGGTGGGTAAAATAGTTCTATATCATTGTCTTTTCACGGATCCTGCGAGCCGTTCCCAAATACGATAGGTCCACTCGTGATCTGTAAGCGAACCGCTCCACAGGGATCGACAGCATGGTTTCGTACCCGATCTACCTGGGTACTACAGACTAGGCCTAAACAAATATACTAGTGAAGACCCCACAGTTAAGCTGAAGATTCTGTATCGAACCTGATAGTTGGGTCAGCCAGCCCTCTTGCCCACCCGCTCTGACAACAACTAGGATTGAGGAACCCGCTGCTGCATTCCTTCCAGTACAATGCTGCCCATAATGCCAATCAGATGAATTCTAACAGCCGGACAAATCTGCAAGGACAATGATCCTGCAGACATGGTCAAAATGGCAGTTGGTATGGCCACGAAATCGATGTTCTGGGCCGCGTGGAGCCCGAGGATCACGTAGAAGATCATGTAGAAGATCCCCAGGTCACGGCGATCCAGCCGTACTCGGAAGTAAGTGATGAAGCTTTTGCCAATGTGGGACTTGCTCAAGTAATAAACTTTTTCCATCAGGCGGTTCGAAACTATAGCCAAAACCCCTCGAATGAAATATTTATATCATCGAACCAGCCGAAGGAAGAAAAGAAAAGAAAGGAAAGGAAGAAAACGCAAAGACAAAGGAATTCACGCAGAATCCCCACTCCTCTCTGGTGCCGTTTCCTCGAATACCCACCAGGGATATTTGTTCCTTGTGGCTAGAAGTGTTGCCCAAACTCTCCACGCAAATAGTGGAGATGATGCAGTTCCCGTTCCCAATGAGACGTCGGAAGAGAACTGGGCTTAACTTTAACCCTAAAGGAAGGTCAGCCAGCCACGGGAACTATGCCTTCACGAAAAGAAAAGTTTCACAAATTGAGGAGGGTGTGGTATTTTTCATACGGAATGTACCATGATCATTCAGGTACAGTCAGGGTAAATGTTCTATAGAATCGCCTGCAATCGCGGGTGGGAATGAGGTGGAATGTAGGGCTTGGGTTCAGGTTGGAGGTTGCCTCGAGCCTTGATATTCACGATAAAATCTCTGCCGTATCTCATTCCGTAAATATCGATCAGAAAGTCTTTACCCAATGATCAGGCCGTATGTCCCCTTCCCCGGGGTCACCGTCGTCTGCCATTCTACACCCTTATATTTCTCTCTCTCGACGGCAGTCACCTCAACTTTTTCAGCTGCAGGAGGAAGCGATGCAGCGACTGCCCTCGCATTCGGTTTTGGTTCGGTCCAAGAGCCATGCATGGGGCTGATATCATATCGCACAATAAGTAATGCAGCGAGAGCCAGGATCTCTCCTGTTGCAAAATGCCGCCCAGGGCAGATGTGGGGAGATAGCCCAAAGGATAAAAACCCAGATGCCTTTAATTTCTTGTCCGTCATCTGAGCAGTCTTGGTAAAGCGCTGAGGGTCGAATGTCCCGGAATCCAACCCCCACGCCGAGCTATTTGTGTTGATGGCTGGCGCGGGAATCAGGAGGATCGAACCAGACTTCAAGAGCCAGTGATCATTTAACAGTGTATCTTGGTATATCACACGGAGTTGACCGGAGTTCGATCGCGTTCTCAGAGTCTCCTGGAATGACGAGAGGAGTGTCGGGCACTTTCCCCGGATATCTGCTAAATCAAGGGTATGGGTCCCCGTCGAGTCGATGGAGACCGCATTCTGCTGGATCTCATCCTGTATCGTCCGTAATAACTCCGGGCGAGATAATATATCAAAAAGCAGCCAGAAACAACTTGGGACCGTGTTAGAGAGGATTCCAACCCCGGTAAGGATCTCCAATCGTGCGATATCCTCCAGAGTTGCGCCAGCCTCTTGCTGAACCTTCCATCGAGCATAGACTAGATCAGATGCAGAAAGATGACCATCCGTTTGGTAGAACTGAATAAAAGCCTGGACCAGCTGTTCTCTGCCTTTCCAGGCCTTCCGGCAAGTCAACCAGGGAAGCGTATCGACGAGAAGCAGGCTTAAGTTGGATTCAAAATCCCTATACATGGTTAATTTTGGAAAACAAGGCAAGCAGAAGCGGAGATTCGAGGCGCCATAATTACCAGAAGGCTCGTCTGATAGCTTCAGATTTGTAAGGATTCAACGGGCCATAGATAGCATCCGTACTAGCAACCGTGAGTGCCTCGCTGCACCATTCATACAAATCCAATGAACGGGTAGGAATCGAAGCCACTTGATCGACGATGGGTTTGAGGACATGGATCATCTGCTCATTTAGATGGTCCAGCTTGTTTCCAAGTAGCGCAGGGCGCATCACGTCCACCGTTTTCTTAGCAAGTCCCTTACCCCCCCGTTCTTCCTCCCGGAGAAGCTGCAGACCAGGTTTTCGAATCCCCCCCGCCCTCTCGGCCATGGCTGTGAAGAGCGGATCGAATGACATGGTGCTGCGACTATGTCGCACGGACGGGAGTAAGTCTGGAGAAGTAATGATATACACTCTTTCCTTGAGGATATTCATGGTGAAAATGGGCAAGGCGTATTTACGACTAAGATATAAATATTTAGCATCCTACGGCTTTTTCGCAAGGGTGCCTCTCAATACCTTTCTGCGGCAAAGTATCCAATTCCATGGACGAGAAAGGAAATCAGATGGCCAACCAGTGGGATTGTGCTTGCAACAAGAGGCGGCTCGCGGGGATCCAGTTTCACGCGGAGAGTGAACAGGAGAAGATACCCCAGAAGGGCGACTGCGCTCAATCCCAGAATCGTGGTGAGGTCCGGCATGGTCGTTGGATTCTAATCGAGAGGCAGGATGTCGGATTACTATCGCCAGGGACGGGAGCGCCTTCTATGATCTACCATCGATTTTTAAATACATAGTTCCGCCAGGAATGATCAGTACCAAGTGACATTTGACAGTAATTTCCGTGATGCGTTACGTACGACCTATGATGGTGGGGTTTAAATTTAATTTAATTTTAGTTTTTTAGCTCTGAAACTATTGAACTCCCAAGCGGTAATTTCTCTGTTGATTGCCACGCTGAGTGGAGCCCCCTTGCTGGTATGGATTTGTGCCGCTAGTATTTTATGTATCAAATGTAAACAACGTCAAGGCGTTTACGATCTTCAGCCCACGCCAGCATTAGTTTCTCTCTCGCGAGTGACCTTCCAATGGGCTCACTACTAGCACGCGGTGACAAACGAGCCGGTGCTACTCCGGCAAACCCGAGACTGGAGACACCATATATCTTTCGAAAAGCCCCCCCACTAAAAGTCGAGGCTGGTGGTTACCTTCCGTTTCCACACGTTGGGATACTTCAAAGCGCCTCCGGTAGAGCATTGCAAAGAAAAACGCAATGGATGAATTTACAAGTTCCGCAGGGAGCCTTTGCTTAATCTCGCTTGTGGTGGGCGTTGTCATCCAGAGTGTCTACCGGCTTTTTTGCCATCCTCTTCGCAAGTTTCCAGGCCCGAAACTAGCGGCCATTTCTCACCTGTACGAGTTCTACTACGATGTGATTTGCAACGGTTCTTATCTCTGCAAGATTGAACAGTTGCATCAGAAATATGGTAAAAAGCCAGGTCACACCCAGCGGCGTACAGGGTCTGTGTTTTGCTGACAACCCTAAAGGGCCAGTCGTACGAATCAACCCGCGTGAACTTCACGTCAATGATCCTTATTACTATGAACAGATTTATGCGGGCAGCTCGCGGGTCCGAGAAAAGGATCCCAGGTTCATTGGCGTGTTTACTACACCGTTGCCGATGGTGGCCACTGTTGGTCATGAACACCATCGGCTTCGCCGCAGCCTCTTGAGCAGCTACTTTTCAAGACGAACCTTGAAGAAGGCCGAATTGGTTATCGAACAAAAGGTAGACCGCGTGCTTAGCCGCTTCCGCTCTGCCTTTGAATCGCAGGCAGTCTTGCCTCTACACCGTGTTTTTGCGGCTCTTGCAGCAGATATAGTCTCAGAGTACTGCTACGGGGTGAGCCAAGGATACCTGGAGCAGAGAGTCTTCCAAAATCAGATGATCGATGCGGTCAATTATGTCATGTCCATGTGTCATATCAACAAGTTTTTCCCTATCATGCCCAAGATCCTCCGCTGCGTGCCGATTGGACTTATGGAGAAGTTGGGACTTCAGATGGCCGATGTCATCGCAGTGAGGAACCTGATTCGTCGGCAGGCGGCGAAATCCCTTGACAAGGAACGGCTGTCGCATGACAATGACATGCTCTCCAAAAATGTGTTTGATGCTCTAGCTGTCGCTGAGGTCCCACCACAGGAGAAGACGCTGCGTCGACTTGAAGAAGAAGGTGCGGCTCTCTTCGGTGCTGGCATTGAGACCACCGCAAGAGCCTTGACAGTCGCCATGTTTCATTTGATCAGTGATGAGACTATGAGATGTAAGCTACGCGACGAGCTCACACAAGTCATGCCGACTCCAACCAGTCGACCCACCTGGGCTGAGCTTGAACAATTACCGTATTTGGTATGATTGTCCTATTAGAATGTTACTATTGCCCAATACTAACGGAGCACTGCTAGACTGGAGTGGTTAACGAGTCCCTGCGGCTATCACATGGGCTGGTGGCTCGGTCTCCTCGCGTTGCACCTCTGGAATCATTAGCGTACGGTGAATACGTGATCCCACCCGGGGTAGGTAGACTGCCCAACGCTGTAACGCAGGGAGTCAATTGCTAACGTCCCCCGTGTATCAGACACCCGTGAGTCAGTCGGCCTACTTTGTCCATATGAATCCCCAGGTTTTCCCTGAACCGGAATCATTTAACCCTGAGCGATGGGTCAAAGCCGCTGAAAATGGACAATATCTGAACAGATTCTTGGTTTCATTCTCCAAGGGAAGCAGGCAATGTCTGGGATTAAAGTACGTTGCTTCCTTGACTTTCCGTTGGCCTCATTTCTAGACTAACAGTAGTTAGTTTGGCCTATGCCGAACTCTACTTGACACTAGCGAGAATAGTCCGTCTCGTTGATATGAAGCTGGTGGATACCACCATCAGCAATATCCAGGTTGGACGGGACCTCGGTCATCCAGCCCCGAAGTCTGGCAGCTTCCAAGTTAAGGCTAAAATCATGGGGATTATCGGTGATTCTTAGGAAAACCGAGCCACGTAATCAGCCGGACTGATTCTGCATATGAGCCTTTGCAGGATAGAGTCGATACCGGAATTGCTACGGTACCACTAATAGAGGGCAATAGCCGCCTTCGAAAAGTGCATATCGACAAGAGATCTGAGAAGGTCCCACGCTATCGGCTTGTTCAAAGGTCAGAGATATCCCTAACAGATATATATGGTATTAGAGCAAGAGGTATAGAACTCCCAGCGAGATTAACTGAAGCTGAAACATGAGCTTTACTTCAGTACCACGAAACGCAAACTCCCCTTGCGTTGCATGAGTCTAGAATGTAGTCAGATTACCAATGATATTTTGGGATTGGAGTTTTGACGCCGGCGCTGCCTATGAATGCCTCCAGTCGATGCCTCTCGACTCGGTACACGCCGCAGCCTATATTGTTGAGCTGAAGAAATACATGCCATGGCAGTACCCTGTGGACGCCCTCAAGGACCCTCCTCCTAGCTATCTCTCTCATGCTCTGAATTCTTGGAAGACTAGATTAAATCTACAAGGCAGTTATCAACAATGAACTATTTTGCCTTCGACCTGGCCACATTCAACCTTCTGAAGATGCCGCAGGATGGTAAACTTGCTTTCAACCCCTGCTCATTTAATATCCTCCGTTTCAGTATTGACTTCCCTCATATTTCCGTGCCCACCGACGGGCTCCAGTTGCCGAAGATCTACAACCCTTAGTGTTACCCTTGCTGACTAGGTCGCGATTTGGGAAACGAGCTATATCCAGTCAATACCGACCCCAGAATCGCACAATTTCCCCGATGCCTGGGATATCCAGTTGTCCGGATCACGATTATCCCTGCATTCCCGTTGAAGAGCACTACTTCGGATTAATTCAACTCCCGTACTCGACGGAGCGTTCCACATTTCATCGCTATCCGGCATGCAAAAGTCCAGGTCTGCCAGAGTTAGAAGCTCACTTGGCTTGTCGCTACCATCCCTCTCGGTCGACGCGCTCCGAGTACAGAGCCGACAAATCTTATATAACGCCAATCCAAAACGCTTGATCTCCTCCACGTTCACCCATATGAGCGCTATCGGGGCAGAGGAGTGGTGCTGAGCAAGCATATTCGGATAGTAGAACAAACCAAGCCGGCGACAGGTTTCCACGAGTGATGTGAGGAGTTCATATGTAGAATCCTTCAGTTGAAAACGCATGTTCAAATTAAGAGAGGTCTCTTGTTTGGCCACAAGTAGAGCGAAGATAAGCTGTAGAAGGATACTCTGGTAGGTCGCCATGGGCCAGGGGGTGTCATGGTTGCGGCCGTTCGTCGAATCCGAGATATACCATTGACTCTGTTGGACAGACAACGTCAGCAGCAAGTTGGCTTCTATTATACGGATATCGGTTCACACCCTTTGAGCTTGAATTGCAGAAAGCAAATTACGATGAAAAGTCATCGCCGTGTCCCGTGCCGCTTGGTCGCCTTTGATCCACAACCCAATCATTAACATTGATTGGAGAAGTATACACGGCTCTTGAGAGAGCTCGAATGTTCCCCAATGTAGAAACGGCCAAGTGGGATGAAAGTCGTGAAAGTAGATATCAATGAAGTCCTGAGCGATCCACCGGGATTCGCCCGGCACCGAACGCACTACTTCCGGGTCCAAACGCGTTTGAGTCTCTTGGGATTTGCTGTCGCCACGACCCGCCTCCTGAGGACGTGGACAGGGAGCTCCTCGCTGCTGACATCGATTACATGGGTATCCCCCGTCACACCGTTCCTTTCGAGCATGGCAGGCTCCGCAAGCCTGCCGCGCTCGAGACTGCGGAGGCTCTCTCTCTGGATGGTAGTTCCGGATATGGCGACGTAGGAGATCGCTGAATGATAGTTAGTTTTCACGATAACTCACACAAGGCCCATCATGGTACATTCTTTCTGGCAAGGGTGCTGTCGCAGTGCGGACAGGAGAAGCGCTCCCGTTGACGATGATTGACGATGTGCCGGTTTAAGTGTTCTTTCCGTTGATAACTCATACTACATCCTGGGTGCTCGCATTGGAAGGAGGTTTGAGCAGAGCTAACCTCTGAGCGTGGCGGCATTGTAGGATACGTACGTCGTGGCGTCTTTCGCGATATACGGGAGAAGATGTGAGGGTCTCACTGAGAGGGATGCCGAGTGGCAAGTTCCCTCGCCAGCTTTTCTATCTGGTTTACTAAGCCCATGGGCCAGTCGGCATCCCGCTCGGTCACTCCCACTCGGGACAACTATATAGGAGGTATAAGCAACTGTTCTGTTTATCCGTTCATATTTTCGAATTCTAATCAAATCTTTTAGCTGTATCCGTCTCGTTCGCTTGATCTTCTGAATCCTGCGTGATTCGGTTTCGGTAAGAGGCCTACAGCTATGGGTTCTCTCCGTCACTCCGAAATGGCAGACATAGTATACGTCAACGAGCATGAACTTACTCGAAGCTACACAGCAGATGCACAAGGCTGCACTGCTCAAACACTTGAACCCGCTATCTCCAAGCTGCCAAGTTTGGAAAATTCTCCAGATTATGAGATCTTCTGGAAAGCTGAGGACCCCGAAAACCCCCGTCTCTGGCCGCTATGGTACAAAAGTGTCACTGTTGTGACGATGAGCCTTGGTGCGACAGTGGTCAGTCTTTCCAGCACTCTGTACACTTCAGGAATCCCGGGTCTGGAGGATGAATTCCACATATCGAAACTTACCGGTCTCTTCGGTGTCTTTACCTACCTTCTTGGCATGGGGGTGGGAACCATTGTATTCGCCCCACTGAGCGAAGTTGTCGGTCGAAGACCAGTTTACATAGTCTCTATGGCCATCTTTCTCTTGCTCATCCTTCCGAGCGCTTTGGCTCGGAATATAGAAGCGATCTTAATCAGCAGGTTCTTCGGAGGCCTCTTCGGCAGCGCGATCATGGGCAACTCTCCTGCCTCGGTGAATGATATTGTCTCCAATAAACATCGCGCTCTGGCGTTCGGTATCTGGTCGATTGGACCTACAAACGGCCCTGTCTATGGCCCGATAATTGGCGGTTTTGTGTTCCAGTATCTGGGCTGGAGGTGGACGAACTGGATTGTCCTGATCTTTGGTGGTGCAATTCTCGTCCTGATGTGCTTTATCAAGGAAACATACGCTCCGGTGATCCTCCAAAAGCGAGCAGCAAAACTTCGGAAAGAAACAGGGGATCCCAAGTGGTGGACGCGATACGATGGTGGAGAAGATCTGTCAAAGCGACTCAAAACCGGTCTCAGCCGGCCGTTCGTCATGCTTGTGACCGAGCCAATCTGGTAAGCATCCTGTCCTGAACCCCCTTTGCCTGTACCTACAAGCTTGACCTGATGTTAACCCATGACAGCATATTCTGGGACAGCTACATCGCGATCGTCTACGGCGTTCTTTATCTGTGCTTCGTTGCATACCCAATCGCCTTTCAGACAGAGCGTGGCTGGTCACCTGGAATTGGGGGCCTCTCCTTCATTGGCATGGGGTCCGGCGTCCTGATCACCATCGCATGCGAACCTCTCTTCCGCAAAGCGATTGATCGTCATCGCAAGGACCCTGTAACTGGTGAGGTATCTCCAGAGGCGATTGTCAGCGTGATTATTCTGGGTGCAATTCTCCTCGCTGTTGGGCAGCTGTGGTTCGCCTGGACTTGCACACCGAATGTACATTGGATCGTGCCCATTCTGTCCGGGGTTCCGTTTGGTGCTGGCAATGCATGTGTGTTTATCTATGCCACTACCTACGTCGCCCGCTCGTACGGCATCTACACTGCCTCTGCGATGGCGGGGAATATGTTCTTCCGCAGCCTGCTGGGCGCTTGTCTGCCGCTTGCAGGACCGTCGATGTATAGCACACTGGGGCTTAACTGGGCCAGTACTTTGCTGGGTCTTGTGGAGGCGGCGTGTGTCTCCATTCCAGTGGTTTTTTATTTCTACGGACATAGGATTCGTAAGGCAAGTCCTATGATTCAGGAGATGGAGAGGATGCAGGCGACGACAGGAAATACCTGAAGATTCTGGAGACTTTTAGATCGTTCTGTAATACTATTTGTGTTTGATTAGCGATAATATGTGAAAATGATACATTAATACATGCGACCTATGACTAAACCTTACCGATCTTTATGATCAGGTATAGTCATTCTAAGGATCTATGGGTCTTATCATACATATTTGGACCATCTGTAGATACTACTTGATTGGTTGGTTCAAGCTACTAGTACCAGCGTTACTGCTTGGCAGGCCTTGCATTCTATTCTATGTCCACTAATTCTTGGCTTCCGAGACAAGTTCTAGCTATGGGTAGAAAGCTTCTTTTGCTAATGAGATCGAGGAAGGGACGGCAATTCGTAGCCTCTCTATGTAGGGCTATCATGTATGATTCGGCAAGCATCCTAAGTTGTCGAGCCAATGTCAGTAATCCTACATTGACCGGCGCATTCCACCTGGATAATGTAAGAACAAACTTTTAGTCAACAAGCTTTGTTAAGTTATTAGTAACGCGGTAATTGAGTTGGATTGCCAAAGGGTATGTCTCTGTGTGGGGCGTTTCTTGTGGGCTACGGGCCGACTCCTCCAGCGTATTTAGATCCGGGGCTGAGATCCGAGGAGGGATACCGAAAGGCGGGATACCGAGAGGAGGGATGCCGGTTGTATAATTTTAGGGCTGACTTATCGGTCAAGGTTTACATCATCTGGATTTCTAATGTCCTGCAATGGGTCTCTCTCACTAAACTACTGTACGCGTTTGAGGTATAAGTACCGGGCACCGTCCCTGTAGCTCCTCAGCATTCTTCATTCATATCCACAAATAACATCGTTCTGCATTGCGCAAGTTTCAACAAGTGACTCTGACAAGTATCCGATTCTCAATTTTTCTTTCTCGGCTCTTTCAACGCAATGGCTCCCACTCTTAACGTCACCCACATTGGCACTGCCACTGCCATCCTCGAGATCAACGGCGTCAAATTCCTGACGGACCCTTTCTTTTCCCCAGCCGGCACCTTCTGGGACAGAGAGATCATAGTCCTGAAAGTGACCGAAGACCCTGCTCTCCGTCTGGACCAGCTCCCCGTGATTGACGCCGTGCTCCTCAGCCACGAAGACCACCCCGACAACCTGGATGAGCTCGGCCGCCAACTCCTGGACGGACGCCGCGTTTTCACCACCGTCGACGGGGCCAAGAACCTCGCGCCCCGGCCCGCCGTGCACGGCATGAAGCCCTGGGAGGAGATTGAGAGCGTGATCGGCGGCAAGAAATTCAAGATAATCGCGACCCCAACCCAGCACGTTCCCGGCGACGAATGCACCGGCTTCATCATAACGGGAGAAGACTTCGGACATCACGCCGACGGTCTCCCCAACGCCATCTACTTCACGGGCGACACTGTCTACATCGAAGAGCTGGAGTCTATCGCAGACCGGTACCATGTCTGTGCTGCCGTCATGAACCTGGGTAATGCTCACGTTCCTAACCTGGCCGATCTTAATGGTCCCAAGATGCAGATCACCATGGGTGGCAAGGATGGAGCTAAGCTATTCCGCGCCCTCAAGGCCGACGTCCTCGTTCCTATGCATTACGAATCTTGGGGTCATTTCACTCAGTTCGGGGCTGAGTTGCGCCAGGTCTTTGAGGATGAGGGTATCAGTGATAAGATCTGCTGGATGAAGGGAGGCGAGGAGGTTTCGGCTCTCTAGCGTTTGTTGAGGTAGCGTGGGTTTGTTTTGTGTAGACTTTCTTTCTTGGGTTTTGATATGTATTAGACAGCAAAGACTTGCTATGTTACGTCCATGGTTTTTTATATGTTCCAGCATTAGTGTTGGGCTGCCGGTAATCATGCTGGCAACTTGCTAGTGATATGCAAAATTTCATTCCGTTCACCCTATATATATTCTAGAGCACATCCTTCGAACATAACGAATGGGCTGCTTTCTATAACATGTTATTATCTCCTAGAATATCACATGGTGCATGTACGTATTTCTTTCGAAATTGATTATATTCATCATTACGATATTGGAGTGTATACACAATTGGGAGAGAGATAATCTTCATTGCTAGACAACCAAGTCCGTGGACAATTGAACAAGGCTTTGGGCATTATGAAGCTAGTGCGAATCTACCATTATGAATAGGTGGTTAGCACATCTCCCGCCTCAGCAGATGTAAGTTGTTCACAAAGAGGATGACATCATCCGTTCTTTTATTGCTCTCCTTCGCTTGATATATACGCTGTTATTATAGAGCTCTCGAAGTATCAAATGGTAAAAAGAGACAGCCAGACCAATCCTCATCGAGACATTTACATCGACCAGAGCAGGTAAAATTCAGATCAGAAATGGTTCATTCTGCCCTCATAATCATAAAGTCTATATCTATCATGGCACATCTATGTACAAATAATCGGCATACGACTAACCCATCACAGGAACCCACGCAGATGCTCTCCCAGAGCCATAATAGCCATGGCCTGTCCATACGGCATAGACGTGAGGGGGATATCCTTATAGAACTGCAGGTTGTCTCCCATTCCCGTGCCGAAACTCGTGTTCTGCAACTCGCCGTCGGCATCCACTGCCCCGACCACCGCCGCGATCGCCTTTTCGGCTACGGGCTTATATTGCGCAGAGATATACCGCTTGCGCACCGCCTTCAGGATACCATATGCAAACCCGGCGGTGGCAGACGACTCGACATAGGAGTCGGAGTGGTCAAGGAGAGTGTGCCAAGCGCCGGACTCGTTTTGGAGACGTTGGAGCGCCTCGCATTGTGCTTCGAGCGTGTCGATGAGGTGTACCCGGATGGGGTCTGTGGGCTCCAGCTCGAGCAGTTCAATGAATTCTGGGATGACGATGGTAATCCAGCTGTTACCGCGGGCCCATCGCGCCTGCGCGAAGTTGTGGCCGCCGTCTTCGAAGGTCCATCCGTGGTAGAATAGTCCGGTCTTGGTGTCGAATAGGTATTTGATGTGGAGGAGGAATTGCCGCTTGGATTCGGCGATGTACTCTGGGCGGTTTAGGAGCTTTCCGATCTTTGCGAGAGGCATGACGGTCATCATTAAGGTGTCGTCCCAGAGCTGCTGGTAGTTGTCTGTGAGATAGGTGGCGTGCTGCAGCCCGCCGTAGCGCGTCCGAGGCAGGTCGTGCATGGCCCATTCGGCCCAGGCGTCTAGCCAGGGAAGATAGGTGATGTTGCCGGTCTTTTCATAGACGTAGGCCAGTGTCAGGAACACGGCCATGGTGTTGATATTCTTGGTGGTGCCGCCCTCGGCGAAGCGGGCGGCAAACCAGTCTTCAATAATTTTCAACAATTCAGGATCGCCCGTCATTTCGTAGTACTTCCAGATACCGTACAAACCAATGCCGTGCGTCCATTCCCAGCCGTGCCAGGACTTGGTATCGATGATGCGACCGTCTGCCAACGGCATGAGAAATCGGCCGGTTTCATCTTTAATGTTAACGAGATTATGGATGAGGCGGTTGACGGTCTCGCGAACCTGCGGAGGGGCAGTATTGGACGACATCATGAAGCACAGAGACCCTTGGGATTGCGGCAAAGAAGGAATGTGAAATTAGTGTCGAGGAAAGCAGGCCAGAGAGTGAACGGACCAGCGCCCTAATAACACTCACCGAAGCGGATCCACAAGTTGATACGCGGAGAAACTGCCACCACTTTGTCCGTGGGATGCTTTTAGCTTCGGGTCAACGCCCACCGAGGAGGCGCCCTTAACTGCGCCGGTTTCCTTGGCTCTCGTCGCCTATTTGACGAGCACATGGCATGGATCCCAAGCTTCGCGGTGGGCCGACGGCACTTGCCCGATTCCTTCGCTTGGAGCTCGGGTTATTCCTCTCCGCAAAACCTTTTCCCCAGACAAATTGACCCACGGGGTGGCCAAAATGCAGAACTGGGGAAAGATACGCCATGACTCGTTGGCCTTGGGTTAGACCGCCCGTATACTCATCCTCGTGCCGCGGAGTGACACCGTTAATTTAAAAAATAAATAATCATGAGAGATTCTGGCCGCCATGGAGAGTGCTGACAATAAAAGGTCCCAGCAACCCCCCCGCCGGGCATTTTCTGGCCTTCCTGACCCTGTCTGCTTTCCATCCTGTTAGTTGATCTCATCAAATACTGCAGGTGGTGGCTCACGTCTTCCTTCTCTTCTTGTTGCATATTCCACCATGACAGAGGCAAGACCCCCATCCTCTGGTGACCCCCAGGTCCACGAGGCCACCCCTCCCACCACTGCAATGAACGACATGAAGAAAGACATCTCTCATGTCGAGCGGGTGCTTTCCCCCAGTGACAAAGATGCGGTGGACTATTCCCGTGTCGACAATGAGCTCCAGGAGTATGCAAACCGCGGCCGGGTAGAAATCGATGAAGCCACCAATCGAATGCTGCGGCGCAAGATCGATCGCCGCGTGCTGGTGATCATGATTCTAACGTATTTCTTACAAGCCCTGGATAAAGGCACAATGTCCTTCGCATCCATTATGGGTATTCGCGAGGATAACAACCTACACGGCCAACAGGTATGTATATCTGGACCGTGCATGAGAGAGTGGGCACGAGACACCAATGCTGATATATCTTCCCTTGGCAGTACTCCTGGTTGACAACCTGTATCTACATCGCCGTCCTCATCGTAGAGTATCCAACGAACTGGATTCTCCAACGAGTCCCCATCGCCAAATACCTTGGGATCAATATCATCCTTTGGGGTTCCATTTTGGCACTCCACGCGGCTTGCCACAACTTTGTCGGTTTAGTCGTCGTGCGTACCCTCTTGGGTATCTTCGAAGCTGTCTGTCAGCCGTCATTTGTCATCCTGTCGGGAATGTGGTATAAGCGAGAGGAACAGGCTGCCACGGTCACATACTGGTGGGTAATCCTAAACCATGAACACCGCTCCCCCAGGGAAGCAGCTGGGTTGCCCGGTTCGATTCTAACCTTCGTCTAGGTACATGATGAACGGAGGTCAGCAAATTGTCGGTGGTCTGCTCGCGTACTGTTTTAGCTTGATCGGCAAAGACAAGGCCATCCACTCGTGGCAGGCGATTTTCATCGCATACGGGTGCCTTTCAGTCCTCTGGGGCTTGTTTGTCCTCTACTGGATGCCCGATTCACCTATGCGAGCCAAGTGCTTCACTGAAGAAGAAAAGCATTTGATGATCGAGCGTGTCCGTGCCAACCAGACCGGTATGCAAAACAAGCAGTTCCGTAGTTACCAGATGTGGGAAGCCTTCCGGGATCCGCAAATGTGGTGTTACTGTGCCATCCAGGTCTTCACTACACTTCCCACTAGCGGCCTGGGCTCCTTTGCAAACATTATTATCACAGGCTTCAACTTCACCGAACTGCAGACTCAGCTGTTAGCTATGGTGTTGGGTTTCTACATCATTGTCGTTCTGATGTCGTCCGCATGGTTAGTGAAGAAGACTAACCAGAACCTGCTTATCATGCTGGGCTTTATCATCCCGTATGTTCCATTACCCTGTCCACCTCCCTCGTGAGAGTGTCACTAACATCCGCCAGATCCTTTGTCGGAACCATCGTCCTGATGACAGTCGAAAATAAGAACTTGGCCACAAAGGCCGGCCTCCTCATCAGCTACTACATCACTCTCTCTTTCTGGTCCGCCCAGGGTCTCTGTCTCTCCATGGTCTCGCGGAATATCGCAGGAGCAACCAAAAAGTCCACCGTAGTCGCAGCCACCTTCGTCTCGTGGGCTGTTGGCAATGCCATCGGTAAGCACCTATTTACCCACTATAGAAGCCCTGGACAAAACTAACACTCGAATCATCAGGCCCGCAGGTTTTCCTGGCGAGAGACGCGCCCCGCTACTTTATTGCCTTCGGTGTCCATCTAGGATGTTACTCCGCCATGACCTTGGCTGTGATCTTCCTTCGCTTCTACCTAATGGCGCAGAACAAGAAGAAGGAGCGCATGTTGCAGGAGGCTGGAGTTAACCCTGACACTACTGACAACCTTGACCACGCTTTTGAGGACCGGACGGACCAGGAGAATCTTCACTTCAGATATATCTATTAGGTCCTGGTCTTGGTTGTTCTGACACTGGCTGTTATTGGGTGTTTGTATGTTTGATGTATGGAATGAATGAATATACCCTTTTCTCTTGTAATTTAGTCTCGAGTTCCTGTCGTCATTGAGGCGGCCTTTGCAGATCTTCTGCAGGTCTCCTGCAAGGGGTTCCTTGGTTGCGTAAAATTGATTGACCGATCCTTATAAGGTTAATCTAGCATGTTTATCATCAGGTGTGGGGGCGTACCTCAAGGTTAAGTTGCCAATATAAGGCGCTAAGGTCTGTACGTAATTTACATAGCACAGTGGGTGTGATAGACCTGTAGAAAGTGGTACTTGCGATTGAGTTCAACATCCGATTGTACAATATGCGATGTATATGGCGAACAAAGTTCAAGAATGGAAGACAGGAAATAAATAGACAAAGGCTGTTATCAAACCCGAGAGATATAGTGTTATAGAAAGGAAATAGCGCTGCTAAGGCCGTCTCTTGTCTTCTTTTTTATGACATCTTTGGCGTGGATGCTGGATTGATGGCCAAGGCAGATATCTGCGAATACCTTCCTCAATCTCTACCAAAAGTACCGGCGTTTCTTTTCTTTCTTTTTCGACAGTTCATCTTTCAACTCCTTGATTTGTTTCTCCAGTGTCTTGCGTTGATCTTCAACAATCGATCGTTTATGCCGTGACGACATAAGCTTTTTCCTGGTTTCCTCCAGCGTTTTCTGCGCCTCGTCACGCTCGCTCTCAGCGTTTCGGGCATTTTTCTGTGCATCAGCGGCCCGCCGCTTAGCTTTTTCAAGGGCCTCCTCCAGCTGAGTCTTCTCTTTTTGCACCTTCAGATTCGAGGCTTTTGTGTGCTTCTGAAGCAAGTTATCCTTCTTCGTGAGCATTGCCGCCTGAAATTCTGCTTTTTTGTTCAGGGTCTGGACTTGATTTTGCATCTCGCTGAGCTGGTTTTGCAGCGATTCGTGATGGCGTGCAACATCCTTCTCTTGAGCCGAACGGCTCTGCGACTCTTCCAGAGCTATGCGTAATGCATCTCGCTCCGCATTAGAAGCTTTCAATTCTCGTTCTAGATGGTCGATACGGGCCTGCCAGCTACTTATTTGCCTAGCATCGTTACGGTCCTTTTGGAGCAACAGGTTTAGGCGATTCATGTCACGGTTTAGGGAGCTCCCGATGAGTTGGACCCGGTCTTCAAGATCATCCTCGACCCATTCGGTGTCCTCATAGACATGTGGTCCATGAGCACGTTCGCTCCGTTTCTTCCTGCCGAATTCCGCTTCAAAACGGTCCTTGTGGACGGCCATGAGCGACGACGGAAGGAGGGCCGTTGCAAATGACTGGGGGGAGTCGGGAGGGGTATCTGGAGACATCATATGCGGTACAGACTCTGCGGTCGGATAATCTGGTCTGCTCTTTGTCCGATTAGATCTCGCATTTCGTCCAAAAGTCGTTCACTAGATGTACCTAGCTATGTATTCAACTCGTGCGACTGTACTTTTAACTCGTGTCGCATTGGCGCTATATGGAAGCGCTAAAAGTGAAAGTCAAAGTTACTTGTCGAGTACCACGCGGGAAAAGAATGACACAGAGACTTTTTAAGGTGATACAAAACGAGGGTGCGCATTGCTGATGGTGGGTGATACATCGCCAGCTGGCGATGTAGATGTAAAACTGTTATTCGTCACTTGGCATCCACTCCCGTCGCGCCACGGAAACTGGTGTGGTCGGTTCTTCCTGACGGCCACGATGGTGTATGGGGGCACCTGGGACTTCAGTTCATGTTTCATTTTCCCAGCCATGCCCAATGACAAATTTCCAATTGTCAGTCGCGTCCATAAAACCACACCGCACATTCAACCGACGGAATCGTCCAGGGCTGACACCACGTCAAGCCCGTCCCAAGAACAGTGCATTCCCGAACAACACAAGAATGTCATCACAATTCTATCATCGTTGCCTAATACAATGCTTTAGTGAGAAGTCCACAGAGGGTCATCACAGGTGCCCAAAGCTGCTGTTCATGGGCACAAAACATGTTGGCTTGGATCTATAAGGTGATAAAACTCCGAAAGTCTTTCTTCTAACACCATATGTTTCCAAGTTTAAGGAGTCGCACAAGTGATGCTTGCGACAACTTGGGCCCGACTGCGGCAGTCTCCCTAGCAGACCTGTGCCTCAGTCCTGTTGTTCACGTAGTGTCGAGCCCATATAGCGCTCATGGGCATGTAACCGTGGCCTTCTTGTCACTCAAGCATGTCACTGGCCATTGGCTCCGTTCTGTCATCCCATACATTCTGGTCAATGATAAGATATTTTGACTTCAGCAAGGACATCTAAGGCCTCGCGAGTAGACATGATCGCAACTCACGTGTCGAATGCAAACCAGAAATAATAAGATGGAACCGACAAAAGACGCATTGCACTCTATTGTTCCTAGCTCAAAGCAGATATGCCATGTATGGACACCATGAAGTCCAAAAAGGTCCACAGAAAAGGTTATACATAATGGTGGATAATGCATTGTTATCAAGCGTGCGCTACCCGAGAGGGTCGCCACAGCATTGCTGTCAGGGCCACCCCCTCCACCAATGGCACTTCATTGACTACCTGAAACCCAAGGGATTGGTAGAGAGAGGTCCCTTTGGCACTAGCCTCGAGGCCAACAGGGGTTCCGTCCCACGTGGCTTGTTCGAGGCCCCATTCAACGAGCCTACGACCGATCCCCTGTCGTTGGTACGCCGGGTGAACGGCCAGTGTGGACAGGAACCAAAGCTCTGGGAAGTCGTCGTACGGAAAACATTCAATGGTCAAAGTATTGTACCTAGCCAAACGAGATACATCTACGCTTCGGTCGGGGTACAAACGAGTTACGAAATGTTCGCTCACATTTCCAACCAGTGCCTGTACGCCTACAGTTCTTAGTAAAGATATATTCCATGGTTTATTTGATCTAATTAAAGGAGTCGAGGCGTGGTTACTCACGAGCCCACCAGCCACCATTCGAGGTCTCCTTCCACTGTTTGGTGGACTCTTCCGCTTTCTCCCCGATACGCTCCCAGACACAATAGCCAAGAATAGGCCATGAGGCTGCATCCACGGAACGTGTTTGAGAATTAGCTACCGCAACGATGACTACCCACCCGGGCGATGTCAACTTTGCCCGGAGTCGTCGCAAGAAACTCTGACGATAGTCCGAGTAGAATTCCCTACGCCGAGGGCAAAGAAAGGCAAACAGCTCGTCCTCCAGCATGGACTGTGCGGCCACTTCCGCGATGGATGGAAGGTCTTGCGACACTGCCGGTCGCAAATGGACCTCGGTGAGAGTCATGACGTGAAAACTTAATTCATACAATGTATGTGGAAGTGGAAGTGGAAGTTCCAGTGTGGAGTGTGGAGTTGATACCGAGTGTTTCTGCTTGGGATTGGAAGTCTACTAGTATGCCCAAAAATGAACTAGTCCTAGGCACGGGCCTAGACTTATACGGGTAGATTCGCTGTACCTCGTATTTTACACGCATATCAGAGGCTCCGAACGGTAACGGAGTAAGGAGTCAACATGGGCCAATCCGTCTGCAAAGGGGCCATACTCGTTTTGGTAAAGTTCAACCTGGTCGCCACCGCATCACATGATCGAGTTCAACGGATGGAAGGACCCCGAAAGGCAACGAATGAACCCCGATGATTAAGAATGAGTTCCAGTCTGAGCGAAGTTAGTAAGACAATTTGAAAGTCAAACTCAGTCCTCCCGACATGCAGATGCTTAGAATCATTGTTGTAGAGAAAGATCCTTAAGCCACCGTGACAAGACCGATCAATCAGTCATTGCATGGTAGTTACCTACATATGTGCTTTATCGGACGAGAGGACAAAGGGTCAAAGACTGCTCAGATTTCAGGCTCCGAATCTCCGAGTGGCCGGGGAAATCATGTGGCACTAAACCTTAGCTGTACGCTAGCCCAATTTTAGTGTTAGTGTCGTGCATATTTCCCCCATTACTTGCCGAAACCCCATCCGTTCACTTCCATTCTATCCATTCCGCTCCCTCACTCTGGTACTCACTCTCTCTCTCTTCTCTGCAACCACCAGTCTCGTGGGGACTTCCGACAGGACACCTCCTCCACCAAGATCTCCACTGTTTCAGACCACCCCATCCTCCCATCATTCAGGTCCATTCCCTTTATGTTTCGTATTCATTCTTCTCCTACGTTCTTTTAGGCTTGCCTAGTGTGTATATATATGCGAATTTCTTTTCCTCCGTGGCTTCTTCCCTCTAAATACCTTGTGAACCAACGAAAATCTTCCCCTGGATATAGTTGCGCCGGATCGCCTATACCAGTCCTACCACTCGCCTGTGTCTATCGCCGCCGTATATATTTTACCACGAGACAAAGCCCGTCTCGATTCACGAAGCGTTTCCAAGATCATACTGGATCTCATTGATACGGATCGCAAAGTCGGGCATGACTGAATATGGCGTCAAGTGTTGTCGCCCACTACCGCTCGAAAGATAAAGAAAATCGGTTTGACGTTGAACTCCTTTGATCGCGAAAGGGTCGCGCAACCCGGCGTCATGGGAGACTCGCTATCGCAGGTGCCCGAGGGCCTCGTTGGTGGCTATCAAGGGGGCCTGGCGGTGAAAATTCTGATGGTTGTCTTTAGCTCAATCGCTCTGTATAACGCCATCGAGCTCATCATTTTAATTTTCCTCGTCTTCAATCATTATGCAGGGCTGTACTTCTGGGCGATGCTATTGTCTAATGTGCTCGGTGTCATCCCACATGCCATCGGCTTTTTGCTGGAATTTTTTGCGAAAGGACCACTTTGGCTCGCAGTCACCCTTGCCACGATCGGTTTCTACTTCATGGTTCCCGGCCAATCGGTCGTCCTCTATTCCCGGCTTCACTTGGTCGTGCAGAATCTCAAGGTTCTTCGCCAAGTTCGGTACATGATCATCTTCAACACCATCGTTTTGCTGATTCCAACGACCGTCCTCACCTACTCCACTATCTATGTGCGCACCGAACCCATAATCCGCGGCTATAACGTGATGGAACGGATGCAATTGGCTTGGTTTTGTGCGCAAGAGATCCTGATCTCTGGCATATATATCTGGGAGACGATCAACCTTCTGCGGTTGCGCCCGGATAAAGACCCCGGCCGGAGGAAGATCATGTATGAGCTGATTACGATCAACGTCATCATCGTACTCCTAGATGTGGCGCTTCTGGTGTTGGAATATGTCGGGTTTTACGCTCTTCAGACCACACTTAAAGCTGCAGTCTACAGTGTCAAGCTGAAGTTGGAATTCGCCGTGTTGCGAAAACTCGTCTTGCTCGTCAATACTCGCCCCTCCGACACAAGCTCCACCGACCACGAGGAATATCCTAATTTCGTGAATCCGGAGCAACTGACGGGTGATATCACGCATGCGGCACCCATGCGCGCCCGGACTCGCTCTCGGTATCCATGGAGCGCCATCTCAATGGACAGCCTGGACCGGTCGGAACGCCGAGGATATTCTTCCGAGACTACACGCCCGCCCTAACCCTACCACCATGCTACTCCCCCATCATATATATTCACTCTTTGCCTGCCGATCACAGACAATATCCAGCGCGCTGAAAAGCCGGCTCACCCAGGCCTGGTTGACGCGGTCTTGTCAACAGCATTTCTTCCGCATACGCTTCGGTGAGGCTTTTGCCAAGGCTGCATAACGGCGGATCCTGGCCCTATGAGGTTTCAGATTCCCCAGTCATCACCCTAATGCGTCGGCGGGATAGCATTGCATATACATCACTTCCTCTGTCATCATTTTTTGGAAAGTCATGTGCGGGAAAAACCTGCACACTCACCTCATCTGTTGAGCAGATCGGGTCTTACCCAGTCCCTTAAAGGGACTGTGCACATAGTACGCTTGATGAAAGATCAAGATATATACCAAAGAATTACCGCTAAGGGTTAGTCCACGAGGCGTCACATATATTAAGGTATCTGCGGATTGTTCATATTGAAAACGCGAAAGTATGCCATCCATCGTCATAAGGGTTCCAGGGAACAGGAGAGATCAGACCGCATAAGGGGGTGGCAAACCGCCACAGCAGCCACATACTAGTAGCACCCCTGCTGAGGTCTCCACGTAAGCTATTTGTCGACTCTATGCATGGCGGAGACTCAGCCGCGACTGGTTAACAATGTGTCTGCCTTGGGGGATTTCCACACAAAGATAGCAACCCGACCATGTACTATAAACATTCACATGAAATATTTTGCATTTATGGATTGGACTAGAACCGTATATTCAAGGATTGCCTTCGTCCTCATCCAGGAATGGATGTCAATCGTGAAATTCTGTAGCCAGGAATATTGCGTG